GGGATTGCCAAAGTGGGTTGGGGGGGCGGCCTCTTTAGGCTGCTGCATTGTGGTTGTGACTTAATATTGCACACAGAACAGGAAGGAAATAGCTTAACCCTTTATTCTACAAATCCATCCAGCTTTGACTGTTAGGCAGCCTGGAGTAGTGGTCAGCTGTTTGCCACCCATGGCTTTGTTTCTATTTTACTTTATTTTGGAAAAATATATAAAAAATGGCTTGATGGGGGAAAAAATCTCTATTGTGCACAAAACAATGAAAAATACTTATCAATAATGCACAGATAAAAATCATCAAAATTTTAAAGGAAATGCAAAATTATGTATCTGGATGGGCTTGCTTAATTTTTTTAAAAAATTTTTTTAGCAGGTGTCTAAAGCAGTATAATGGGGAGCCTACCTAATGTCACTAGTCAGGGAGTTCCAAAGCATAAATGCTACCATACTGAAAGGTCAACACCTTATGGATGTGGGCTGAACATTCTTTGGTGACCACTTGTAGCCGAGTAAGATTGTCTTCCATACACACGGTTTTAACAATGAGTCTGTAAGTGACTGTGGAGGCCAATTCTGGATCCGCACGTCCTTCCACAGTGGGGACATTGGTTTCCAGGCAGGAGTTGATCACAGTGTGGATTTGTCAAGTGTGCCTTCCTCTTAGCACGTTTCTCCCTTGCGTTCTGAGTTTGAGTGTCTTCAAAGCCCATAACACCTTTGGTAAAGGCTGTTCTCCAATTGGAGCACTCGCAGGCAATTGTTGGTGTTTATATTACATTTTAAAAAATTTGCCTTGAGACAGTCTTTAAACCTCTTTTGCTGACCACCAGCATTACACTTTCCATTTTTAAGTTCAGAATAGAGTAGTTGCTTTGGAAGATGATAATCAGGCATCTGCACAACATGATCAGTCCAACAAAGTTGATGTTGAAGAATCATTGCTTCAACACGGGTGATCTTTGCTTATGGGCTGAACATTACATGGCACTTGGCATGCCTACAATATGCAGTATTGCACTCCATAGCAGTGACCAGAGGAGAAATGACCACTGGAAGGAGCAACGCATTGGTGCATGTGCAGCAGCACAACCAGACACTTTCATCTGCCCAGCTGTAACAAAACATGTCTCTTCCGTTTCAGTCTCTACAGCCACAGCAGGCGCTGTAACTCTTCCAACAGTCTGAGTGCCCTTGATGGTGCAATCTTCCATTGTCTCTTGAGACAGATGGAGGCCAACAATAATTGGCATGTATGGAGTAAACTGGTCCAAAGCTGGTTAACAGCTGGTAAAGAGTTCTTCTAGAAAGTTAAATATTATGACGAGGCTAGATGGGACCTGTAGCCAGGTTTCATCTTGCTCTCTGGGTGCCCCCCTCCCCAACCATCAGCTATTCTGCAGGGAGAGGGAGAGGCTTTGACATTTTGCAGTTGGGCTCCTTTCTCTGCAAGAAGATCCATTGCAAAGAATATATTGCAATGAAATTGATCTTGAACTAAATGGGTTGTTGCCCTGCACTCTGCCCTGTGACTCTGGTTATGAAGAGAGACTGTTATGGGGGCCAAACTGTGAAGAATGGCTTTTCCATAGCTAAAGAGGTGGCCAAGTACGTGTGATGAGTTGTCACAGAAACATAATAGTTGGCAATTGTTCTGCAAAGGGAACTTGCCTCTCCTTCTCCCCTTCCCTGGCTGATGGGGATGTCATCAAGGTGCGAAAGAGGGTATTAGAACCAGGTCGGAGACCTGACTTGTTCTCAGCGAGGAACCAAAGTTACAGTATTGAAAGCACCCTCAGCTGATCTGAGAACAGGATCTGTTGGGAGTGTTGATACGGTGAGCCTCCCATCTCATGCTATATATGTGTAAATAAGCCTTATATTACTGAAACGCCATCAGTTTCCAGTTCATTCCAAAGAAACAAAACCCAAGGTCTGTGCTGGAACCCTCTCATCTCTTAGCAATTAGAGTGTATGTTACAATATATTTCAAAGACCCTGGAAGAAGTTCGGGGGTGCAGCCAGTTGTAAGATGCATAAACTCTGCTGCTTCTCTTCTGTTTTATAGCTGCAGAGGTATGGGTCCCCACAAGCATTTGTCAAGTCCAAGACAGAATGTACATTATTTGGACCTTTGGACAAGCCTAATGTCAAGGGTTATCAACGACTTACTTACGTGGTGTGCATTGTGTGCGAATTAGATATATTCCCCATTCTTCTTCCAAGGAGCTCACACATGGTCTCCCACACAGACATTGCTCAGGGCCACCCCCTTTAACTTCAGCAGCCCCCTTGCCTTCAGACCACAATGTGGCTCTTGGCCAGCTGCATAAATTTATTGTGCGGTAAATAAAACATTTGGTTTTTCTCAAAAGTGCCACACTAGTGGCAGGGACTTCCATGTTTTCTGAGCCCTCGTGTGTTTGACACCTGTGGAAATGCGATCACCAGATATGACACACATTGTGATTGCTTTGTGGCAAGGAAGGAGTCACAGCATCTTTTGAATGTTTTGAGATGTTTGTGACAACAAAAGGCACTGTTCTCCAACTGCATCGTTTTTTAAAATCCTTCCTTTTCTTTTCCTCTTCTTCAGCTCCTGCGCAGGAGTGCTCAGCTAGTGATATTCAAAACCACCACCAGAAAAAAGTGATAAAAGGGAAAGTGGTGCTAATTGCCACAGCAACTTCTTGCTAGTTTATGAAACATTTTCTTGGCTGAGCAACTGTTGGTTGTACTGGCTCATCTGACTTTCCAGTCATTCATCTGTAACAGGATAATGCTCTCGAAGCCTGAACAATTTGGTATGAATGTTCAGGACACAGTTGTATATCTCAGGTTTGAATGCCAGTTCATATTTTGCACCCATTTTCATGGCAGGAAAATCTATATATCTCTCACACACTATATCTCTATATCATTTATATTTATATGAAATAGCTGCCTTGAATTGTTTAAATATTGAAATGAAAGTCAGTTTGGAACCCACTCTGCAGGGATGACGCAAACCACTCAGCCTTTCAATTTCTCCAGCGAATGCCCTGACATCCGAATCACCCTGGGGCATTCTGGGAATCTAAAAATGGCAGGCATCTCTTAAGTCACCCACTACCAGACAGACAGGACTGGGGAGGATAGACAGGTGGAAGGTTCAAATTTGCAGGAGGGATCAGCACGGATGGGCCAGCGGAGCACTGAGGTCTCAGAATAGAATTTGACCAGGCTTCATATACACCATACATTTAAAGCACTCTCCCACCAAAGAATCTTGTGAACTGTAGTATGTTAAGGTTGCTAGGAACTGTAGATCTGTGAGGTGTAAACTACAGTTCTCAGGACTTATTTTTTTTGGGTGGTGGTTTAAATGTGCTTTAAGGTACACAGCCTGGGATGGAAGTTTACGATGTAGCACCCCATCTGAAGTGTGAATGCCTGTTCAGACATTATCTATAGAGAATGTATTTGGATTCCTTTTCTGAATATTCCTATTATATTTAGTATTAAACATTTGTGACCTCTTGGCCCCCAGCCTGTTCTAAAGCCAGATAATAATAATAATAATTTATTATATTATTATTAACTAGATGTTTCTAGTTTTGCGTGTTGAAAGGCTTATGGAGTACTGGAGGTTTTGGCAAGCACAGAAGGACTACTCTACTGTCGCAGCAGCAGCAGCAGCAGCATGTGAGGGAGACGATGGAGAACACTCAAAATTACTGCCTGAGGCAGCCACTTCACTCTGCCTAATGGTAGGGCTGGCTCTGATTGCAATGCAGATAACTGATGTGAGGCCTTAAAAAATGGTGCTACGCTACACAATTTTTGTTGTTGTTTGTACATATTTGTTTTAATTATTTGGAGTGTGTATATTCCCCCACCCATCCATGTGAGAGTCAGCTTGGGAGAGTAACCCCTATTCAGTGATAATGGCACAATGGCATCTATGTATTTAACAGATCGCAAGGCACACTCTTAAGCGCTCAGAGGATGAAATAGATTAAGGGCACATTCTCAGGGCTTTCCATCACAGAACTCTAGAAACAGCTGTTTTGTTGAGAGTGCTGACAATTCTGAGACACCCCTGCTCTGAAGGGTTCTCAATGGAGAGAGGGAAACAGTTTATCTGTAGTATACATATGCCCCTAGATAAGGGCTGAAGGACCTGTGGCCCTCTGGGTGTTCAGCAACAATTGCAACTCGCATCAGCCCCAGCCAGCATGGCCAAAGGTCAGAGGTGATGGGAGTTGGAGCCCATCTAAAGAGTCATAGGCTCTCCCCTTGCCCTTGACTGTGCAGAAAAGACCAATTGGTCCAGGGTGGGGTGGGAATCTTGCATTAGGGCAAAGCACAAGAACATGAGAGTTGCCATGCTGGATCAGACATGCGATGAAGTAAGTCCCGTGCCCAAGAGTCTATTTCATTCCATTGTATTTTAAGGACAATTCATGGAAGCCTTAAGTTGGTGTGTTTTTCTTAAGCAGCAATGGAGAATCTGCAGTTGTCCAGAAGATGTTGGACTTAACTCCCATCAGCCCCAGCCAGCAATGGCCAATGGCCAGAACTGCAGTCCAGAAATGTTTGGAGGGCCACAGTTTCCCCATCTCCACTCTTAAGGATCAGAGCATTTGAAAATAATCACGTGCAAGCCTTGGTGTAGAATTAAGAGTCACAATGAGTTAGCTGCTCACCCTTGGGTTTGAAGAAGAAGAGTTTGGATTTGATATCCCGCTTTATCACTACCCTAAGGAGTCTCAAAGCGGCTAACAATCTCCTTTCCCTTCCTCCCCCACAACAAACACTCTGTGAGGTGAGTGAGGCTGAGAGACTTCAGAGAAGTGTGACTAGCCCAAGATCACCCAGCAGCTGCATGTGGAGGAGTGGAGACATGAACCCGGTTCACCAGATTACGAGTCCACCGCTCTCAACCACTACACCACTTGGGTTACCTTACCTTACCTTACTATATGATGTTGCACTATATAGGCAGACTCAGCAAACACAAAATGGTGACACTTATAACAAGGAACACATGTATAAAGATTAAATAAAACTACAAGACAGCATATTGGCAGCATACATTGTCATACAAATAATGCAGAGGAAAATTACAACAGGGATCCATCGGTACGTCGGAGAGTAAACAAGAGGATCTAGTACGATAAGGAGGAAAACGTTCACAAATCACTTTTCATAGCACCAAAAGCCTATTTTATAAAATACACAGTTAAATCATAGGTATTAATATTTATTATTTTATACAGTGCCATTTGGGGGGAGGGGGGTGAATGGCAGTTTTAACAGACAATTCAAATGATAAAACAGCTTCCTGCCCCCCTGAGGGACCCTACCGTTTAGAACAGGCTTGGAAGGGATGGAGTTGACTGGGCGAGAGTCAGCAAAGAGCTACATCCAATTGTTCCCTTACCTTCTGCTTACATAAGCGAATACCTTCCACTGCTCTTAATTTTCTACCTCCGGTTTACAACGGGCAAGATGATGTCCATACATAAGAGTTCTTTTGCTTTTTGCTTTTCATCCTTGCTTGGCTGTTTCTTTCTCACGTGTAATAAAATCTCTCTCATCAAAAGTACATAGATAGATATGGATATATTAGACAGAGAGACAATCACTTTCTGTTTATGGAAAATATAACAGTCAGGCTTTTTCTCATTGCCATTAAAGAGAGAGAGAGAGAGAGAGAGAGAGAGAGAGAGAGAGAGAGAGAGGGAGAGAGAAGCCAAGAGATGTTATGGACTGAAATTCATGGGGTTGGAAAATTACATTCTGAAGTATATTGCTTAAAAGGCTAACCAGTTTGTCTCTCTTCCAAAAATACGATCTTTTTCTGCTTTGAAAATTAACTTTAAAGTACATTTAGATTGTGGCATAGGATCATACTTTAATTCTGAATCAGCTTCAAATCTCAGCTGCAAAGGTCATAGCTTTTGAATAAGGCTATTTTTAAGGAAGTGGCCTGCTAATGCACTTTTGTCCTTATCTGATCATGTTGTTGTTGCTTAATATGTAAATATTAATAAAGTGGCTTGCTGGTAGGATTGCCAGCTTTTTTTTCTTTCTTCTTTTAACAACACCTGGTCTTGTGTCTTTAAAGAACAGACTGATTGGCAAACACGATCAGGGGACAATGTTCATCTCCATGCCATGAAGAAACATGTCACCTGCTGATTTTTGCAGATCGACTGTCTACTGAAGGCACAGGAGCAATCAAGCCAGGTGCTACCCGCCCCTCCTGGGTCAGATGTCAATCTTGATGGAATTCAGACACTGCACCATTCAAAATCTGATCAGCATGAATTAAAAGGAAAAGAAGGAAATGTTGATTGTGGCGCCGAGCCAATCCTGGTGCTAATTCTGAAGCGGTTATCCTATGCACAAAGTTCATGAATAAATCCCATTCACTTCCATGGGAATTATTCAGCTATAACTGCCCATAGGGTCAAGGCCTTAATATGTGACTATGATTGTAATTCTATGCATATTTGATCCATACATGTGATTAAACTCTATAGAACTCAGAGGGCCTGACGCCTAAGCTAAAAAGTATAGAATTGGCCAAAAATAATGAAATATTCTCTCTCTCTCTCTCTCTCTCTCTCTCACACACACACACACACACACACACACCATGAGAGAATGTCTTAGGCCTCGTGAGATGTCTGGAAATGCATGTATCGACATATTCTTTTAATATATCTCATTTGGTTTTTGGTTACACTCGCTTTACGTATTCAAGCTTTGGCTAAATCTCGTCGGAAAGACTCTCCTGTAATCTCATGACTCCTGGAGTTGGATCTGTGAGGGGGAGGAAACACTAGATAATACAAGACTCACGACAAAACAGTGAGCGTTGGAAACACTGTTGATATAATTCCAGAGAAACTCCAGCCTAGAGGAGTTAACAGCAGAGATAAGCAGGAATGATAGACAAGACTAGAATTTGACCCATAGTTAAGATTTTGCAGAATCTAGGCTATGTAATGCTGTGATCAAATGCATCTCCTAAGGACGTGGCTCTGAATGGATCATGCGGATACAATTCTGGACCTAGGTCCTGCAAGCACTTATGCACACGTCATCTAGTGTTCTGAACAAAACAAGGACACGGTTACTCATGAGTGGTGCGTGAGCACAAAAGTGCTTGCAAATGCTAGAGCTTTAAATTCTCACCTTAAGTACAAAAGATGGAAACAGACAGATTCAGTGCCATTTGATGGAATGTCCTCTGCAAGGCAGACAACAATTGTAAATCTCCAGAGCTATAAACACGTATGAGCTTTTAACAGTCTTGATCTATTTTATATTTATTTTTCCCCCTGGGGAAATTAAAGATATTCCCTCCCCACCCCCGTCACAGTGTACATGATTTAAATTTGCCTGTCTATACTTCGGGGAGAGTGCTTGTGCACAACCGGCCTTCTATAGCTTTGCTGGCCTTTGCTATAGAAATCATAAAGCACTTCCACTCACTAATATGTACACGGGATGTAATTAAAGGAGACAGATGTAGTTCTCTTGGGTGCTATCATGTTCCGGTGCCAGTTTTTTCCTCATGGAGACAGAGCATTTCAGGTCTGCGGGAGGGGCTCTGTCACTTTGCTGATGCTCCTGCCGCCGCCGTCACCGCTGTCACCTGGGGGCTCCTGAGGGGGAAAAGCAACAGAGACAACCCACTAGCGTGATTCAATTTTTAAGGTTTCCTATTGGTCAGGGAAGGTGATGGGATGCAATGTCCCTTCAAGCTAAGGTGCATAAAATACAGTTGGTACCTCGGGTTACAGACGCTTCAGGTTACAGACACTTCAGGTTACATACTCCGCTAACCCAGAAATAATACCTTGGGTACTTCAGGATGAGAACAGAAATTGCGTGGCGACGGCAGCGGGAGGCCCCATTAGCTAAAGTGGTACCGCAGCTTAAGAACAGTTTCAGGTTAAGAACGGACCTCCAGAATGAATTAAGTTCTTAGCCCAAGGTACCACTGTAATTTCAACACCTCAACATTCCATTAACACTTATAAATAAATGTTAATACCAAATCTCTCTCTGTCTGTGTATCTATATCCACACTCAATGCCAATAATCAATATAGGGCTGACAATGTACTCTTACCATACGAAGAATCTATTATTGTCATTATTATCCATGTTATATCTATTTTTCATAAATTCAATCAATGGTGGCCATTAACTTCTAACATTTCTCCTCTCTTTTTCTTCCCTCACATAGTCGAACCAACTGTGAGTTGATGCATTTCTGCCACTTTCTAAACTTGAACTAGCCAGTAGTTTTGTTCTTTCAGTTTTGGGCTGCTAACATATGGGCAGGTTTTCAGTTCCATACCAATTCCTTAAGTTTAATTTGGCCATGTAAATAAACCCCAGGAAATTATTAAAGGGTCCCAAGTTATTACACAACGTCATTATACATTAACATATATTAGGGCTGCCATATGTCTGGAATTTCCTGGACATAGCCGGGATTTGTCCGTCAAAAACAGTGTCCAGGTGTAATTTTCAAAAGTTGAAGTGTTGGTTTTGGGTGAATTGTTGCAAACTTTGGCAAAAATGCTTAACAACTTTTGTGTCCCTATTTTCACTTTTGGAAATATGGCAACCCTATCATATATCACAGTGTGATTAATCTAGTCACTTCTTCCCAGCGTTCCATTATTATCTAATGTCTTTTTTTCCTCAAGGAGAAGGAGAGGTGAGGATGGGCTGTGAATTAAGATCTGCTTTAGAGATAATCTTTTGGGTAGCCCTGCCATCTAAGGCTGACCATGGTCCATGACTGAGGAGGACACCTCAGTTGTGGCACTACACTTGTGGCAAAGGGTTGCCTGACAGGAAAACCTATTGTTTCATTCATTCCCACCCCCACCCTCACCCCTGGCCTGGCTTTTAAACTTAAATATAATTTAAAGTTACATTTCTTTTCATTGGGTGGTTTTTAATGCTGCCTTAATTAAGTTAATATTATGTTTTTCATGGCTTTCACATAAGAATGTAAGAAAAGCCCTGCTGGATTGGATCAAAGATCCACATAGTCTAGCAGTCTCTTCTGTGGTAAACTTTTCTTTTTTCTTAAATTGAAGACTGGTATAAAACACTCTTAAAGCAAACAACATACTCTCCAATATTTCTCTGATGAAAATAGGAATAATATTACTAATAATAATAATATCCCACCCATCTGACTGGGTTGCCCCAGCCTTCAGATGTCTTCTAAAGGTTGTATAGTTACTTATCTTCTTGGGTCAGGGGTTGCATAACTCCATACCCTCCAACATTTATCCCATGAAAATAGTGAAACACCCTCCCCTTCAGGTGTCAAAGCGGGACATTCTGAGATTGAATCAGAAACCGGGACTTCTGTAAATCCGGGATTGTCCCTGGAAAATATGGACATTTAAGAGGGTCTGAAACAAGGGTCTGCTACTGTTTTTGAAGAGAAATTCCCAAACTGCGAACTCACAAACTGCGAACAGCACAGTCCTACACACGTCTACTCAGAAGAAAGACCCAATATATCTGTGGTATTTTTTTCTCCCAGATAAGTGGATAAAAGTTTGCAACTGTTTTCAGTGGCCTTCTCTAGATTTAGCACAGCTTATGTCCTATTTTACTCCCTCATAGTGAAATGCAGAATGTTACAAGTTCAGCTGGCCAATTCGTAGCACGGGAAGGAATGGCTTTAATCAACACATCATATATCTACAAATCATGAGGGCAAGTTTATTATGAATTCAAGCAAGAATATTTCCTTTTGGAAGGGAACTGGTGTGTGTGTGTGTGTGTGTGTGTGTGTGTGTGTGGTGAGGAGGAGGATTAAGGAACTCGCTGAGTCAATTAAAACTACAGGTTGATTGTTTTATTATATTTGGAGACTCTGGGATCCCTTGGGGGCTGTTGGCAAGAGATTCGCACAAGGGGAGAAATGGAATTTTCCATGCTCCATCTCTCTGTGAAATGAGAAGATTGATGCTGTGTAATTTCTGGTCATTAACCCGCTTTCTCTGTTCAGGAGGACAGAACAGGAAGTGCGTAGCTACCCAAGCACCACACACAAAAAACCCCATCTTTTTAGTGACTCTTTAAGAAACACACCAAAAAACGTTTCTAGAAATTATGCTGAAAGCTGTCCCTGGATATTTGCCCCCCATATTTCAAATATATGCTTGCTTCCTGGTCTATACCCTTTGATTACCTCCCCCCCCCTTCTATTTAATTCATTTGCTGCCAAACATTGGGGAATTAATCTTAGTCCAAGCTGACAGTTTATATTAAGTGCTTCTCAAGATACACAATATTGCTCTGAGCAGACGAAGAAGAGACTGACGAGGCCAGTTCACATTCCTGCCCTGGTATCACTGCAGAAAACCAACCTTCCTTCCTTCCTTCCTTCCTTCCTTCCTTCCTTTCTTCCCTTTAAGAGGATGTCTAGGGGAAAAACCCCATTGACGTAAGCTATTGGAGCTCTGCTTTAATTGAGGAAGCCCAACCTATTTATGCTGGCTATGGGTCTGGTTTTTTACACCCCACTTTTTTCTCTAAGGAGCTTACGCTGGCATACATGGTTCTCCCCATCCTCATTCAATCCCCACAACAACCCTGTGAGGTAGGTAAGACTGAGAGGGTGCGCTTGGCCCCAGGTCACCCAGTGAGCTTCATGGCCGAGTGGAGATTCGAACCCTGATCCCTCAGGCTCTGGTCTGGCATGCCAACCACAATCCACATTGGCTCTCTATGGTTTTTGAAACTGCAGGTCCAACTCACGGTGTATTTATCATATGACTGAAATGCAGTGAGTGCAGGATTTCCATGGATGCCAATCAATAATTGACTTTCGGATGATCATGCTCATCCACTCATCTTAAACTTATGTCCTACATAAATTAGCAATGAAGAGGGTGAAATTACTACTACTACTACTAGACTGGCTTCATTATTTTCAGATAATGGAGGCATTTAAATTGGACAAGAAAATTGGCTTCCAGGTGGAAAAATCAAAATTAGAAACTGAATTGTTAGAACCCAAAACTAAGAATTTGTCAAGAATGTATAACTTGCTGCTGAAATGGAACACTCAGAATGAAACGGTAAAATTGGCTATGATTAAATGGGCACAAGACGTTGGACACAACATTATGTTCGCTGACTGGGAACAGTTATGGACCACAGGTATGAAATTTACGGCATGTAATGCCTTAAGAGAGAATATTATGAAAATGATATACAGGTGGTACATAACTCCAGTCAAGCTTGCAAAAATCTACCATTTGCCCGATAATAAATGTTGGAAATGTAAAGAAACTGAAGGTACATTTTTTCACCTTTGGTGGACGTGCCCAAAGATTAAGGCTTTCTGGGAAATGATATATAATGAATTAAAAAAGGTATTCAAACATACCTTCCCTAAGAAACCAGAGGCCTTTCTCCTGGGCATAGTCGGCCAAATGGTGTTAAAAAAGGATAGAACTTTCTTTATGTACGCAACAACAGCAGCAAGAATACTCATTGCAAAGTATTGGAAGACACAAGAGCTTCCCACACTGGAGGAATGGCAGATGAAACTGATGGACTATATGGAACTGGTGGAAATGACTGGTAGAATCCGTGACCAGGGAGAAGAGTCGGTGGAAGAAGATTGGAAGAAATTTAAAGACTATCTGCAGAAACATTGCAAAATTAAAGAATGTTAGAGTGATGTTGGATTGAAAATAAGTGGCTTCCAGCTGTACAGGATTTAAAGTTACAGATAGATTAAGATTAAGGATTAGGATTAAAAAAAATTAAGGAAATGGAAACTTGGTTTTTAAGAGGTAAAATTTTAATGTCATATTATATTAAGATTAAAGATTGGGATTAAAAAAAAGAGGGAAAGAAATTGCTGGACAAACAATTTGAACTGGAATACAAAAGAGGGAGGCATGAGGAGGTCCAGAAAATAAGTAAATTTAAAGATGGAGATGAAAAGGTGATATTGTTTTTAACTGTTTTTTTTCTTTTTTTTCTTTTGTTTTTTGTTCTGTTTTTTTCTTTTTCGGACTATGTATTGTGTATTTTTGAATTGTGTATTTATGTGTTCTTTTTATCGGAAACTTTAATAAATATCATTTAAAAAAAAGAAAAGAAAAAGAAACTACTACTACTACTACTACTAATTTATTATTTATACCCAGCCACTCTGGGCGGCTTCCAACAAAATATTAAAATACAATAGTCAGGGCTGCCTTCAGAGGCCTTCTAAAAGTCTGGTAGTTGTTCTTCTCTTTGACATCTGGTGGGACGGCGTTCCACAGGGCGGGTGCCACTATGAGAAGGCCCTTTGCCTGGTTCCCTGTAACTTGGCTTCTCGCAGTGAGGGAACCACAAGAAGGCAATTTGCAAGGTAAATCTAAATCTGCTGGGGGGGGGGGAGCAGCTGAGGAGAGTTTCAGGGGGAAACAGACTGGCTTTTCCTGAGAGAAAGGCTTCGCACATGCATTTGTGTGTAACATGTAAAAAGGTAAAGGTAAAGGATCCCTGACAGTTAAGCCCAGTCACGAATGACTCTGGGGTTGCGGCGCTCATCTCGCTTACTGGCCGAGAGAACCAACGTATGTCCACAGACAGTTTTTCCGGGTCATGTGGTCAGCATGACTAAGCCGCTTCTGGCGAAACCAGAGCAGCGCACGGAAACACCATTTTCTTTCCCGCCGGAGCGGTACCTATTTATCTACTTGCACTTTGATGTCCTTTCGAACTGCTAGGTTAGCAGGAGCTGGGACCGAGCAACGGGAGCTCACCCCATCGAGCAGATTCGAACCGCCGACCTTCCGATCGGCAAGCCTAGTAGTTTGCCCTTAATTCCTCCCAACCATTCTTTTGTGTCCGCCACTGTACAGTTCTTGGCAAATGCTCTGCAATCCAAACAAAGAACGCAAATTGGTATATTTATGCAATGCCATTTGCATGCTTTGTTTAATTTGCAGAATTTAGGTTTGCAGGTCAAACAGAAACAGCTATTTTTAGTTTAGAATTCTAAGTACAAGCCTGAGGGCACTTGAATGTGACATTCTCTTACATGCCGCAATCGCTCTATTATACGCAACCCATCCTAACTTTCACTTTTTAGTTTTGTTCTTACTTGTATCTTCAGAGCAAAGCAAAATGGGTTCAGGATGACACACAGCAGTAAGGTGATCCCCAAAACCTCCCATAACTGATGTGTCTATACTTGAGTTCTGGTGGAGTATTGATTTTAACATCATTAGCAGACCCTCCAAGTACAGTGGTACCTCTGGTTACGTACTTAATTCGTTCCGGAGGTCCGTTCTTAACCTGAAATTGTTCTTAATCTGAAGCACCACTTTAGCTAATGGGGCCTCCCACTGCCGCCGGGCCACTGCCATGCAATTTCTGTTCTCATCCTGAAGCAAAGTTCTTAACCCGGGGTATTATTTCTCGGTTAGCGGAGTCTGTAACCTGAAGCGTATGTAACCTGAAGCATATGTAACCCGAGGTACCACTGTATCCCTATTTCCCAGGGACAGTCCCAGATTTACAGAAGCCATCCGGGTTTCTGATTTGACCCCAGATTCTCCTGCTTTTCCTTAGAATATCCCTGTTTTCCTTGGAGAATTGTTGAAGGGTAATAATAATAATAATAATAATAATAATAATAATTTATTATTTATATCACACCCATCTGGCTGGGTTTCCCCAGCCACTCTGGGCTGCTTCCAACAGAATTTTAAAATACAATAGTCTATTAAACATTAAAAGCTTCCCTAAACACGGCTGCCTTCAGATGTCTTCTAAAAATCTGGTAGGACGTCCCTATTTTCATCAGAGAAATGTTGGAGGGTATGGAGTTATGCCAAAGCCAAGGAGATAAGTAACTATGCCAACTTTATAAGACATTTGAAGGCAGCCCTGTACAGGGAAGTTTTAAAAAATGTTTTATTATATTTTTATATAAGTTGGAAGCCGCCCAGAGTGGCTGGGGCAACCTAGTCAGTTGGGAGGGGTATAAATAATAAAGCTGTTGTTGTTGTTGTTGAATAGGACACCCCTATTTTCATCAGAGAAATGTTGGAGAGTATGCAATAGGTTAACTATTTATTCTTCCCTTTAATCGGGGTTCTCAGCTTATGTTGTACTTGACTGAGGAAAGATGATTAAAAACACAACTATCTTTGGGCCCCACCAGATTTCTTTTTCATTCATGGTGATTTGCATATGATTTGCCCATGACGGCACAGGGACACGTTTATATGCCATCCCATAACTCAAGCCATCTCTTGGGGATGCCCTAGCTTAGGACCTCCTGCATAAAGCTATCCATTGGATAAGATGGTCTACAAATCCCCCTAATCCCAATAAACTGTAAATGCAAACTGGGTTTGTTTTATTAAACGAAGTGGTGGTAAATCAATCAATCAATCAATCAATCAATCTAAAAGTGCTGTAGGAGTTATGAATATCAGGCACCGGTCCAAATTCCAAAATGCCGTGCCTAATAATTAGATAATTTTGTGAACCATATGTGGTTCCAACCAAGATTGACGACTTGGATGACCATACTTGCTCTTGTCTCATGACAGGTTAGCGCAGCAAAAGGGAAAAAAATAGAGAGTGCCTGCATATATATCGGCTTCTATGGTTTGGTTTGGTTTTTAAAGCAAAGAGCCCATCAGAAATGGCAGGCTGCCCTTGGACAGTAAATCAATAACAGTCCTGCAAACCAACATGACTACATAAAAGTGCTTTGGAGGGAGTGGGTGGAATGGAATGAACTACAACCTACGCAAAAAATGAAACAGAAGAGCTCAGTAAGGAATACATCATCCTGATCTTTTATTCCAGGGGTGCCCAAACTTTTTTCAAAGGGAGCCAGATTTGATGAAGTGAACATGCGTGACGGGGGCCAATCAAAGTTGTTGAGCTTTTTTTTAGGATTTTACCCCAGGACATATACTGCCACAAGGGCTGGATCAGATCGACTGGCGGGCTGAATTAGGCCCCCAAGACGGACTTTGGACATGCCTTTTTTATTCCCTGTCACTTAAGAAGGCCCACTTTACGCCCTCTCTATTTATTGATCACTAATGCCAACCTAGCACTTTGAAAGCACATCAAAGTGCAAGTAGATAAATAGGTACCGCTCTGGCGGGAAGGTAAAAGGCATTTCCATGCGCTGCTCTGGTTCGCCAGAAGCGGCTTAGTCATGCTGGCCACATGACCCGGAAGCTGTACGCTGGCTCCCTCAGCCAGTAAAGCGAGATGAGAGCCGCAACCCCAGAGTCGGTCACGATTGGACCTAATGGTCAGGGGTTCCTTTACCTTTAATCAGTCATCAGCTTAGCTTTCGGATGATTGGCTTTGCCAATCCAGAGCATGGATGCACATTCCTTGTCTGTGAATCCTCTTCAGCCCACTCTCTGTGGTTAGCAGCTCTGGGGGATGTGGTGATGCGCACTAGTACATGCAGCATTGCTAGCCAATAGGCAGGATGTCATGTGTGGGCAGAATACGCCTGGGATGCAGAATTTTGTGGCGGAGATGATAACCGCGTGAAAACATGTGATGCGAATTGACCTGATCCTAGCTGGATTCAAACCAGTGCTTTATATGGGAACAATTTTCAAATTGCTAATACAGGCTCCCTGGAGCCTTCTTGTTCCCATCCATACAAAAGTCCTGCTGGCCACAGCCATTCGGGAGAGCTTTTGATGTTAATCTGCTTCCTCTTTGTGTTGAAACTATACACAGGATGTGGTGAGGACCCCAAGGATTGTGTCTGCATATTAAGCACATTCATGTATGGAAACGCTCCCCCCCCCCCAGCCTTACAGGGATAAGTGAGAAATCAGGTTTAACTGGATAGTTACTAATGCTACACAGCTTTTTAAGCTTCCCTGATGGTTCCTTCAAGATGTTGTTGTTGACTCACTCACTTGTTTTGGCTGTACAATCTGTTATTGCATTTGCAGAAGACAAGATCGGGGACACATGGGGAAGGAGAACAAAACAAGCGATCACTTTTGTATTCCTTTGAGCCACTAAATCTCCTCTCCTTGCAAAAAAAAAGTAAAAAAAATATTGGAGGGAATTCTGCTGCTGAAGGAATGGAACAGGAGCTCAGATCCTATCTGGATAAGATAGGAATGATTGGAGGACGTGGCAGAGAACTCTTGACCAAAAGCCATCTTCATCCTAGAGACAAACACTTAAGGCAGTCATAGGCAAACTTGGCCCTCCAGATGTTTTGGGACTACAACTCCCATCATCCCTGACCACTGGTCCTGTTAGTTAGAGATGATGGGAGTTGTAGTCCCAAAACATCTGGAGGGCTGAGTTTGCCTATGCAAAGGTTATAGAGTCACTGACTTGAGATATCGTGTCCTCCAAATCATGGAGAGCCACGTGTTGCGGTGAGATCACCAAACTGCCTTCTTGTTGCTGGGGCGGGCCTGTTTGGATGACCTCCTTGCCTCATTGGTCACCCCTTTATTACTGGGGCAGATTTCTGTCGGTTGGGGTTTGATTGGCACATAAGGGGCTATTTAAGGGGCTGCACGTGGCAAAGTACTTCCTCTTTCGCATCGTGCAGCGGATCTCCCACCCTCCCTCCCTATAATTTTAGGTTGTGTTTTTGACCTTGCTATGCCTGTCTAGAATGGGACGTGGGTGGCGCTGTGGGTTAAACCACAGAGCCTAGGACTTGCCGATCAGAAGGTTGGCAGTTTGAATCCCCGCAACGGGGTGAGCTCCTGTTGCTCGGTCCCTGCTCCTACCAACCTAGCAGTTCGAAAGCACGTCAAAGTGCAAGTAGATAAATAGGGACTGCTCTGGCGGGAAGTAAACGGCATTTCCATGCGCTGCTCTGGTTCGCCAGAAGCGGCTTAGTCATGCTGGCCACATGACCCGGAAGCTGTACGCCGGCTCCCTTGGCCAATAAAGCGAGATGAGCGCTGCAACCCCAGAGTCGGCCACAACTGGACCTAATGGTCAGGGGTCCCTTTACCTTTATGCCTGTCTAGGGGTCGTCTGTTTTGGGGGCAGGGGCCCGGTAGGAGTTTTGCCACTTGGCTGATTGGCTGGTGCCATTTGGTTTTTGCCTACCGTGTAGCAAATCGTCACAATTTTGTAAGGTTGGCGGTTAGGCATTCTTTGGTGGAGGGGATTATGGATTGGCTGTGCCTGCCCCTCAATTTTGTTGCTGCTGCTAGGGAATTCCGTTAAAGGAATCCAGGGGCTCGATTTGCTCTGTCCGATCCCCTCTCAGGGATAGGGCCATGCCAGAGTTCCTGGGAACATCTGAGGTGAACTAAGAGGCGGAAATCTGCCTCTGTGCTCCCCCAGTATGTTTTCCCTTACTGACCTCTGGAGGTTCCAGTTGTCAGTCCTGTTCCTGCCAGTGCAGATTCAGGTAGTCTGAACAAATGCCTAAGCAACCACTCACATGCTCTAAACAATAAAGTTGTGGCCAAATTAATGCCAAAAATCCTAAACAAATATTCTGTTTCCTGTGTGATTTATTTTGGAGGGGGTTTGGGGGTCTTCACATGCAAAAGGGTCAAAATGGCCATACACCTCATGCTGCCTTCAAATTCATCCGTAATAATCCTAAGAACACAGAAAGTTCTGCTGGACCAGACCAAAGGCTCATCTACTTTAGAGTTCTGTTCCCATGACTGTATCATATTGCTTCCTATACTGGAAGTATTTATTTCTGATAGATTTTTTTTTTAATCATATACCGCTTGATTGTAAAACAGCAACAACCTCAAAGCAGTACACAGCCATCATGACTAGTTGCCATTGATAGCATTCTCCTCCATGAATTTCTCTAAATTCCTTTTTAAGGCCACCCAAGCTGGTGGACAGGACGTGGGTGGCGCTGTGGGTTAAACCACAGAGCCTAGGACTTGCCGATCAGAAGGTCAGCAGTTCGAATCCCCGCGACGGGGTGTGCTCCCGTTGCTTGGTCCCTGCTCCTGCCAACCTAGCAGTTCGAAAGCACATCAAAGTGCAAGTAGATAAATAGGTACCACTCCAGCGGGAAGGTAAACAGCGTTTCCGAGTGTTGCTCTGGTTTGCCAGAAGTGGCTTAGTCATGCTGGCCACATGACCCAGAAGCTGTACGCTGGCTCCCTTGGCCAGTAAAGTGAGATGAGCGCCGCAACCCCAGAGTCGGCCACGACTGGACCTAATAGTCAGGGGTCCCTTTACCTTTAAGCTGGTGGACATCACAGCCTCCTGTAGGAGCGAGTTCCATAGTTTAACTGTGTGCTGGGGAAAGAAGTATTGTCTGTCTTGAATCTTCCAACATTCAGCTTTGTTTGATGGCCTGATTCAAGTATGATGAGAGATTGGGGGGGATTTCTCTCTTTTATCAATATCTAGCTTTCCCTTCCCAAATTATAAAGGCCCAAATGTTGTTAACACTTCCGCATGGGGGAAAGAGATTCAACACGTGTTTCTGACAAGATGGAACAAGATGGAAAACAGGATCTTTACAGCAACCTCTCGAGAAGCAGGAAAAAGCCTCATTCCTCTGAAAGGGGAAACGGGATGGTGACAAAACTCCTAGTGCATATTTGCACTTGGCTCCCTTTCTGAACACTCCCAAGACCTGTCTACAAATGGGTAAAGCCTGGGGTGTGAGTGAGCCGCACTAGGGCTGATTCCCACTCCTTGCATACGCTGTTCCTCTGATCTTTGTTCCACAGGGATTTCTCTGGTACTAACTTGGAATTTTGAGACATACATTGCTTGCATGCCCATCTGTTACTGCCTACAAAATCCATCTCTGACATTCTGAGACCTCTTTTTCATTTCTTCCCAGTGCCCTTCTGCAAGGGACAAGGTGCAAGGAAAGGTGAATCGGGTTCCTTTTTCTATTTTCTTTCTTTTCTTTTCTTTTTCAGCTGAGGTGCTGATGAATAACATGTGAAAACAGATGGCGGTTGCCATGACTTGTCTAGTGGAGCTGGGAGGGGCAGAGGCTAATTTTGAAACCACAAAATTAGATTACTGCTTGATGCAAGGAGTTCTACGAGCATCAGAGGAGTCATCCTCGTTAGGTGAGGACTGAACTCCAAGACCATAACCCCAGAGGGGCTACAAAGTATAATTTAACTCCTTTCCCTGGCTCTCCAGCTAAGTCTACAGCCTTTTGTTTTTCAGAAATATAATCTATTATCAGTATTTCCCACCTTGCCCAATACACAGAAAGATATTGGGATGATTGGCATGTTCTCATTTTTTCTCATTTTTTTAATGGCTTTTCATTCAATTGGGATTATTTAATACATTGCCATGACATTCAGGGCTCAGCCACACTTTTGATTATATCTGCTTTCTAGGCATGGATATGAGAGGTTTATAATAATAATAATAATAATAATAATAATAATAATTTATACCCTACCTTGTGGGTGGCTCCCAACAGAATATTAAAAACATGATAAAACATCAAACATTAAAAACTTCCCTAAAAAGGGCTGCCTTCAGATGTCTTCTAAAAGTCTGATAGTTGTTTATTACTTTGACATATGATGGGAGGGCGTTCCACAGGGTGGGAGCCACTACCAAGAAGGCCCTCTGCCTGGTTCCCTGTTATCTCACTTGTCACAGGGAGGGAACCGCCAGAAGGCCCTTGGCGCTGGACCTCAGTGTCTGGGCTCTTGGACCCTGTCGGAGCATTGGCCTCCCTCTCTAAGCCAAGCAGAATCCTCTCAGGCTTTAGGAAGGAGGCACCAGGGGAACATTTAGGGGACTCAACTACTCCCTCTAGTCCACTGACTGCAACCCCTGTGGGGAAGTGTACTTCACCAACCTAAATTAGCCAAAGCATGCTGTATGCTAGATTGGCAAAGTGTTAAGGAATCAGTGAACATGCTGTGGCACCCACATTCTGCTCTGGGCTTGCTTCAGCTGTTCCCTATCCAGGGCTGTCTTAAGCATATGCGGTGCCGGGGTGTAAAGATCCGCCCGGCACCCCCCACGGTTGCCCAGTCCCAGGCACGCAGGTGGGCGGAGCTGGCCGGCGCCTCAGCATCTCACTGGCTCAGTCACCCCAGAACTCGTGGCGCAGAGCCACCCACAGCAGAAGAGCCCGCCGCGGCGCTCTGACTGACAGGCGGGCTCTTCCCCGGACTCAACTCTCAGGTTCCAGACTCTCAGCCTGGAGTCCCTGAGAGCCCGCCACCCGGGTGCCCCGCACCCCTAGTGCCTATGGGTAAGACAGCCCTGTCCCTATCTCCAACTCTTTTGATCTTAACGCATACTTCCAACAGCATGGGATATGTTTTGTTATGCCTTTTTGTGTGTGTGTCCCAGTTCATGAAAACAAAAAGCAGTGTTACAGTGCATGGAGGATGCTTCATTTAGTATGCAGTTCATGTACAGAGGCTGTCATAGAGATCTGGGGGATTTCAGCAGAGCAAGACAAGGTGTGTATATGTTTGCAGAGGCAGGGTGAATATCACTGGACTAGGTAACACGCCACTGCGCACAACACATCACCAAACAGTTACCTTTCCATCATACTGCTCCTTCTTTGTACGAAATGGGCTTTAGCAGGTTCTACTATAATTAGGAATGAACCAAATATGTATAAATGATAATAATAATGCCTCGCTGGGCAACTGGAGATGGACAGTGAACAGAGGTAAAAAGAATTTGCCCACTAAGAGTAAGGGCAGGAAGCAATGCCCTCACCCTGAACTGGCTTTGTGGCATCATCATGTAGCTTGACCTAGTTAGCTACATGCCACTCCTGGCTAGAGGGACGCGGGTGGCACTGTGAGTTAAATCACAGAGCCTAGGACTCGCCGATCAGAAGGCCACCAGTTCGAATCCCCGTGATGGGGTGAGCTCCCGTTGCTTGGTCCCTGCTCCTGCCAACCTAGCAGTTCAAAAGCACATCAAAGTGCAAGTAGATAAATAGGTACCGCTTCGGCGGGAAGATAAACGGCGTTTCTGTGCGCTGCTCTGGTTCGCCAGTATTGGCTTAGCCATGCTGGCCACATGACCCAGAAGCTGTACTCCCTAGGCCAATAAAGTGAGATGAGCGCCGCAACCCCAGAGTCGGTCACATTGGACATTGGTCAGGGGTCCCTTTACCTTTACTCCTGGCTAGCTACATGTCAGTTTAGGAAGCATTGGCTGCCAGGCATTTTGGGGGTGTGGGGGTGTTATGACATCTTTACATCAACTCCATGAACCCTGACTGGCTGGGATTGTGTAAAAATGGCACTCAAGAAACCATTGATCATGCAGCAAACAGCCCGCAAACAAGAGCAAACAAATGAGGGGCAGGGGGGAAACACGTTACTAATATTTTTTAATGCTGCCAACCTTTTCATTGTTTGTTTAAAAGCAGCTGCAATGTGCGAAAATATCCCAACCAAAGGAATAGGGTTTTGAAAATCCATGCAAAGCAATAAGGACAGCCTCTTTCAATTGATGCCAGACAAAGCCTGGAAATTAGCAATCCCGATGGCTGTCAACAATCACAGTTTGTGTATTCCTATGCAGAGTTCTTTAAAAAGTCGATTACCTATTTAACTACTTATTTCTGACAAAGTAAGATACTTCAGCATTTCAGTATAGGTGATGTTTTGAGGAAATGTCTCAGCTAAGTAATTTGTCTCAGCAGGTAAGTAATTTTAGTTGCATTGTTGGAATTGAGTCACAGCACTGAACACCTGTTCAGAGGTGACAGTTCCGACTGAAAGCTGATTTGGAAGCCACCTTTTCCATTCGTAAATTCATGATGAGTGATCAATATTCAGCTCTGAAGATCAAGAAGGGGAAAGCTATAATGGGGATCTGCTTATAATTTTCAGCAATACGGATTGTTAAGCACTTTGCACAATTAAAATGCTCTGTAATTAATAAATGCAGGCATCCTTCAAGTTCTCTGACAGCAGTTTCATGGGGTACCAGACTTTTTGGCATTTTAACTCTAAAATTAAAATTGTAGTTGTTTGTTTAAGTGTTTTGTTTACTTACTAGATCTATGTATCACTTTTTAAGCTGGGACAGTTTTCAAAAAGTGTACATTATACAGTATCAATTATTAACATATCTGAAAAAACATAAATAAAAGTAGATATAAAAGCAAATCAAGCCACATAGGGAAAAAGAAAAAAAGCAGAACAAGCCATAGCCTTAAAACTCCTAATCTCCGAAGGTTTGGCGAAAGAAAAACATATAATAATAATAATAATAATAATAATAATAATAATAATACAGTGGTACATCGGGTTACATATGCTTCAGGTTACATACACTTCAGGTTACAGACTCTGCTAACCCAGAAATAGCGCTTCAGGTTAAGAACTTTGCTTCAGGATGAGAACAGAAATTGTGCTCCGGTGGCGCGGCAGCAGCAGGAGGCCCCATTAGCTAAAGTGGTGCTTCAGGTTAAGAACAGTTTCAGGTTAAGTACGGACCTCCAGAATGAATTAAGTACTTAACCCGAGGTATCACTGTAATAATAATAATACGCACAAGGACATGACAGAATCCAGAGGCTTTTGCTGAAAAAGTATTGCACTTTGAAGAAGACAACCTAGTGAAATTGTTGTCTGCATATCTCAGTAAATGGATCAAAATCAGTATTTTAAGTTGGGCTCAGAAATAAAACAGTAACCAGGGCAGATGTTCTAGATTCAAATAGGTAGCCATGTTGGTCCGAAGCAGTCGAAATAAATAAATAAATAAATAAATAGTCCAGTAGCACCTTAGAGACCAACTAAGTTTGTTCTTGGTATAAGCTTTTGTGTGCATGCAGACGAAAGCTTATACCAAGGGCAGATGTTGAATATGATTCTAGGACGTAGTGCCCATCAATAGTCAACCAGCTTATCAGGGAACAACAGGTGACCTGTTAACCAATTTGTGAATCGTGAACTCCCTAGAATATGTTACAAAATCTGACAGAGTGGCTGAGGTTTTATAAGGGATGCATAGAAAGTCGTTGGCAGACGAGTTGGGGCAGAAAGTGCTGCTGAGAGTTTTAAACCCATGATGACATACCATTCTATTAGAGCTGCCAAATACTAAATCTTCTCTCATCTCATCTAATGCTGCCATATGTCAACCGTCAATTTCAAAGATTGAGATCAGATATCTTTGGGCATCAAAAGACACACAAGAAACATGTGGGGAATATATGGAAAATATTTGAGAATTCAAAGAGTTGGAATCCATCTGTCTCGAGAGACAATGGAGTCCGCCTCTGAGGGCAAAGCCAAACTGGTGGAGAATCACAGCACCCGCTGTGACTGCAGAGATTGGTAACTTATAATTGCTGCCTCACATGTTATTTTTGCTGCATTAGCAGCACTGAAGTGATCTCTCCCCCCGGCTTCACTAATGTGGTCCAAAGGAAAGCAGAGCAATACATTGGGCACCAGATTGGCTGCCATAATTGCTGGAAAGAGGCATACAAAGCACCGTCCAACTGCCTACTCCAGATTTGTGTAGGGTTTACTCATTAGCCTTTTCTTCTCCCCAAGATTTCCCGCAATTACAATTTCCAATTTAGCTAGGATTATGTGTGCAGGGTTCCTACCTTGATCATGGCTGAACTGAATGAACGAAAATCCAACTTTGTTTTGCACAGTTAAAACACTAAAGAGCGTGTTCTCTAGCCTCCCGAGTGCTGTAATTTGCTTGAGTAATCACAGCCTATGGGTTCTTGGACAATCCAATTAGTTCAAGTCAAAGTGTGTTAGATTCACGCCACAAGAACTATGCAAGGCATTAAGCAGAGTAAACATGGCATGATGCAATCTATGACTTATCTACTGAGCACAGAGTGAAACAGAAGAGATAAATGGAATCTGGTTTCCAAGAATTTTCATTTTGAAATGTCTGTTGCTTATGATATGAGAAAGAGTGAGAGAGAAGGCTTAGGATCCAGATATTAGACCTGTATGAAACATGGAGCAGCTGTCTCTCTCTGTGTGTGCTAAGGGAGTACCACAACTTGAGCCAAGGTTTTTTCGTCGTTTCTGCTCTTCCCCCCTACTTTTAATTCCATTGGGGTTTTTTTAAAAAATGCATTCCAATTTTTCAGTTTGACTTTTGTGTTTTCTTGATAAATCTGTGAATAAGTCATAAGTCTTTCAGACAGCTTTGGAAAGGAAGGAGAACAGAAAAGAGGACAGCCCTTAATTTTCACCACACACACACACACACACACACACACACACACCAATTTTAATTTTGATAATGTAATATTTACAAACATGTTTTTGTACATGCATATGTTTTATCTTAGTGGTATCCTAGTGGCATGTGTTTTGCTTATTAGGTTGATACACAAGGGATGGCAGCTGTGGACATCTGGATTCTATTTAGTAACAATTAAGTCTGTAAAGTAATAAACCAGTATTATCATTTTTTTATAATGTGTTTTTGAAGGCTAGAATTTGCTGTAGCAACTTGGCCAGAAACAGAAAAAAACAAAATGGTCAAGTCAGACAGGCTTACAATTATTTTTCTCCACCTGACTATTTATCTAATTCTGATGCCAATGTGCCTAATTTTTGAGATTCCTTGACCTTGACGTCTCTCAGGCACCAAGTTTAGGTAATAACAGATAATGTTGTTGCTGCTATGTTCTCATGTGGGAGCTGCCTATCCACAAATAAACTGGCTAAACCGTACTACTGAAATGGACTTTGCAGTGCTTTGAAGCCATCTCAGAAACTTCAACTGGTACAGCCACCAGGATGCTAACAGAGGGCAGTTTTGTGCTAGTTGCATTTGGCTATATCAGAATGCTGATACAAGCCTTGAAGGCCCTAAATGGTTTGGTTCCAGGTTACCCAAGGGAACACCTGCAGCCATATTACCCTGCCCATAATCTAAGAACCTCATCTGAGGTCCTGCTTGTGTGTCCCCCAGTATAGTCAGTTAGGCTGGTAAGCACACAGGGCAGGGTCTTTTCATTAGTGGCCCAGTAATTGTGGAACTCTTCCAGTTCACATTTGTTCTGTCATTCAAGAAGGTATTAAAAACTTACAATTTTCTTATTTCCTTAAAGAATGTTGGCGATTTAATTCAGTACCTCTCTTGCCTGTATCTACTCCATGTTCCATACACTGCCTGAGGTTCTGTTGTTCTGCATATGGCTTTGTGAGGGCTCGGCCTGAAAAGTGATTAATAAATAACTGGAATTGTAAATACCGTAAAGAATGTTCAAATGACTTGGTCGTGGGGCCCATTGGGCAGGTCTTTCCCATAAAACCAGCCCCCTCCTTCTAGTGCATTGCTAATTCCATGGGAAAGACCTACACAGTTGTTCCCCTGAAATACAGCTGGGTCTCACATCTAATGGGTACCCAAATCTCAGCTACTCTTGGATTCTGGAACCCTGCTGAAAAGCTACAGGGGTCTTTTGGCAACACTCAATATTCTCTTTACTTAAAACTTAACATGTCAATAACTTCCCGGGTGATGGATGAAATGTCTTGGAGGTCCTACATGTCAAGATAAACTTAGTGTGTGAACATTTGAGGGAGCCTGCAGAGATCCTTGATATCCCGTTGTTTCAAACCCTTCTATCCCTGCTGTGAGTTTGGATGGAATTATAACAGGTTTTCACTCCACAGTTGTTCTTGGAAACATCTCAGCAGTGCAAACAAATATTCCATGAGAATATGGCGTTGGTTCAGAAGCACACTGAGATTCCCAACTAAATCCCCATAATGTTTTGGGCTGAGATCCTTTGCCCTTCTCTTAGTTCTTTATGGATTCTCTTGATATAAGCCTGGATTGGATAGTCTTTGAAGGAGGTACAGGAGTTGTTCTTGCGTCTGAAGATTGCAACTCTGCCCTTTAACTGGTGGCAGAGAACCCTAGAAAAGGACAGTCCCTATTTGCACTGGAGTCCATCGTTAGCTAAGCAAAGATGTTTAGAATTCCAGATGGCTTGCTGTCAGGGTTCAGGTTTTCCCAGAAAATGAGCAAGGGGAGCAGGACTATATCCACACTGCCAGTGACTCTGAACAGCCGATGGACCAAGATATCCCTGCCCTAACATTGAAGGTTCCCATACTACCTGCCAGGGTTCCTGGACATGTCCCGCCTTCTCTCCCATAGTCAGAGGAGCAGAGGTGAAGAGGAGCCAAGCAGAAGCTTCAGCACCAACACCAAAGTGCCCTACTAGCTGAATGTGAAGCTACTCAGCAGGAAGAAAGGAATCACTTGTCTGGATAAGGGCCCAGCCAAGAGACAGGAAGGGGTGGAGCCTCCACTTCCCACTCGTGAGCTGCTTCCTTGCTGAAACAACAGCTCTCATTCAACAGATCACCTTCAGAACCCAGGGGAATGGACAGTTGAACACAGCTTTTCATTCTTTTTCATATACAGGAATATAAAAATGGCAACGTGAGGTCTTCTGCATCAGTATTCTGTTTGCTATCATGGTCACTTACACATTGCCAAAATAGAAGAAAGGCATTGCCAGAAAAAGAGGGAGGACAGAGATTTGCATAAATAGAATATATGCTTTGCCAAAAAAAAAAAAAAAAGAGAAAGGACAAAGGAGGACAGAGATTTGCATAAAATTTGCATTTGCTAATGTGCAAATTTAGAAATAATTACTATAATTTGAATAGAAATGAGATGATAAATCTGTGTTGTTAAGAACATAGGAAGAGCTGTGCTGGAGGCAGACCAAGGGCCTATCTAGTCTTAGCATCCTGTTTCTCACAGTGGCCAACAAGAGGTCTACGGGAAGCCTCTGAGCAAGACAAGAGGACTCCAGACCCCAGGACCAGGTATTCAGAGACATGCTGCTTCTGATTCTGGAGGCAATACAAGGACATCATGACTGCTAGCCACTGGTAGCTTTGTCCTCCACAAATTTTTGATGCAGGAGCACTCAGGCATGTGAACCCTTGACCCATCTGCCACCTGCAGTGACATACCACCCAAATACAGATATTCCTCTTCATAAGCTGTTTAAAATTAAAATAAAAACAGCTTATGAAACAGCTGTCATTCAGTTGTCAAATTTACTTTAATAATCTCCTGAGGACTAGAAATTAGAATTAAAAGATGGCATTTACTTCCCTCAAGAAAATCAGTAGAACCTTCATAAATACCCTGAAGACTGCATGCTCCATATTTTTGCCTGAACTGGGAGAGGCAAACTCTCTCATAAATATTCTCTCAGAACTGCTGGCTGAAATCAGTCGTGGTGTTAATGACTTAAGTTAGGAATTTCTGGCTCTTTGCCTCAGAGAGAAGAGAGCACTTCCAGATATCATTGCTTCATTTATCACAGACTTCCATATCGTTCTGAATTGGAGCGCATGCCCTATTCTGGCTCAATGTCCTTCAGCTCACTAGACTATTTTATGTAAGCCAGCACTGGCCTCTCAGTGCCCTTGTCAGGCTGAAATTGTAAAGCTGCCTTTTTTTCCCTCTTCCTCTTCCTCTTCCTGCAGTTGCTCCCTGCTATACCCAAGCTCCTCTAAGAGAACTATTTCCTTCCAGGGATACGACACCGATGAATGCTCACTATAGGACCGCTACTTTGCAGTCTAGACACTGGATCTAAATTTTCAAGGTTGCCTTCAGATGACCCGTTTGTTCAGCATTCATCCTGATTTGTTTGCACAAAGTTTACAGGGCGGTTAGATGACGTCACCAGTTATTGAGCATTCAGCCTGATTTGCTTGTACAGAGGTTATAAGATGTTGCGTCAACACAAACTTTCCAGTGCATTTTCCCATCACAGAACTAATTTGCGGAAGTGTTTTCTGTGTGCGCAAAACCCTTCTGAGCATTTTAGCCTATAATGCATAGCAAAACCATGAAAGCCAGTTTGTTTCTGTACTAGCAATGGATGAGATCAGAGGATTCCAACCAAAATGATGGTATGCTTCCTTCTGATTTGAGCTGATCTTGAAGCAACCCAGGTCAGCGGAAACACTTCACACTTCCATTAGCTGATGTGTTGGAAGCAAGCACCATGTTTCCATGCACTCAGTGTCAGCCTGCAAGGTCAGCCAGACCTTGGTCACTTGAGGTGCTTTTAGTGGACAAAAGCTAATGCAAGTGGAACAGTCCCCACACTCTTACTTCATCTGCTGGAAGGACATTCTGTTAAACATTTGTCCTTCTGTTGCCTGTTTTGCTGCTAGAGATATAATTACAGTAAACGACCTTTCTTTCCTACTACTTTATCCATCCAGATCAATATTTGTATGAATGTCGATGAGGATTTTTGGTAGGTTCCAGATCTGCACGCAAAGAGAGTTAAGATTCCTATTCTCGTGTGAAACAAATAGCTAGGTAGAAAATGCTAACCTCAAAACACAGAAATGAATTGTCTGTGAACCTGAGAGGAGTGGTTTGGAGCCCAATTTTGTGCAATTTGTCAGATTATCTTTGTATCATGTAAACCTAAATTTACGGAGAAAAGCATTGAGATTGGTGTTGTTTGAGAGTAAAATCATGTGGACTACACAAATTAAATTGGAATGCAAATAGCTGCAAATGCACAGTAAAATTATACCTCATGTTATGTTTGCTTCAGGTTGAGCGTTTTCAGGTTGCATCCCGCGGCGACCCGGAAGTACCGGAAAGGGTTACTTCCGGGTTTTGCCGGTCGCACATGTACAGATGCACAAAATGACATCACGCGCATGCGCAGAAGCAGCAAATCGTGACCCGCGCAGACGCAGGTTGCGTTCCTTTCAGGTTGTGAACGGGCCTCCGGAACGGATCCCATTCCCAAACAGAGGTACCACTGTAAATTCCAGTGTGGACGAGCCCTATATCATTTGCGACTTTCTTATCACATTCTTGGATTACTGCCTCTCTTTTAAAGCAAAAAGGATAGCAGCAATCAAAATACAACATATAACGTTCAGCACCCAGGATTAACATAATATATAATGGGTAAGAAGGGTTTCCTTTCTGACAGATAAATGACCCCCAGAACTGCTTTACATGTATATGCGATTTTATATCATTTTATCTTGTTTAGAGCTTTCAAATTTTGTAATTGGTGTTTTTGCCTTGGCACTGGTCATTGACCATAATAAAACAACTTGTACTTGTATGCCACTCAACTGTAAATAAAACCCTGTGTGTGTGTGTCATTAAAATACTTAATTAAGGTCAAGGTTAAATCAAGGTGTGTTTTTTTAAAAATCAGTATATGAATAAAAACAACTGATAAAAATATATATTATAAACTAAAATTACAGATTAAAATGCACCTTAGCTTTGTGGGTTATATTCAACACTCAACACAGTATGACTTATTTATTATTAATATTAATATGCCTTTTCTCCTGGGTGGGACTGAAGCAAAAATATTTTGGGGCAAAGGTAGAGAGAACCAAGGTTTCTTTATCCCCTCAGAGAAAAAAAGCCCATTGTTCTGTACATTCTCCCCAAGGTATTACTGCTTTGCACACATCTTTGTAGCATAACCTTGTAACATGTGAACTCAGAAGTAAGTCCTACTGTGTTGAGTGCTGTTTACTTCCAAGTAAGTGCATACAGGACTGCAGCCTTAATCTGGCTTTGGCTGTGAATAAGGAATTGCAGGATTGTTATTCAAGACATAATAACCCAACTGATGTGGTAGACGCAGAAACGCAGAAACACTATTTTGGTATCTCCTGCTTGTGTGACAATGTCCGTGTGCATTCAAGGCATCCTTGCCATTCCTATATAACTGTAAGAACAAGCAACACATTATTGCCTTGCTGTCTTTTTTTACTTTGGACTCATCCACACTTCTCCTTGTCCCTCCTCTTTCCCCATGGAAAACCCGCAGTGCACCACTGAATCACAGCAAACATCATCCAGGTTTTCTGCAGAACGATGTCTGTCCTGATTCAACAGTAAAAAGCAGATTTCCTGTGGAAAACGGGGGGGGGGGGGGGCAAATGAAAAACCTCTCAGACCATGCTTGGACGAACCCTTCCTTTAAAGCCTAGCAGTTACTCACCCTTATTATAATACAATGAAATGTCTTGCATGCTCATTTTATTGTTCCCGGGGAGGGGAGATAGTCCTTCACTATTACAGTGGTACCTCAGGTTAAGTACTTAATTCATTCCGGAGGTCCGTTCTTAACCTGAAACTGTTCTTAACCTGAAGCACCACTTTAGCTAATGGGGCCTCCTGCTGCTGCCGCGCCACCAGAGCATGATTTCGGTTCTCATCCTGAAGCAAAGTTCTTAACCCGAGGTACTATTTCTGGGTTAGCGGAGTCTGTAACCTGAAGCATCTGTAACCTGAAGCGTCTGTAACCCGAAGTACCACTGTATTGCTAAGGGAATGGCAGTCTTGTGCGGCTATCTGGTTCTGTCAACAGGTGAACAGAAGAGACTTACTTCTGTTGGGTCGTTAGTTAGCAGCAATTGCTCTCTTATGGCACAACATCTACACAGATATTGGTGAAGGAAGTCTCCTGGCCTGCGATTTCCTTCCCTCGGAATCAGCCAGAGAATGACACACACCACCATTACAAACTTCATCCCTAATTCCTGCAGCTGCTTTACATACTTGCCTGGCTAAACACCGCGTTTGCCTACTATGAGCTGCTGAGTCACTGCTGAGGCTGGGTTGCCTCTGGGAGAATATCCAGAGCCTTGGCAAATCCCTTTCTGCATCAATCTGTCTGACTAAGCCTTTGTTCTAACCCAGTATGAATCAAGATCGGAGAGGGAATCCCAGCACGCTCTTCTAATATCCCTGAGCTCTTTATGAAAATAGGCCAGAACTGACACTCTTCGCCACCTAGACAGAGAGCTGAGGTGAATCACAGGCTTCAACAATTATGCAAGCAAATCACCGCCAATGAAGAAGAACAAAAATATCTCGAGGCTGGATGATTCAACAACGTGCAGGAGCTGCCTTATTATCTATGATTTACAGTCTAGGAGGATTTTTGCTGTTGTTGAAAGGATGGTTTAATATTGAGCTAGGGATCTATCAGAGGAAAACTCAAGAATTTTAGAATCAACCTAGGTATGATTTATATGCTTTCTTCATAATTAGAGTCCAGAGACAGCACTTCCTTCTGGGTAGCCTGTGATCAGTGGAAGCCTCACAAGATGTTTTAGTGGTACCATGCCTGAGTTTTGGAAGCTCTGCAACTCTGTGGGATCAAACTGAAACCAAAGAGGGCTGTAGCTCACTGCTGGGACATCTGCCTTGCATGCAAAATGTCCTAAGTTCAATTCCCAGCATCTCCGCATACAACTGGGAGAGATTCCACCTGAAATCCTATTGAGCTGCTGTCGCTGAGTGCAGACAATACTGTGGTAGATGAACGATGGCCTGACTCGGTTTGAGGCAGCTTCCTATTGTGGCAGCTTCCAAGAGGTAGCCATGCTGCTGATGACGCAGACGGGAGCCCACAAATGTTTATGCTGCAATAAATCTGTTTGTCCTTAAGGTGCCACAAGACTCCTTCTTGTTTTATGGATTTGGGCATCCTAGCAGCTTGCCATCAATAGCAAAATGGCGGGGTCTAAAAGCCACCACTGCACGACAGCTTCCCAGTCTGTTGACGTGTGTTCCCAGTGCTATACTAAGTGCTGATTTTGTACAGCAGTGGAAAAGCCGAAGCACAGAGAACATATGGAAAGAGTCCCTCATTAAAACGGTTCAAATATCAGAAGGGACAGTGAGGAAAACTGGCTAGCCTCCCTATGAGGACTGCCAAGGGTGAAAGGTTAAGCATCATACTCCTCAGAGCATGTGCAGTTCACAGTCCTTGGGAGTACATCAAAGCACTTCTGAATTCTTTAGATAACTACATGCCTTATGGGTATTCGGAACCAGATTACATTCAATCTTCTGCAATTAGGTTGCTCACAGGCGAGTTAGACCACATTGTGAAATCATCTCTGAACTACAAAGTGTTTCCCCAACTTTACCCTCTTCCCCTTATTGCTGTGGCAGAATCCTCATCGTTAAGACTACCGAGCCTAGGCTTACGAATCTACTGGGAGCGCAGAGAGGGGTGGCATGTAGTGAGAGCGCAAAGCCTCAGAGGAAACCCCAAGCCCTCCCCAGCCCTGTTTCCCTGGTCTGCTCACATGGTGGAGTTTGGATACTGCACCCAGCCCACCTCCTTGTACGCGGCAGTCACGTGAGTGCAGATGAGGCTCTTCATCTTGGCCCAGGCTCTCTGGACCTCTGGGGAGGTGAATTCATTGGCGTAGTCTTCGGCAAGCACTTCCAGTATGACACCAATGAGAATCTGGGAGGAGAAGAAGTGGCAGTAATAAGTTAAGACAGTGTCCCCCATATTTTCCCCTAACAAGAAACTAGTGTCTATCTTTGTTGTGTCTCCCTGCCAGCACAATTCCAATTTCTTCATTGGGGTCTATGCTGTCCTTCCATATGTTGCAGACCAGGGCATCTTACCACATTTTAATTTCTTGTTTGCTTATTATTTGTTTTGCTGATAATGTGTTTATTTATTAATTGCCTTCCGCACGCACGTTGTGAAGCGATGTACAAAATATAATAAAATGAGCAAATAGATCGTTCTGGCTCACTTCCCTTCTGCCTCTCAAATACCTCAAGTGAATTCATCTATGTATATATCCATGTATACAAAGTGGAAGGAACCACCTCTGAAGATGAAAGCAGGACAGTTCACAACAGGCACAACTGGTATGAAAATAAGAACTTAGTGTCCAAAGTCCATGTGAACATTTAAAAAGGAAATAGCTCCTGAGCGTTAGTGGAGAGAAACCTTAATCAGATGCTGATGACCACAGAACATAATTATAAATTTCTTCCATGATTGGAACTAGAATGGAATTTTGGAACCCCAAAAGAGTTAGATCAACAAACTGGGACTATCCCAAATTCCTATGCTTCTGAGAACCCACAACAGACTGTATCAGTGAATTTGTCTCAGTTGTTTTTGATTTGTATCTTCAGATGCAGTGTTGCACTATCTGAGTCCTATTTTTATGTTTCTTCTACAAGTGTTTTTCTTCAATTTTTATGTTTATATTTAATTATTGAATTTATTACATTTTTCTATGTACCTTTACTGAGACATGCTCTTTGCAATACAAGTATTTCTATAAATCCATTTCCCCTGCCTATTTGCCAGAATTTTATATAGGCCACATCTGCACAGCAGTTTAATGTGCATTCAGAGCTCACTTGTGCCTGTATGCTTTTTCCTGGAGTTCACATGATATCCTCCTCATCCACATGCCAGCACACTCCCCCCCCCCACTGAATTAGCATTTCCCAATCGTTGATCATATGACAAGGGGAATAAAGTCTTGCAGAAATTCACACTTTGCCCAATGGTGGACATAAACAAGCACACTGTGGCTTCAGATGAACTCATGAAGGGATAGAATGTCCTGGCTGTCGACATAAGAACATAAAAAAGCCTGCGGGGTCAGGCCAATGGTTCACCGGGTCAGGCATCCTGTTCTCACCGAAGCCAGACAGATACCTGGGGATAAGAGCACTCTCCCCACCTATGGTCTCCAGCAGCTGGCATTCAAAAGCATTATTCCTCTAGCTGTGGAAGCAGAGCAGAGCCAACGTGGCTAGTAGCCACTGATGACCTTCTCCTTCATGAATAATAATAAATTGTATTTATACCCTGCCCTCCCCGGACAAAGCCGGGCTCAGGGCGGCCAACACCAGTAAAATTACAATGGAAACATAATAGGGGGGGAAAACAAACAAAAAAACCCCAATTTAAAATACCGGTTAAAATACAATTTAAAAAGCAGCCTCATTTTAAAAGTAGGCCATAAATCAAAACCATAAAGGGAGGGAAGACATAAGGGTCTCAACATCTTTTTTTAAAGCCATCACAGCCTCCTGTGGGAGTGGGCTTCATTGTTTAAGTATCCACTTTATTTTTCAATTTTTATTTATCAGTTTTGTGCAAATTTGATCCTTTGCAAACAGATGTATTTAATTTAAGAACAAAAAAGGTGTGGGGGGGGGATCACTAGCTAGCCAGAATCATAGCTGTCAACTCCCCCCCCCTTTTTAAGGGAAATTCCCTTATTCCGAATAGGATTCCTCGCAAGAAAAGGGAAAAGTTGACAGCTATGGCCAGAATGGGCAACTGGCACAGAATCGCTGCTTTTTATCTGCCCTAATTGAAGTATTTCCCTGTTATCCATGAATGAACAAAGACTTGGCTTTCTCTTTACCTTAAAGTAGAATGGTTCGACTTTGTGCTTGACAGCATGCGCCTTGCCCACCAAGGCTAGAACGGAGGAGACCTTTTCTGAGTCGTAGATGTTCTCCACCACACTATTAATAGCCCCCATGACCCGCATGCCATGTTTACGCAGCTGCGGACTCCTCTCCATCTCTAGCGGGTCCTCCATGTGCTTGAATTGGCTGAAGTACTGCTTGGCAGACGGGAAGTTGACAAAAAACCTGCACGGCGCCGTTAAGAAGAGAAAGAAAATGGGAAAGCTAAGTCAACCTAAGAGATATATGTTGAGTGTAATTGGCCCTCGTCTGCACTATATGCTTAAAGCAGTATCATATCTGTTTAAACAGTCATGGCTTCCCCTCAAAGAATCCCAGGAACTGTTGTCTATTAATGGGACTACCTGCATACCAGGGCAGTGCTGGTGCTGAACTCTCATTTTTTTATTATTATATATATATATCCCGTATTTTTCGCTCTATAGGACACACCCGACAATAAGACACACCTAGTTTTAGAGGGGGAGAACAAGGGGGGGGAATCTCCATTTCTCCTGCTGCTTCGCTGAAGGGGCACTGCGCAGAGAGGGAAAGCTGCGCAGTGCCTCTCCAGTGAAGCGAAGCCAGGAGAGCAAGAGGGATCGGTGCGCACCGACCCCCTTGCTCTCCTAGCTTCAGGGATAGCCACCCAAAGCCTCCGGAGCACAGCTCCGGGACCTCCCGCTGCACTCCGGAGGCGTTGCGTTGCTTTCGCTGAAGCCATGGAGCCTGCATTCACTCCATAAGATGCACACACATTTCCCCTTAATTTGTGGAGGGGAAAAAGTGAGTCTTTGGACGCGTCTTTTTGGAGGGGAAGAAGTGCAAAAAATACAGTATTTCAAAAACACATATAGCAGAAATTTCAATGCCTATCACTTATTTCATTACCTTTTAGAACAAAGAAAAAGAGAACAAAAAAGAGGAAAACATATACTAAGAATCCACAAGTACATGGGCTTGTAACATCAAAATAAACAGAAACATTTAGCTCAATTTATCTCTCTCTTTGTGTATGTCTGTCTACTCCATAGAGAGACTTAGAATATAATTGACATAACCAAGGGAGGCAGTTATGAGTAATTCTATATAAATAAATGATGTACTGGGATACAATTTTTATTTAAATCACTTATTGTATGATTAATAAATGGCTACCTCAACAGCAGCTTTACTTCTTTGTACTTTTAAGTGATATGTGTCCCCCCCCCATACCGCTATAAATAAAAGCTTTTTATACTGTTCATCTAGAGTCCGATTATGTGCATCCTTCCAATTCTGGGTAATAACCAAGCATGCAGCAACAAACATGAAAACAACTAAGCCCTTTGGGCATAAATTACATGTTTGGTCAGAAGATATAGAAAAGAAACACATCCCAGGTTCATAAGGGACACCAGGCCCCCAAATAATATTCATTTCTCATAAAACCCATTTCTAGTATTTCGCCATCGGGGTAAAACCACCATAGGTGCAGAACTCTGTAGAAATATAACCTGATTTTGAGGCCAGTAGGAGTCAGGTAAAAAGAGAATTCAATAGGTGTCTTTAGAGACTCCTAAGAGTCGCAGGTGGCACTGTGCGACTGGACCTAACAGTCAGGGGTCCTTTTACCTTTACCTTTAAGAGTCATCTAACTCAGAGACTAACTCAGTCGCAAGTGTGTGTTCATGTGTGCATAATTATTTCTACTGCCATTACATGAGATAAAAAGTTATAACAAATTAGCATTATGACCCTTGTTCCATCCTTCTTCCAGAGGGTCCAAAGTCTTATTTTATTTATTATATGACTCTGGGCTTTCTGGAAATGGCATCTGACTCTTTATAGCTGCTTTACATATCACTATTTGGGTATATTTTTAGTGTGTTTTATCAAGCACTTGTTGCACATAGCAGAGTTATAGTCGCTGTAAGTCTGAAGGCAGTACGTATGCAAAATTGCCCAGGATAAAGCATGAAAGAACCACAGCTCAGTAGATATTTAATCACATATTGGCAACTTTGGTTTGCACACTTAAAGCTGATTGGGAGGTTTTGTGCAACAAACCTGCTTCCCCGAAAGACTGGACTTGTTGTGATAAGGGAATTGATGGGGAAATGCAAAGTCCTCTCCACACAAACAAATCAAGAGGAAAGCTCAATAAGCAGGTCACATTGACGTGGCTGTCACCTAACCATCTAATCACAATCAATGCTGAATAAACAGGTCTCCTCTGGAGGAGCCCTGTGTTGCATAGGAAGGCAACCCAGGAAATGTTAACCACTTGTCCCCTCAAACCTGCATTGTTTGCACAGCAAACACCTGCCTCAGCTCATTTCAGCCTGGCACAGACTGAAACAGATGTCTACACAGGCCATGCATCTCCCTTCCAATGTCACCTCAGCATTCTGAGATCCTGGCTCACTGCTTCAGGCCCCTTGTACACACACAACACTACCGAGAAGCAGACTCATCCCCCCTTTTCTTCTGTTCTTCCCACTTGGCTGAATCTCACGCAGGAGGTTGCCAGGAAAACCGTGTGAAGCCGCGAATGGAATAACCATCGTCCTTGCTGCCTTCCCTAGACATCTGGGATTTATCAGCCAGCCTAAAATAGGTTTTGATGTGTGAAGAGTGTGTGGCAACAAAAAAAGGAAGAAAAAGTCTAGAGGGGGTTGGGGAGGAGGAAGTCGTTTGTAAGATGAAACAGAAAGGGAACCACTTCTTTTCCGTCTTCTTTTCCCTCTTGTGTTCTCTTTAGCCTTTCTCAAATTAAATCGAAATGCCAAGTCTACCAAGTTTGCTTTTGACAGGGAAATGGCCGCATGCGTTAAGGGTCTGTTTGCTCTTGGGCTGCTTTTAAACTCCCAGGTGCTTTTGCGTGGGGGCAAAGTGCTCAGTACAAGCCTGCCCAGTAAACAGCCTGGGAGACTTTGGTCAACAGGCAGTCTAGAAAAAAATTACCGATTAATCATATCCTGCAAGCAAGGACTCCAGTTCGACAGCCTACCTCAGTTCCCTCAGGGAGCTAGGCAACCCTGATTCAGAACCCTCAGAGTTGGCCATTATTCAGGGGAAACTGGTAACCAAGCAATACAGTGGTACCTCAGGTTACATACGCTTCAGTTTGCGGACTCCACTAACCCAGAAATAGTACCTCGGGTCAAGAACTTTGCTTCAGGATGAGAACAGAAATCATGCTCTGGCGGCGCGGCGGAAGCAGGAGGCCCCATTAGCTAAAGTGGTGCTTCAGGTTAAGAACAGTTTCAGGTTAAGAACGGGCCTCCGGAACGAATTAAGTACATAACCCGAGGTACCACTGTATAGGCAGACTCCTTCACAAAATTAATGCCTAATTTATACCTTTCTGAGAACCAAAAGGGCATTAAAAGCATGAGCAATGGGCAGGAAGATGCCTTTCTTCACTATTGAGGATGGGCATAAACAATTCTGGATTGACGAAAAACTGCATCTTTGTGCTATAAATGGGTCACAGTGCATGTAGTTTATGAGAGATGGTGGGTGGATGCGTTCTAAATGTCTACAAGTGAGACTTGGAACAAAATGCTGCAGCACAGGAGATGCTGACCACTCCATTCCTGCTCTCTCCTTGCTCCCAGTTTTCCATTCCCCGCCCCCCAAATAGCTAGCCAGCATTCTGTGTCTAGTGAGCATACATGGTCCCCATTGAGCTGCTTTGAGGGCTCCATCCTGAAGAGTTATGTGAATTTTGTAGCACTCCCAAGCCTCCTAATAGCCCTCCTCCCCTTGTGCTGGGGTTATTTTGGATACATAAGCACTCATGGCCTGAATGCTGGAAATCTGACCCCTTCATCAGAATCCTTGCTGTACAGGCATACTTTGCAATAATAATAATAATAATAATAATAATAATAATAATAATAATGGCTTTTCATTCAGTTGGGATTATTTAATACATTGCCATGATATTCAGGGCTCATCCACACTTTGGCTTATCTCTGCTTTCTAGGCATGGGTATGAGAGGTTTTTCTTCTTCATCATCATCATCACTATCACTATCACCATCACCATCACCATCATTTATTTATACCCTGCCCATCTGGCTGGGTTTCCCCAGCCACTCTGGGTGGCTTTCAACAGAACATTAAAAACAGAATAAAACTTCAAACATTAAAAGCTTCCCTAAACAGGGCTGCCTTCAGATGTCTTCTTAAAGTCTGATAGTTGTTTACTGCCTTGACATCTGGTGGGAGGGCGTTCCACAGGGCGGGTGCCACCACCGAGAAGGCCCTCTGCCTGGTTCCCTGTAACTTCACTTCTTGCAGTGAGGGAACCGCCAGAAGGCCCTCAGAGCTGGACCTCAGTGTCCAGGCTGAATGATGGGGGTAGAGACGCTCCTTCAGGTATACTGGACCGAGGCCGTTTACGGCTTTAAAGGTCAGCACCAACACTTTGAATTGTGCTCGGAAACATACTGGGAGCCAATGTAGGTCTTTCAGGACCAGTGTTATGTGGTCTTGGCAGCCACTCCCAGTCATCAGTCTAGCTGCCGCATTCTGATTTCGCTCTTCCTGAAGCCCAGATATATCTGCATCAGCATGCTGAATGATGGCCTTGTTGATTTCAACTTGGGGTGGGTAGGAGGCTTTTAAAAAAAGAATAATCTCATGGTGGGAGAAAACAGCCACGTGAAATCAAGCTTCAGAAAAAATATATTATTGTATATTGCTGCAAGCTTTTGCAAATCTAATATTTGCTATGGCATAACATGCACAGTTTAAACTGATAAAAAGCAGATGCCGGAATACTGATTCCACCGAATTCTTTCTCTGATTAATTCCATTCTAAGCCTCCTCTTTTGTGTTTCAGGACATACATCTGGACAAACATGGACAATGTGTCCTTTAAGACTCTTCTGACTTCCCCTGGGCCCTTTCCTCTCTCAGCATTTTGGGAACGTGATTTTTAGGCCCAGTCCATTGAGAAACTCTTTGACCAAGGCACTTTGAAATGAATGGGGCTTAAAGAAAAACTTTGCTGTTGCACAACAAGAGTGTGTGTGAGAGGGGGATTTGTTCAGGAGATGTAGATTTGTGGGCTGTCCTCCTAATCAACAGCAGAAGTTGGGAAATAATCTCATTAAGGTGCAAGATTGCCACAGGCATTGGGAATGTGTTACGGGGTTCTCTTTTTGAATCAGATATTTGTTCAATATGCTGGAGGAGTGAACTCATTATCTAATGTTTTGTCAGGAACTGTAGTTTGACATCACAATCATCTCTCCAGCATTACCCCAACGCTTCCAAGTTTATAAATGGGTGAACTATATTTGGCAATCTTGTTTCTTCTGTCAGTGCATCTGGAACCATTTAGGATGGATCCTAACAAGTGTGTAACCTGAGGAAAATTTAATCCATGAGGCTTTCAAAACAAAGGTCCATAAAACATTTTCAAAAGCTGGAGGCATTTTATGATTCTGACCGCTACGTGGAACTGGGCACTTGTTACAAAATAAAACATCTGAACATATTAGCTTTAATAGATAGATACAGTGCTTTTTTCTATTAAAAAAAATGTTTAGGGGTACTCTCATCTTCACTCAAGAAAATCACCATCTTATAGTTCAAATCGGGGGAAATAAATACAGCCTGGCGTGCTCTGGTCCATGGGGTCATGAAGAGTCGGAGATGACTAAACGACTAAACAACAACAAATACAGTAAACGGACAAAAGTACAAAGATTCACAAAATGTTTAGGGGTATGCATACCCCTGCGTACCCCCAGAAGAAAGCACTGGATAGATAGATAGATAGATAGATAGATAGATAACAAGTTTCTAGTACATAAAGGACTGTGAAGATAACTTTGGCAATGCCTGGTGAAATCATAGAGCCTGGGATATATGTATGCACAGAGCTGACTTTCTAGTGGTCAGGGGTAAGTCTTTCGTGATTTGCAAATTTCTTTGCTTCTTATCAAGGCTTGTCGAGACTTGTCCATGAATAAAATTTTGCAAAATAAAGAAATAGATGCACATTGGTTAATTAGATATCACAAAATTCAGCTCCTTCTTTGGCACAAAATCTGAGTAACGTTGGCACAGAACTGTTGCTTTGTTTATTGATTTATATTTAGCATCACAACCCTGCCTATATCAAGCTAACAGGACATGTGTGTCGTGAAAACCTTCTCAAGCTTCAGATACACTGCTGGGATAAGCCTCCAGGATGCTACAATAGCTTTATTATTGGCAACTCTAAATCAAGGTAGTCAGAAAAAAGATCTAGAACTACTGGTAGATTTCCAGATGAATTCCAGCAGATTGCCAGGGGTTTTCCCCCCACAATGAATTGACAGCTGCAACAAAATGACCCCCTACAAAAAACCACAAAAAACCCCACAATGATGTTAGTGTGCATTAAACTGCTTTTGTAAACCACCTTGTGAGGGCAATATGCCCCTTAAAGGAGGGCAAGTAATAGGTTCCATTAACTATTCTGGAGGATCCGATTTTGGAAACACAGCATAGATTTTCCAGGTTATAGTGAGAAAAGCCACTGACTTTTGGGAGTTGGTGCCAGTCTAAGCACCCATTTCTTACTTGTCCCATAGATGCCAAGTTAAGGTGTACCCTTGTTATTTGTTTGAGCCACATTTACCTGTTCTGTTGGGTAGCTATCCAAGTGCATTGGGTACTTAAAATTGAAAAAGCAGAGCCATGATATCCATCTAATCCACCCATCCATCCACCCACCATCTTTCCTAGTATGAATGCATAAGCTTGCTCTACCTCTTGCTGTGTGATATGTGGAAGTGAACTAGCTAACTTGCCTTTCAATGCAGATTTTCTAGGGCCCCGCTAGCCAGTCTGAATATACGACAAGCTGCAATGGATTCTCCCTCGCATCCCCATCCTTTCTCTGTCTATCCGTCTCTTGTGCGAGCTCTCCTAAAGCCTGGCACCAAAGAAAAATGTGGACCATCTAGCGACAGAAGGGCTGTTTCTGTTTCTGCCAGAGTGCTAAGCCATTGCAGTTGACCTATTCTAGACAGATGCTCGTCCTTTTCATAACACTGTTATCGTGATTTCAGCAGCCTGGGCTGCTTTGATTTATCAAAGGCTTTCAGAGACGCTCGTCTCAAAGAGCAGAGGCCACTGCTGTGCTCTGAAGTAATTACCAGCCTTACAGAATTTTGTCCTGTGTAGTCATTTCACCACCATAGGCAACACATCCCACTAGACAGCATAATAGCCCTCGAATTCACTCAGTGGTCATTTCCAGAAGCCCAAACATCCTTTGATTCATAAATCTAACTTTTCACTCTGTGGCTCTGAAATCCCTGCATTCTGACTATCTGTTTAGTGTTCAGGGATGTGAATTGTGCCTGCGGTGCAAGAGATGTTACAGCAATTTCTGTAGCCTATGCCAAAAATGATCTGATCTCATACTCAGAAATCCCCATCCCTGCTCCCCAAAGATTTTGCTGGAAGTCTGATTGCATTTTGCACATTCTCCCCTTTTCTGTCCAGTTTCTTTTGGGCAATATTTTTATGTGCTGGTTCTCGCAACTTGGTACAACACCCTGCCTGTAAAGACACAGAGCTGGAACAGATACTTCCTTTTGTGCTTCCTTTCTTGCCTAGAGAAGATAACCCTAGAGAAATCTCTGCTAGAGATTCCAAGACTCTCCACAGGAGTTACAGTTCCCAGAGCTCCTTAGATAAGACCCATGGGGGGAACTAAGCAGGTTTGAAATTTATTTACAATTACATATATAGTGCAGACGTTGGCTGAATCACAAGACAAGGAGACGGTAAAAAATTCAAGCAAACCCTTGAAACACATTCTATGTGCGAGAGAGTTGCTCTCCTACAAAACAATGGCTGTTCATCAAGTTCACCACAACTCTCTTCAGATTTCTACTACTTCTTTCTAAATCAGCCAATTTCATGTCAGGTGTATTAAAGACTAATAAACCTTGCTAAAATACACAGATAGTGTATCTGAAGGAGCGTCTCCACCCCCATGGTTCTACCCAGACACTGAGGTCCAGCACCGAGGGCCTTCTGGCGGTTCCCTCACTGCGAGAAGGCAAGTTACAGAGAACCAGGCAGAGGGCCTTCTCGGTAGTGGCACCCGCCCTGTGGAACACCCTCCCACCAGATGTCAAAGAGAACAACAACTACCAGACTTTTAGAAGACATCTGAAGGCCACCCTGTTTAGGGAAGCTTTTAATGTTTGATGTATTACAGTATTTTAAATTTTTTTTGGAAGCCACCCAGAGTGGCTGGGGAAGCCCAGCCAGATGGGCGGGGTATAAATAAATTATTATTATTATTATTATTATTATTATTATTATTATTATTATAGTGGGATAATAGTAAAGTTTTGGGATTGGTTTTTTTTTAAGTATGTCCTTGACTGTGCACTACTTCTGTGTTTTCTTTCTTTCACTCTGCTAACTCAGTCACCTCCAATTCTAATGTTTACTCCCCACCCTTCACAATACTTTGGACAAGCTTTTGGTGTTTCCTGGGTGTGGAGGGGGAAAGCTTATCTGTTTAAATGTATAAACATTTTCTTTTTTTAAAAAAACCCTGCCAATCATTTTCTTTATTTCTTTTCACTGGAGGCATGCTCCTGTCTGGCGATGGGTGGCTTTGGGACTGCCGCAAGGGCCAACCAATCAGTGCTTTGCACAGCCAGATGAGCAGGGGCGGGGGGGGCGGGGGGGGAAGGTGGCATTGTCATACCAGCCAATCAACACTCTCTGCCATTGACTTCTGCAGGGAAACAGGAAGAACCGTAGATGTTTTCAGTTCTAGGGAAAAGGAGCAAGTACAGACCCACTGCAGGCTCACCACTCAACCTATTCATTTTTGTAATTTCTTCCCATATGCCTGATAAAAACAGATGACATGAGATCAACTTTGGCCTGTGAAAACCTAAATCTAGGGCTGATTTTAGCCTTGTGAGAATTAGATTGGATCGGGTGTCATAGTCCTGACTGAATATAGTATCTTTAAAATATTCATTGCCTCCTTAGTGGTTTTCCTTCCTTTTCTGGAATGGTTTTGCAAAGTTAAGGGAAAGATTAACCTCCTGATACACACTAAATTACGTCAAAATTAATATAGGTTTGTCGTGTTCCACTGTTATGAAACCTGCCTGGTATTTAAACACAAACTCCGCAAAGATTACATCATCTAAAAAATGCTGGGTGCTTAACACTTAAAATGCACACCAACTATTTTCATCCATTATCCATGTAAGGTTTCTCAGTCCTGTTTAGCATTTGCTTTTGCAAAATTAAATTTAAGATATTGAAATCCAAGTTTGCTTGCTATATTGGCCGGGCAATTATTGTTTGGCATTCCAGAATTATATGAGACACTGTGATTTAGAGAAATTAGAAGCCATCCCTGTTAAGTTTGTTGAAGAATGGCTCCCATTCTTAACACGCCTTAGTTCTTAGAAAACATTTTGCAAACTGCCTCTAAAATTTACTTGCATATGTTTGTATTAAGTATTAATGAAGTTTCTATTCTTAACAAAGAAAACCCATCTTCATTGTATGTTTTATATGTTATATTTCTGCTAACCAGTGCTGAATACAAGAATTTGGTAACTTTATAAATCTCATTTTTTTTATTGTGTAACTGTTTTGCACATTTTTCTGCTTTTTCTTTTGTAACTTTATTACGAAACAACAACGCAAACCCCCAAATAAAGCAAAATTGAAATAAGAAAGAAAAAACACAGAAGCCATTCTAGAGCCCAAATAAGCCAACAGTCATTTTACTAAGAAACCTTTTTGGTCAAAGTTCAGTCACATAAGTTTCTGGTGCTTTGCTTTCTGCAACAGTGAGATCCTTCTCAACCATGGAGCCCTTCTTTCAGTCAGATTCCCAAGTATGAATCTGGCCTGTATTGTCAGGGGTTAAATTATTGTGAGATGAAATTAATGCAAAATGCAGAGACTTTCAGTTTCCCCAAGGGAAGAGGTGTTATGCATTCTCACAGTGAAGGTTCTCCTACATAAAGCTACCAATTACATATTTCCTCATGGCTACATAGGAGTGAAATTCAGGGTTTATCGCTGCCTGGACAATCACAGCTTCTGAGTGAATGTGTGCACAAGTCAACCACTTGTGTGCAAGACTGCCACAGAGCACACACAGGTTGCATATTAATTCCTAGGTAGAAGTGCCTTCCATGTAGGGGTGTCCTTAATGCTTAAAGCAACAGTTATTACTCCGTGATGAGGGGCAAGTCACTGTCTTTCTCAGCTTAACCTACTTCTTATCCAAGGTTGAAGAGGTTTTAATGATGGGATAATGGATTGGATAACAGATTGGATAACTTCTCTCTCTCTCTCTCTCTCTCTCTCTCTCTCTCTCTCTCAGCAATTCATCATGAGCTTCTGAGGTGCCACAGTATTTGGGGCATCCGTGTTGCCGCAACTTGAATAAAATGGTCACCATTTGGCAATTCGACTCAATTCAATTGCTGTGAGGATGGATGAGATAGTGAAGTCCTAAAAAATGCTGTTTAAATATCCCAGAATACTGATAATATACACAAAGAACTTTGCGTATCCCACAAGCATTGATTACTGAGGTGATATAATACAATCGCACAACCTTGCTGGGAGTTTTTGCCCACGATGGAAAGATTTGTATCCCAACTTTGCCATTTTAGGTACTGCCTGTGATATTAGTTCTAAGACTCCAACTCCTTAGGCAGCTCTTCCACCAATGAGCTCCTCTTACAGTCACAGACCACAAACTAGCATTGAAATCAATGGTCTTAAGTGCATCTAGCTCTGAGCTTGGATTGCTGCCAAAATGTTCTTCCTAATGTTTAATTTAAAACTACTGCCCTCTAATTCAAACCTGCTGCCTGGAATATCCATTCCTTGTATGTGATGAACAGTTGTTCCCTCTCCACCTTCAGATTTTGAATGTTTTCTTAAGGCTGCAGCGTTCAGTTCATATGACGTTGCCTCTATGATAACGTCTGCATATGGTGTTCATCATTGTAAGTGTGTGATAAGTTCCCTAAAGAATGAGCCCAGAGTGCTGGCCCTTATTGGCTAAAGGAGTTTTAAGGTACAACTTAGGAAGGTATCTCTAGCTAATCAGGAGCGGCATGTAGCTAAGCAGATCAAGCTACATGGTGATGCCACAAAGCCAATTCAGGGTGAGGGCATTGCTTCCTGCCCTTACTCTGGTAGGCAAATCCTTTTTAGTTCTGTAAAATAAAAAAGCCCCATATATTGGTTCATTCCTAATTGTAGTAGCCACCTGTCATGTATGCTTTAGATAAGACGTCTTCAATGAAGGGTGTTGAACTATAATAATAATATAATAATAAATTATTATTTGTACCCCACCCATCTGGCTGGGTTTCCCCAGCCACTCTGGGCAGCTTCCAACAAAAGATTAAAAAATACATTAAAATGTCAGACATTAAAAACTTCCCTAAACAGGGCTGCCTTCAGATGACCCTTGGGGTCCCTTCCAACTCGACAATTCTATTATTCTATTTAAGAGGGCACATCTGAGCCAGGATGGTACAGCAGATAGGATGTTGGACTGAAGAGTGGGGAGAACTGGGTTCAAATTTCCATTTAACCACAGGAAGGTAGGAATGTGCCTTACACCAGGTCAGACTATTGGCCCATCTAGCTCAGAACGGTCTGCATTGATTGGCACCAGGGTCTTTCTCAGCCTTGCCTGGAGCTTGAACCCAGGACATTTTCCATTTAAAGTAGATCCTCTGCCACTGACCTACAGCCTTTAGGTAAGCCATGAAGCATACTAGGCAATAATACACAGGTCATATTCTTCAGCTGCTGATTCTATTTCCCAGGGACAGTCCCTATTTTCTGGAACCTGACCCTGGATTAACCATTGCCCATTTTATGTCCTTATATCCCTTTTGCCATGCGGAGAAATGCTCTTAAAACCTTGTCACTATCTGGATAATTGTGGTTCCTTACGGATACCTTGAAACTTCTGTTCCTTTAATAACTTTGGGTATGGGTTTGTTGCTGCTGCTTTTGGGGAATATTTCATAAGCCACCAGCCTTTACAGCAACCTTTCTCAACCTGTGGGTCCCCAGATGTTGTTGAACTACAACTCCCATCACCCCTAGCTAGCAAGGCCAGAGCTCAGGGATGATGGGAGTTGTAGTCCAACAACATCTGGGGACCCACAGGTTGAGAACCGCTGCTAGGAAAATGAGATGTAAGTCAGGGAGCTATAGCTCAACAAGATTTGGACAGACCTCGAGTAACTCTGTGGCTGATAAGGATTTGAACCCAGGGCCTTAGCACAGCACCATGCTGCTTCTCTTGTGATCACTTATGGCCTGCTCAAATGCAGATGATACAGCGAGTGACATGGACCATGAATTCTCCCAAAATTTGTACAACAGTGGAGCTGTTGAATTATTTACTGGTGAGAGAGGCAAGCTGCAAAAGCCAGCCGAATACAATTCTGAGTACTGCTTTTCTTCTTGATGTGCCTTCACAACAGCCTCTCCACATGACCTAGTTCTCCAGGAGGGAAGCAATGATCAATTATCCAGCTGCAAAATGTGCAGGCATGAGACGAGTGAGGGAGCCAGCTGGGTGAGAGAGCTGCTATCACACAGGTACTATTCGTTTCAAACCACATGCATCCTGCTTTGAGGGCACACATGCGTTGACCAGAGTAGCTCCAAAGTGAAGGGGAAAGGGGAGGGGAGGTTAGGAAGGGATCTGGGAAGTGTTCCCTAATTAGGATTTATTTGTGCTCTTTCCTTTCCCTCCCTCTATCCTCTCCCACTCTCCTCCACCTCAGTCTCCTTCATTGGCCTCTTCCTGTCATACAGTGACTTATTAGGACTGCATGGGTGTGTGAAAGGATCCTTTACGAAACCCCTCCAGCATCTTGGAGGAAAACAAACGGGATCTTAAAAAAATAAATAAGTGATAAATGATGTATACAAGACCAAAGCAGAAAAGAAAATCAAAGCAGCCAGAGGCAGGTTTATAGTCCAATGGAATGGTTTCAAAAATTGCCAGTTCAGGGGAACAAGGCAAGCATCCAAGAAGTTGGATGAGCAGGACATCCCTTTGCAAAAGCTAAGCTGATTCTTCCTCAACAGGGCTTCTTCTTCCATGTATTGAATCCTTCTGGCTTTAATAATGCTTTCTACCAATTACCTGGGACGCAAGGTTGGGCAACAGATCTATCTATACCTGACTCCTCTATTTAAATAATGTTGCTATCTTGGCTCCTCTTCAGTCTGTGAAACATGGCTACATTTGATATATGTGTGAAGCGTCGCTGGGGCTGCATCTAGACACATCAAAAAAAAGTTTCCGGAAAACGCATTGTAAACCTCTTAACGGGAAATCACATTGGCAGAAGACGGAACTCTACAGCGCCATCTGGTGTCACAGTGTTATAAGACATTTAAAATGCTTTTTCTTTACTAAAGTAGCTGAGTCCCGGGTCTCCTTCAGGAGATGATGGTGCAGTTTAGTTGCAGAGAATGCACAGGGTTGCCATCGTGGGGGCAAGCAGAGCAGTTGCCCTTTGCTTCCCATTTATGTCACAGTACCAATTCCGTTTCTAGTTGATATAAAATAATTTCAACCAATGTCCTTATAAAATAATTCATGCAGCTCTTTTTTGATTTAAAATTACATCTGTAAAAAGCAGGAGTTTGAAATGATACTGAAAGTATTCCAATGAATTCAAGAACACCAAGAGTCAAGACACATTCAGTGAGCTCGTTCACAGAATCACAGAATTGTAGAGTTGGAAAGGACCCTGAGGGTCATCTAGTCCAACCCCTGGCAAAGCATAAACCTGCCTTGAACAAGTAAATTGCTCCCACTTCGCTCTACTGTGCTCCTCCTGGCTCATGCTGTGGGGAAACAAGCCATGATCCTTGACTTGGCTTTATGTCTGAACTAGGGGTTGTGATTTGTTTTGCTCCAAACAACCTTCAATCTGCAGCCAAAGTTTGTTGAGAGATAACAATAAGTGAGGCATCGTGTTTCATTCCTTCCCAGAGTAAGTGGGGAGGGGAAATGATCCAGCTTGGTGTGTGGATGATAAAATAGCAACTATAGTTTACTGTGATGTGCTAACTAGGCCAGTGACTATAGGTATAATACCCTAGTCCAATCCTTTCATAGTGTGAGTGATGGGTGGGAGCGTTTCAAGGCAGTACGAAAAGCAGGAAAGTCAAGTAAAGAAAGTTTGGAAAGAGAAAGGGTGAGAGAGAAAAAGAAGACATTTTCTCAGTTGCATGGATGCCTGCAAGACATTTTCCAGAGGTGGGCAAAAGTGAAACACTGAAAGCAGCTTCAACAAACAATGAAAAGAATAGTGCCTGTTCTATAACTGCTACAAACTTACTACAGTGGTACCTTGGTTCTCGAACGGCTTAGTTGCCGAACAAATCGGCTACCGAACACCGCAAACCTGAAAGTAAGTGTTCCGGTTTGCAAACATTTTTCAGAAGCCGAACGTCTGGCACGGCTTCCGCTTGGGTGCAGGAAGCTGCTGCAGCCAATTGGAAGCCGCACCTTGGTCTTCAAACAGTTTTGGGAGTCGAATGGACTCCCGGAACGGATTAAGTTTGAGAACCAAGGTACCACTGTATGTGGATGCCCATGCTCAGTCATTTGTGTTCTTAGGATTTTTATCAGTATTAACATGTTATAGGACACATTGGTTAATAAGACAACACCTGCTTATTTCTTTTCCATTATTCTCTACAAGCTATTTGATAAGAAGTGTCTCTGCTGCTTCCATGCGCAAGAAGTAGAATTACGAAGTGAGCCTGACTTCACACACTGAGTGTGCGACCCTGTACTCTCTATAAAGCCAGTTCAGGGCCCTTAGCATTGTGGCATGAGCACTGCTCCACCGGCAGAGATGAAGGTATGCCAGCAGGACGACAGCTATTCCAGTTATGTGCTGGCACAGATGTTCTCCCGGCAATGTGCCGCTAGCGGAGTTGGAGGAAAGATGCATGCCAGGGGTGAGTGCAGACACACCTCATCGAAAGCCTCTTTGTTTCCTTGATGTGCCCACAGAAAGTGCACAGCTCTACACCAGCCCTGGGTCTGGCATATTTTGTTCCCTCTCATTGTCCACACGAAGGAAGGAGAGAAAAATTGGCTCCAGCAACATCTCCCATCTTGCCAACAGTGAAACAGGAGGCCATCAATGCATGGTAGGATCACTTCACCCTACCTTGTTTTCCCTTGCAAACAAACGGTGGTGTTTGGCAGCGGGCTTTTGTTAAATTTCATGGAAAGATATATTGGTTACATTGCCAGATGTATTCTTTTCAGTCTATAGACTGAATGGCCTTGCTGCACCATTCACACATCAATTCCTGCCTTCATCTATTTTGAAGGTTGTTTTTGAAGGCCACTGTAGTCTTCAAGTTGTTTGCTCTGGCGTAATCCCTATCTGGCTTTACCTCAGAGCAACTAGTCTAAAGATATCAACCTACGTTTTCATCCAAGTATTAGTTTATTAAGACCATTCAGACTGAAATACTGTTTAATAATATTAATAGTATTGTGAATTCATTGAACGTGGTGCCAGAACACAATTCATGTGTTAATATGTTTTACTGTACAATAATAATAATAATAATAATAATAATAATAATTTATATGTTCAGTTTATAACCCCGCCTTTCATTAGATTGATCTCAGAGCAGATTACAACATGAAACCAACAATAAAAACCTCAAATGCAACAATTAAAAGCATCCAATTAAACCTCCCCCTCAAGCAAAAGCATGCACCAGGGAATAAAATCTGGTACCTTAACTCAACACTCATGAAAAGCCTGGGCAAAGAGGCATGTTTTTAACTGGTGCTGATTTACTACCCAGGAAAGATGTGAAAGGCAATGGAACTACAGCAGGTCTAACTGTTTTATAGATAGTGCCATAGTGTGGCATTTTCCTACTTGAAGTGGAGGCCCTGTTCCTGCAGCACCAACATTATAAAAAGCCTTGCTGCACCAGTCACACATCAATTCCTGCTTTCATCTATTATCCAGTGTACACACATACAGACATTCACGATGCCACCAGAAGCAGGTTTCTTCACCCTGCTACCTGGCAGGGCCAGCTCAGTGTATACCTTGAGATGTTTTTACTGGTTGTGAGGGCTGCATTGGAATCCCTGCCTGCTCAGACTTCTTCAGCTAGATGAAAAAGCCCTTCAGTATCAAACTACAGTGGTACCTCCAGTTACATACACTTCAGGTTACATACGCTTCAGGTTACAGACTCAGCTAACCCAGAAATAATACCTCGGGTTAAGAACTTTGCTTTAGGATGAGAACAGAAATCGTGTGGCGGCGGCGCAGCAGCAGCGGGAGGCCCCATTAGCTAAAATGGTGCTTCAGGTTAAGAACAGTTTCAGGTTAAGAACGGACCTCCAGAACGAATTAAGTATGTAACCAGAGGTACCACTGTACAGCATTTGATCAGCAGAGGTAACGGTTTCTCCCCACCCCAAACCAACCAGAAGATGGATCTTTTGCAGTTGCCATTTGGCAAATATTCAGGTATACCCTGATATTGTGCATGGCTCACCATATGTTCAGTCTGTGCTTCAGCCAGGGTTTGGAAGCCTTGAATTGTGAAGACACCTCAACACTTGGATAGTGGTCTGTTCTGGAATCACGCTGAATGCATTTGCAAGATCAAGATGCACACAAAGAGCTTCCTGAAGAAACTGTTAAAATGGTTGGCCTTAGTTGTGGAACGCACACAACTTCAGCTTTCTTAGAATTTTGTCACTTGGAATTAATGGGCCTCACTTTGTAACAATAACTATATTTGGAATTGGATAGTAGGTCTCTCAAACTTGAGAAAACGTATCTGTTTTTAGCAGGATTTATTATATTTTGAGCCATTTCTACTGTGATTTTCAGTGTCAAAGGTACAAGTCTTGTGATGTAAGCTTGGCTGAGGAGTACTGGTTCAGCTCAAATGTTGTGGCTGAGCACCCAAACATCTCTCTGCTCTGTCACATTGCCGCATTTAGCACCTAGTCGTACATTGGAAAGCAGAAAATCCTTCTTTCCTGACTATTGGTTTCTAGTTAGGAACAGTTTTCCTGTTGACACAATGACCCAGAAATAACATTGCTGCTGTATGTAGGAGTTAGTCTTGTGAGAGGTAAAGGAGAAAATTATTTTTTAAAGCGCCTCTTCTATATCTGAGAAATCTAAACTAAGAGCAGATTATCCCCTGACGCAAATTTTTGTTCCTTCTCCTTTCCCCACTAAGTGATTTTTAGATCTGTTGAGTGATATCACAAACAGCAGTTGATGATCACTTAATCTTTCTTAAAACGCTGTCGTGTGGACCCCTGCTTGGAAATTTCAGCTTGAGCGCTGTAAGAAACAAGGTACGCGACACTGCTGCTGTCCTCCAGCTCCATGGCTCATTCTTTTGTACCATTATTCCTTTTCTCCGACTTCCTCAGCTAAGTTGTAATAACATTTTGCAGCTGTTTTGTACAGGCACCCAACGAATCCACTGTCAATTCTCTACAGGTATCAACTGTTACCTGTACGTGCATTACGAATCTAATTGCCATTGGTTTGGTATAACAGCGAATCTGAAGAGGTAGGGACACTGCAGCAATCTGCCATATTCAATTTCTCATGCGGATATCGTTGTGCCACTGGTGTGGACACTAATCCTGGACCTTCCTGGTGCGGCATTTTATCTCCTTTACTTTCCTGTGGGAGGGTATGCCTAAATAATTGGCATATGGATGTTCCATGGAGAGGGGAAACACAAGAGACCGAATGAGCATCTGGGTACAGATATCCATCAACGCTGCATTCTGATACGCATTCCGATACACAAATAGCTCAACTAGTTATGTGTAACTACATGCAGCTAGAGCAGGATTGGGCCATATATGGGTTATGAATCACAAACAAGCAAAACAATGTTTTTTTCCCCACGTATGGCTCGTACTGAACCAGGTACATGTGTTTGCTTGCAGACCCACCTTTGATTTCCTTCTCATATGCACTTATGATTTCTCACATGCGCTTATGATTCGAGGCATATCAGCAACATGGAATGCAAATTGCACAACTGGCACATGTATCTGCGCATCCACATGTGCCGGCTCACTCTATAAAGTGCCCTTGTTTGCATGACTGTTTTTTCAAAAGGAGGAAAAAGGGAAGGAGAAGTAATTCAGAAAAGCAAGTATATCTAAACAAAATTTAAAAATTCCTTCCAGTAGCACCTTAGAGACCAACTAAGAATATCTAAGATACTACCAATACTTTCTCTAGGCAACTGAGAGCGTGAGGTCTTCAAGGTGCACACAAACAACCTCTCAAAATTCTCCACCCTTATTTCTGGAAAATGTTCAGGGAGAAATACTGGCTCAGATCTAGTACGGGGAGGAGAAAAAGAACAGAAGTTTCACACATTCCCTAGCATTCCCTCCACTGTTCCTTTTGAAAGAGCCTTTAAGGGGAGCTCAGTGTTTTTACTCTCCACAGGGCAGCTGCGTTTACTCTTTCTCGCTGCTCCTTGCACATGGCAAGCGGGTAATCTGACATCTTTACTATGAGCATATGCTTCGGTTTTGCACTCCACCACAAACCACACTTCTCGTGGCCAGAGGGGATCTGTATTGCTTCCTTTGCCGTCTGTCACACATGGATCTGCATTTAATGTCAACCTGCCATATTGAAATATAAAGTTGACCTGCTGCTGCTGTAACTGACTTCAGGTCAGTGAAAACCAGCTGCCTGATAAGAATCTAGGAATCCAGAATCTAGGAATTTGGAAATGGAATACTGGGTCTGCCCTACAGCTGCTAGCTTGCCCCAGCAGGATAGTGTTATGTATTTTATGGCCTATGGATCATAGCCCCAAATCGGTAGAGCATGAGACTCTTAATGTCAGGGTTGTGGGTTTGAGTCCCATATTGGGCAAAATATTCCGGCATTGCAGGGGGTTGGACTAGATGACCCTCGCAGTCCCTCCCAACTTTACAATTCAGTGATTCCATGTTTGAAAGATGGCTGTTATGCATACCCAGGAATCTGTGTAAATTAAAAAGCTGGCATGTCATTTTCTGCTACCAGTATGGGATATACTGGTATGTATGAATGGGCAAATATATCTTCCGGTATTCTGAGTGTGCTTGGTGTTTTCATAAGGCGGGAACCTGAGGCTGTGAGTCAGCGAGTCAACAGCCCAGAACCTTGGACTCTGGACAACTGCACAGCAAGAGGGTTAAGAACGACACTGCTAGACACACACACACACACACACACACACATTCCATTTTGTCGAGATGCAAGGCCACTGCTGGCCCTCCTCAATCCTGTTGCTGCTGCTGCACTGCACTGTGCTGTCTCTTCCTCCCACCTCAGGTGTACTTTCTACACTCCTGCGTCAGAACCTTGCCATGGGCTGCCCCATGTATGTCCACTATGGCATATATGGATGACCAACCCATTGCTTACTATGACAGCGATACACAAGAGGAAAAAGCTTGCAGTGCCCCGGATGCAAAAAGTGGAAAGGTTGTTAAAAAAGAGAGAGTAGGATTTGTTTTTCTCAGGAAGAGCTCTACCCGAGAGGTTATCAAAGGGAAATGATTTTAAATTATTGATTAATGATTATTATAGACAGATAAAAAAGGATCTGCTCTACCTGATTATTTTGCGGATAGGTTGTAATAATATATAAGCGTCTTCGCAGAAATTGGTACTTGTACAGCTGATGTGAAGGGAGATGGGAGATGAAATATTCTTGAAATATGATTGGGTTTAATTTTATTGAATGATGAAATGAAAGTTGGAAAAGCTAATGTGCTTGGAGCAGCAATGGACGGAGGGAAGAAGAAGGAACATCTGGGAGGGGGTGGGAAGTCAGCTTTTAAATTTGTATTAAATTTGTATTAATTTGATGTCAATTTTAAATAATACTGTAATAATAATAATAATAATAATAATAATAATAATAATAATAATTTTTATTTATACCCCGCCCTCCCCAGCCAACGCCGGGCTCAGAGCAGCTTAATGGAAAATCAACAAAAAATAATTGGCAAAAAGTGGAGAAGGATGATGCCCAGTACTGGGAAAGATATACCCAAATGTTGTATGGCTGGGAGCTGTGGTTCAAAGCCAGCCTGGAGAATTTGCGGAATAGTTACAACCAGAGCAAAGGGTTCCACACTCTGCAGCTCATGTATGGCTGAGGTGAGATGGGGGCTAAAGAGAGTTTTGACAGTGTGCCCATGACGGGGGGTGGGGGGTTTCATCAGCTCTGACAAGGACACCCTCACCTGGACGTCAGCTGATATGGAGGCCCAGATCACCAAGAGGTCCTTGGATACAGAGTTTGCCACTAACAAGTACAGGAAGGGCTACCTGGAGGAGACCTGCGTTGAGTGGCTGCAGAAATACTTGGACCATGGGAAGGAGGTTCTGCTCAGGACAGAGCCCCCAGTGGGGAAGGTGACACAGCAGGAACTTCCGGGTGGAAATCCCTCATCTGCCAAACCCCTAAAGAGATCGACACCACCTGGAGGAAGGATGTGGAGGCCGTGGAGAACAGCCCTTTATCCAGGGACATTGCTCCCAATTCTGACAGGACCTACCATGCCTGGGTCAGCATTGACCCCCAGGTCAGAGACTGCCACATGGAGCTTGCTGGCCTGCCGAAGCCACTGGTCTTGGCCTGGGAGAAACCTGCCCATGTGGGGCTCACTGTGGGAACTACTTTGGGGGTCTCGGCTGCTGTCCTGGTGATCATCTTCATCACCGTCAGGAATCAGAAGGCATCAACAAGTAGCCAGGGACCCGAGAATTCCACCAGGGCATGGCGTCAAGTTGGTGTGTGAAGTGGGTCTGGAGGGTTTGCTGTAGGGGAGAAATTAGGCTTTCTTTCACCAGGGTGTTATATGTGTGACAGAGGCTACTACATAGGGTTGCTCTGTAAGAGAGCAAGTGATAGGAAAAAGCACGGTGGCAAATTTTCAAGGCTGTGAGGGTGTTTTAAAAACAAAACAAAAACAAAAATAGGGTAGTTTTTCTATTTTATGAAGCTGTAGATTTTGTAAATGTTAGCTATATTATTATTATTATTAGAATTTATATATCACCCTATACCCAGGGGTCTCAGGCCAGGTCACATAATAAAACCATCAGCATTTTATATAAGCATCAACAGTGCATTTAACTTAAGATATTTAGCAGGCAAAACTTTTCATGTCATGGATATGAAGGGATATGCTTTGTTTCAAACAATGTAACTTGCATAATGTATTTATTTTTATGATAAGTAAGTAGAAAAGGGTAATTCTGTGTGAATTCAAGGGAGCCATTTCTGGATATATGGGTATTTTGCTTCAAAGAGAACTTGCGTAAAGGTTTGGGATGCAGTTCTGTTTTTATCCCATTTGATCAATTGCAATGACACCGTTTATCTCTGTAAAAGATTGTAGACCTTGGAGGGTGTTTTTTTTAGCGAAGGACTATTCTAACATCATCTCCAGTTTCCTACAGAAAAACTCTGATAGGAAACTTTAAAGGAGGGGAAAGGTGAAAAGGAAACATCAGCACACATTTGAATAGATATGCGCAGCTGTTGGGCAAAGGTCTAAAATCTTCCTCATTCTTCGTCAAGCTCAAGTCAATTAATTACAAGACTACTCCTTTAAGAAGTTCTGCAAACATTTCAAGCAGCTCAGAAGACAGTAGGGTTAGAGCCAATCAGTATGATAAATGGGTGGGTGAGTGACTATCTCTGGAGGCTGGTTCACTTACCTACACGTGATATGGCAGATCTATGATTGGATCTCCCAATGTTTGCCTTTTTAAACTTAAAAGCAGCCATGAGAGGCCTTGAATTAGACTGGAACACAGTGTTGCAAGAGGGGGTTAATCATTCCCCCTGTATCACTTCCCCACTTAACTCTCTCCCCCAAGCCAAACTATTACAGGCTTCAAGGAGGAGAAAATATTGGTGCCCCTGCTGTGTTTTGAAGAGGGAGTTCTGAATCCAAGCCCAAAGAGGCATTTTCAATTAGCTCCAAAATTGCTTGTTGCTGTTGCCTCCCGTCTCTAACCAGCATCTCAGGCCTGATTTCCCTTCTTACCTGCAATGATTTATTTCTCTCTCTCTCTCTCTCTTTGTGCATTTGTGACATGCCCAAGAGAGTCCTGGGCAGTTTCAGAATAACAAAACAAGGCCACTTATGGAAATAACACTGAAGAGACATTATAGCTGGGGGAAAGCCACAAACCACATGACTAGTGGGGTGCCACAGGGTTCTGTCTTGGGCCCGGTCTCATTCAACATCTTTATCAACGACTTGGATGATGGACTCAAGGGCATCCTGATCAAATTTGCAGATGACACCAAACTGGGAGGGGTGGCTAACACCCCAGAGGACAGGATCACACTGCAAAACGACCTTGACAGATTAGAGAACTGGGCCAAAACAAACAAGATGAACTTTAACAGGGAGAAATGTAAAGTATTGCACTTGGGCAAAAAAATGAGAGGCACAAATACAAGATGGGTGACACCTGGCTTGAGAGCAGTACATGTGAAAAGGATCTAGGAGTCTTGGTTGACCACAAACTTGACATGAGCCAACAGTGTGACGCGGCAGCTAAAAAGCCAATGCAATTCTGGGCTGCATCAATAGGAGTATAGCATCTAGATCAAGGGAAGTAATAGTGCCACTGTATTCTGCTCTGGTCAGACCTCACCTGGAGTACTGTGTCCAGTTCTGGGCACCACAGTTCAAGAAGGACACTGACAAACTGGAACGTGTCCAGAGGAGGGCAACCAAAATGGTCAAAGGCCTGGAAACGATGCCTTATGAGGAACGGCTAAGGGAGCTAGGCATGTTCAGCCTGGAGAAGAGGAGGTTAAGGGGTGATATGATAGCCATGTTCAAATATATAAAAGGATGTCACATAGAGGAGGGAGAAAGGTTGTTTTCTCCTGCTCCAGAGAAGCGGACACGGAGCAATGGATCCAAACTACAAGAAAGAAGATTCCACCTAAACATTAGGAAGAACTTCCTGACAGTAAGAGCTGTTCGACAGTGGAATTTGCTGCCAAGGAGTGTGGTGGAGTCTCCTTCTTTGGAGGTCTTTAAGCAGAGGCTTGACAACCATATGTCAGGAGTGCTCTGATGGTGTTTCCTGCTTGGCAGGGGGTTGGACTCGATGGCCCTTGTGGTCTCTTCCAACTCTATGATTCTATGATTCTTACCTGGGGGCTATTTACAAATAGGGTTTCTCACTGAAGTGCATAGGAGTAAAATAAGCTAAATACAAATGAATGGTTTTCATGGCTTGGCTGGTGAGAACCCATGTCTGTTTTAAATCTATGCTTCTCGTCTTATGCGTTCCACCTGGATAGCCCCATATAAACACACCTGCCTTTCGGATAGATTTCTGTGACTCTCAATATCCTCTGCTGTGTAACCATTCACAATATTGTGCATTTAAGTGCACCTTGCATTTAAGTGTTCCTGGACCTCCATCCCTCTGGACCGGCAACCTTCATGCCAGCCCCAGGAGACAAGTTCAGCATTATCTTTTATACTGACATTGCACCCCAGCTGATGAGCAGATGGTACTGACAAGCTTCGGCAGCCTTGTTTCGGATTTATCTTGGCTCGCAAGTTGCTTTATTTCACCCAGGAATCTGGTGTATGATTCCATTAGCAAAAAGCTAAATCAGAACCACAGAACAGAATCCCTTCCTTCGACCCTCCCCCCTCCCCTTTGCACCCACAAGGATAAGATGACTTTTCTGGCTGAAATATTGATTCTCATCAACTACAGCAACAGAGGTATTCCTCCTGCTATTTCCCCTTCTCTGGTATCTTGAAATCAAAAAGGCAGTGAAATCATTCCCAGCCAGAACTGATCAACTGGGGGGAAACAGTTGCTGCCACCCAGCCCTTGATCGATTTTGCTTGCATATTTATTTATTTTTTGGCTTCTTGTGTGCCATTGTAAATACCTGATCAGTACGGAGACCCCAACGTCCTCGCAGTTGGCGTAGACTCTGCTCCATGTCTCCTGAATCACCTTTTTCTCTGCGTCTGACATCTCTTCGCTTCTTTCCCATCTCTCAATCTCCATTTCTCCTTGGACTTTCTCCATGAAAAACAGCCAGCAAAATCTTCCAGGGAAGCCAGGAGGAAAGAGAGGGGTTTGTGAGAGTCTCTCTTTCTCTCCGTGTGTGTGTGTGTCCTTTTTGTGTGTGTGCGTGCGGGTGTGTGTGTGTGTGTGTATCCAGCAAAAAGAGATAAGGTGTTCTGTTTGTGGGTGGTGTGGCTGATACTGTTCCTGGCTTCCTCTCACTCTCTCTCTCTGTGTATGTGTGTCTGTCTATATAGAAAGAGAGGTATGTAATAAGAGATAATCAGGGGGAGAGAGAGAGTGTGTGTGATCAGATTTCAGATCTTCCAGTGCAGCCCCTTGCTGTGGTTCACTTCAGCTCAGCGTTTGTGTGTGTGTTTGTGTGTGTGTGCGTGTATGACTCTGAAGGGAAACTGACAAAAAGTAAAATATTCAAAGGCATTGCAAGACCAGCCTTTTTACCAATGTGTCAACGTGAGCTCACTTTTCTCTCTCCTCCCCCCGCCCTCCCTCTCCCCCTCCTCCTCCTCCTCCTCTTCAGAGTGTGTGTGTGTGTGTGTGTGTGTGTGTGTGTGTGAGAGAGAGAGAGAGAGAGAGAGAGAGAGAGAGGTGCTCTTCAGTGTCAAATTCTCCTGTTTTGAGTATTTTATGACTTGAGATTTCTCCTTTTTTTTTCTCCTTCACCATTTGTAAACAGCTCAGAGAAAATGGAGCATCTGAAGTGAGCAGTTAAACTTATCCCAACAGCTGGCTTAGCTGAGATAGAGCTTTCTGATTCCCACCATATTCCTTAGGAGATTGTTTTTATCAACAGCAGCAAAAATCCTTGCTACCCTGTGTCTTTTTCGAAGGGGCTGGGGCTGGGAGAAGGCGCTATTAAATAAATGTTTATCTTCCACAGAATCTGAATTATACCCGGCTTCCAAGGAAATGTTTCTAATTATAAAATATTTCCCTGCCATCATCTAAACTGTGAATCAGATATCGGAGGAATAATCTGATTTTAAGCACGTGTGAGGAAAACATATTTGCGGATTCACTTATTGACTTTAATAATAATAATAATAATAATAATAAAGATTGGAAAGCATGGGGGGTGGTTTCCAGGCAAGGGTGGAAGAGTGGGTTTAGAAGCAAGGACAAACATTTCCGCTGTTTGGTGGTGGTGAAAATGCTGTGTAGATTTTTTTTGTTTAATTCAGCCTGCATGTGTGACATTTCAACTCATTTGAGGTAAAAATAGTGGTGTTCAGTCCCCTTGCAAGTGTGTAGGAATAGACAATACATCAGAAGTTGGAAAGAAATAGAAAAGGTGCAAAAACAAAACCCTCCCAAAAGGGATAGTTACAACACCATGTTAGTCTTTTGCAGCAAAAACAACCGAGAGTCTTGTGGCACCTTAAAGAGAGTCAGTGTGGTTTAGTGTTAGAGTGGGTTCTGGGAGACCCGGGTTCAAATTTCCACTTGGTGACCTTGGGCAAGTAGCTCTCTCTCAGCCTAACCTACCTCACAGGGTTGTTGTGAGGATAAAATAGGGAGGAGAATTATGTACACAATCTTGAGCTCCTTGGAGGAAAGTTGAGGTATAAATGTAACAAACACTTAAAAATATTGTGGCATATTACAGTCCACTTCACCAGATGCATAAAGCGTCATCCTGAGCAGCAGTCAGAAGGGGAAAAAATGTAGGAAAGCGCTGTTGCAGAAAAATGCAGATGATGATTATATCATTAGGAGTAACCACTCCAATAATTTTAAGATCCAGTTAACTGTTGATAACACAGACATCCTGGCATTGGTAAACAGGTATATACATCAATAAATGAGTCCATGCATGTTATTAATGGACTTCACTTCCGCATAGTAGAGGAAGAGTACAGCTTTCTTCCCTCCACATCACCAATTACAATGTCTGGGGTAAGAAGAACCTAGTGTGGAGTTCCAAGTCCGGAAATAATCTAGGCCTGTTGGATTATTCCAACAAGACTACTGGATGCCCACAAAACCACCACTGTCACCATTGGTCTGCATTATCTCCAGACTGGAACTTAGCCAGTTCACAGGAAGCACACAGTTTAAGGCTAAACATTACTATTAATCCTAAAAATTATATTAAATTCAAACTCAGTGTTCACAAAATGGAACGGGAATGGGAATTGCATAACCCCATCACTAGTGATTGTCACAATATTCAATGTGTACTTAGGGCATTCAAATATTCTTACCACACAGCAGTCAAAACAGAGATGAATGTCATCTGGAGGAAGGATTGCATTTCTCAGGTACAAAACACAGCAATTTAGGTTGCAATTCTATTCACACTTACCTGGGAGTAAGTCTCATTGAGTCCACTGGGACTTACTTCTGAGTAGTGGGTTATGCTGTTTCGAAGGCCTGTTATCCTAGTAACTAGAAAACCATTTTAAAGGACTAATATCATGCTGTGTGAAACAAATATGAATTTACTGAGCAAAAGACTGCCAGTGAAGGACGTTCAGGAGTTGACTGTTCATATTTTGGATAATCTGATGTTTGACTAAATATTAGTTGCATGGCTCTACAAGGAAAGGCAGGCAGCATTCTGGAGTGGAAAGCAGGTTCAAATCCCTTCTCAAGACTAACAGGGGTCTCACCATCTCTCACCCTGTCCAATTTACAGGACTGTTGTGTGGACGAAATCTACATGTTCATTCCCGGTACCATTCTAAGCTTGTTTACTCAAGAAGTTAAACCCTATTGAATTCCATCTGGCTTTCTCCCATTGTGTACACTTTCTAATTCCCAACAGCATAACTTTGAATAAAATCACAAACCTTGCTAAATTAAAGGGGTGTGGGGATAATCCCATTTGCTTCCTTAGATGATCAATTTGACCCATAAAATGAATGACCCGGGAAGTTCTTCTATCAAGATAGGTATCTTACAATAATACTATAATAGTTTTAAAAAACAGAGGCGACCTATATCTATTGCTTATAATAAAAAATAAAATAAATTAAACCCAAGAATCAGGAAACCTAGATAGGTACCATTTTACGTTTTTAGTCGCCACAATTGTAAGGAGGCACTACCAACCTTGAAATGTGTTCTCCAGCCCACTATGGCTATCTTAGCAATTATTTTATTTTATTTTCACAGAACGAAACTGTGGAACACCGGCTTTTGAGATAAATACACTGGGGGAACCACAATGCTCTTTGCCACTAGACTTTTGGTGTCCATTTAGATTTGAGGAGAACCTCCAAGCTATACACATTTTCATTCAAGGGGAGCACTACCCCCAATACCCCACCCAGAACAGGCTGTCCCTCCAGTTCCTGGATTTGGAAACCTACCCACAGAACCTCTGTCTTAGTAGGACCCAGTCTCAGTTTGTTGGTCTTCCTCTAGCCTCCAGGCTCTGGTTCAGCAGCTGCCCAGCTTATCCTGATTCAGATGCAAAGATAAAGCTGGGAGTAATGTGTCTACAGTATTGGTGAAACCACACTCCAAATCCCTGGGTGTCTCCTTTCAGTGGTTCTGCATAGATATTAAATAGCATGGGGGACTGGGGGGTGATGGAACCTGGCAGGACCCCACAGCAGGACTGCCAAGTGGTCAGTCTCCCCACCAGGTAAGGTAAAGGAGCCCCGGATGGTTAAGTCCAGCCCAAGGTGACTATAGGGTGTTGCGCTCATCTCGCTTTTCAGGCCAAGGGAGTAGGTGTTTGTCCACAGACAGCTTTCCAGGTCATGTGGTCAGCATGACTTAACCACTACTGGCACACAGAGGACTGTGACGAGTGCCAGAGTGCACGGAAACGCCGTTTACCTTCCCGCCACAATGGTACTTATTTATCTACTTGCACTGCCATTCTTTTGAACTGCTAGGTTGGCAGAAGAGCAGAGCAATGGGAGCTCACCCCATCTCAGGGATTCAAACCGCCTACCTTCTGATTGGCAAGCCCAAGAGGCTCAGTGGTTTAGACCACAGCACCACCTGCTGTCTCCTACCAAAGGTCACCCATCAGGGTAACTGAAGCTGTTTCAGTTCTGTGCTGAGGCATGAGGCCAGATAGGAATGGGCTCATCCAGCCGGACATCCCCGCAACTGGCCAGCCACCACCCTCTCAATCACCTTGAATCAGCTAAAGGATATTTGCAACAAGGTGGCAGCTGTCCACAACCTTGGGGTCCAGGGAGGGCCTATTGAGAACGGAATCAGTCAATGAGAAACTGGATGGGGAAAGAACCTGGGGGAAACAGCATCTTTCAGATAACCTTTCAGATCAAAGCAGGTGTCTGCATAAATCTCTGTCTTTAAACAACCACCAGCAAATGCAGGTGAGGCTTTGGTGAGTTTGAGAAATGAATGGTGTGAGATATTCTCTCTGCACCACCACACAGAGAGAGAGAGACACACACAGAGAGCAAGACGGTCTTAAAGAATTAAAGTGACATCTTGGAAACACAAGGTTTAACAAATGAGTCTGTGGGATTACCCAGCCAGCAAAATTTGATCCAACGGAGGAGGAAAGAGCACAAGAGGCTGGGCGTTCTATGAAAGCCCAGGCAAATCCAGGGTGATAGGAAATAATTGAGGAAATCCTTCATGCAGTTGATTGCCATGACAATAGAGCAAAAGCATTTCTTATGCTCCAGAGGGCTGTGGGAAAACTTTTATTTCTCAAACTTTGGTAGGAGGAATAGATGCCTTGCAATGGGAACTGAAGCAACTATATGGGGAGGGAGGCAGAGAGAGGAGGTTGCACATACTCAGTGTAAGTTGCCCCTTACAATGAGGGGGTGGAGAGTGCCATCATTATTTGCCAACACTGCAGCAACAAAATGCATGCAAAATGAAGCACTAATTGTTTTGGATGGGTGCTCCTGCCAGTGCTCTCATGGCAACTGACAGACTTTCAGGAGACTTAATGAAATCAGAGATCACTTTTGAAAGAAATTTTCTCTTCACTTGCAGGATATTATTGCTTGCAAATATTACCAGTTGTACCTCTTTCCTCATATCAAGCCACAGTCAACAGCTGTTTGAACAAAAGGCCACTTGGGCCAATATTCAAAAGTGCAAGTTGACACAAGCTATGAGTAGATGATTTGCACAGAATGAACCCTGTGACAACATTATTAGCAATTCTAAAAATCCACATTTAGGCGTTAACTTTATCAGGCCAACCAAAATGTTATAAGATAGCATGTGATGATTCAAGTTCTCCTGAATTCTTTATCAGGATAGATGGTAAACAAAACAGGGCACTCCACCCATAGCTTCAACATCAGCCAATTTTTCCTCTCACTCCTCTCTGTCGTTATGTTTACCATCTAGCCCAAGGAAGAAATCTGGAGAATTCTAGAACTTGCATACTATATTTTGTAACATTTTGGCTGGCTTACTTAAGACATTGCTAACATGTGAATTTTGGAATTTTCCTTGTGGGCCAACTTGGCAACCTTTTCTTTTTGAGTTAACATTAGTAACGGTATCATTTTAAAAACAGGAGGGTCAACTGACACCTGCGATGGAACAGATCAGTGACAGAGGATCTTGGCAAACAAAATATTGCAAATGATTTCTCAGAATTTTAGAAGATGTGCACTAGTTCCGCCTTTAGAAATTTGTGTTGAAAAAGTATTAAGGGCACATATTGAACCCTAAAGTGATTTAATAAATCAGATTGCAAGTTGTGGATATAAGTTTAGCTCTCAAGCTGACTAAAGGAGAATCAGCTGGTAGCTGGGTACTTTCCTGAACAGGATTAATACCTTTATTAATATTGTTCTCTTTCAGAATGGAAATTCAGTGGTATCTTGGTTTACAACCATAATCCGTTCCAGAGGTCTGCTTGTAAACCAAAACAGGTTGTAACCCAAGGTGAGCTTTCGCCAGTGGGGCCTCCCCCCAAAAATTGGTTGTACAGTGGTACCTCGGGTTACATATGCTTCAGTTTACATACGCTTCAGGTTACAGACTCTGCTAACCCAGAAATAGTACCTCGATTAAGAACTTTGCTTCAGGATGAGAACAGAAATGGTGCTCCAGTGGTGGTGCAGCAGCAGCAGCAGGCCCCATTAGCTAAAGTGGTGCTTCAGGTTAAGAACAGTTTCAGGTTAAGAACGGACCTCTGGAACGAATTAAGTACTTAACCCGAGGTACCACTGTAATCCCAAAAAAATGGGTTGTAATCCAAAAAAAAAGGGACACTCACTTCTGGGCTTGAAGTGGTTGTAATCCAAAGCAGTTGTAATCCAAAGCAGTTGCAAACCAAGGTACCACTGTAAGACAATTTCAAGTGAGACTAGTTTCTGCCGTGAGTATCAAAGAAACATTTGAGATGAACACTTTATATTATTGGTCTCTACTTTCCTCAACAAATATTGTGCAAATATACGTAGGTATGTCCACAGTAAGATCTGTTGATGTTCTAAACATTCGCTTGGGCCAGACAGCCAAATGAGGAGATGTGAATGCCAAGGAAAGGGCATTTGGAGGGTAGGACTCAAACCAATGGATTCAAGTTACGAGGAAGGAGATTCCAACTAAACAGCAGCAAGAACTTTCTGACAGCAAGAGCTGTTCAACAGTGGAACAGGCTCCCTCGTGTGGTTGTGGACTCTCTTTCATGGGAGGATGGATGGCCATCTGTCATGGATGCTTTAGTTGAGATTCCTGCATTGCAAGAGGTTGGACTAGATGACCCTTGGGATTCCTTGCAACTCTATGATTTTGCAACTCTATGAACATGGCATTATGACTGGCTGCCCATTCCTTTGTTAGGGAGTTTTGTTGCTGCCTCTTCATCAGAGCTAGTTGCTGGGAGATGGTTTCTCAATACACACAGATCTCCCTTCAGTGTTTTGAACAGGAAAGCCATTGGAAGAGGACGCAGCCAAGCTAAAGGGAGCAGTTTGGAAGAAGAAGAAGAAGTTTGGATTTGATATCCCGCTTTATCACTACCTGAAGGAGTCTCAAAGTGGCTAACATTCTCCTTTTCCTTCCTCCCCCACAACAAACACTCTGTGAGGTGAGTGGGGCTGAGAGACTTCAGAGAAGTGTGACAAGCCCAAGGTCACCCAGCAGCTGCATGTGGAGAAGCGGAGACGCGAACCCGGTTCACCAGATTACGAGACTACCGCTCTTAACCACTACACCACGCTGGCTCTCTCACACTGGAAGGAGGCAGGGATCCTATTTTGTAATGAATCATAGAATTATTTTGGGTTGAGTTGGAAGGGACCAGGAGGGTCAGCTTGTCCAATCCCCTGCAATGCAGGAATCTTTTGCCGAACATGGGGCTTGAACTCACAACCCTGAGATTAGGAGTCTCATGCTCTACTGACTGAGCAACTGCATAAGGGGGAGAAGAGAGCTGTGCTGAATATATCAGGGTGGGTTTCCTAATAAATGGATAGATCCTATGCAGTATCTCAGTGGTAGATCAGATGCCCTCTACAGATAGCTTTGTCCTTAGAAGGGGGCGGCAGTGGGCAGAGCCCCACACTCTCCTTCACATTATTGTTTATCATGACGAGGGATAATGCCAGACAAGAGCAGACAGATGCAGAGAAGGAGAGAGATCGGTGAGTTAGTTGAAGAATGGAAGCTATTGCACGGTGCAGAGCCTCTTCCTGGGGAATCTGTCATGGGATAACAAATCTGTTGCCTTTTAAGAATATCTGAGGGTTGCCTCCATCTGTGCTCTACTTGGATATTTGTAAGGAAAGCCATTATTACAAAAGCACAGCAAGTCCTGAAATCTGAGAGAAACAGTACCGTTCAAAATTTAAGTGATTCCAGGAAGGGGACCCACAACTTTAGAAATTACTGGAGGGAATGGAAAGGTTAGGCTCCATTTCCAGTTCAGAAAAACACTGAGAATCGAAACGCAAAATATTGTTTTACAAACTATTTTAAGAGGCTTTATTTGCATTCTTTGTAATGCCTCATAATAACTACAGCAGCATGGGCCATTGTGCCCTGGCACGACTATTGAATCCACAGTCCATTTCAATTTCATTTTTCACAGGAACCCCGTTGTGTGTGAAAGCAACACCTGGAAAGAACTACAGGTTCTTCTGGGAAACCACTGGATGTCCCTGACGACAAAGCAGAGTTTCCACAACTGTTAAGAACCCGTCGGTGGATGAAGGATATGAGACCATCAGAGTGATGGAAAGTTGGCTCTCTCTGTGGAGTTTTGGCGAGGAAGCGACAGAGCAGCAGCCTGCCTGCTTTGTATGTGTTTGGCATAGCCTGGACATGCACTCCGCTAGGTACAAGGCACCGATGAGGCACACTGATAAAACAGCATCAGGATTTATTCATCTATAACCTCATTTGAAGTAAATCCACAACTGGGTTTGTTTTGGTCCTGCTTGCTCTGTTCAGTGAGATTGAGGAGGGGAGGGAGACAGTGGGCAAAAAGGAAATGAGGCGAGAATGTGTAACTGAGAATGTACACACAGGTGTCCGTCTGTCAGACTTGGCAAGGAAAGGACAGATGCACTACTGCCCATTTCGACTCTGGTTCTTCACGCACCAGTCCATCTTGTTAGTTTTCTTTCCCCTGGAATGCTTCCTCTGTGTTTTTGTTAACTTCCCCTTTGCTGCCTCGTTTATCTTCTTTCCCTATTTGTCTCACTTGTTCCTTTCTATGGGTTTTTAATTAAGGGCCCCTGCCTGTTTCTGTCACTCTCCATTCCCCTCGTCTCTCATCTCCATTTCCCTGTATTCCTCCCTCCGCCTCCCTGCCCGCTTTCCGTCTCTGGCTTCCACGTCTTGCCCCTTTTAAAAGCAACCCGAGCATATTCTGCCAAGGTTGAGCCTAGAGTGGATTGGAAATGACAGGAGCCTGACCTGCTGCTTGTCAGGGAGCAAAGGGATCAGAGTCTTGTCAGTTTCAAACTGCTTTGGAAGCAGACAAGAGCGCCTTCCAGCTTTAGCACAATAGTAAAAGATCAAGTGCATTACAGGACAACCTCCATTTTCGCTCGCTGCTGCAGAAGGTGCTGAAATAGGCCTGTGGGTGATTGCAGTCCTGCTGCATACCTGTAACAAGCTCCCTTCTCCAGACTTCTGGGGCCATTCCAGACTGTCACTCAGGGGGAAATCGAGCACATGCGAGAAGCCAAGTTACAGGGAACTGGGCAGAGGGCCTTCTCAGTAGTGGCGCCCTCCCTGTGGGACCCCCTCCCACCAGATGTCAAAGAGAACAACAACTACCAGACTTTTAGAAGACATCTGAAGGCAGCCCTGTTTAGGAAAGCTTTTAATGTTTGATGTATTGCGGTATTTTAATATTTTGTTGGAAGCCGCCCAGAGTGGCTGGGGAAGCCCAGCCAGATGGGCGGGGTATAAATAATAAATGATGATGATGATGATGCCATCAAATTCAGGTTGCCTAATGAAAGCATTCATCTTGATTTCTTTGCAGTGGGATACCTGTCCACATCTAAGCATTAGTTAAATCTTCTCCCCCATGTGAATTAGACTGGAGCAGTCCACACCGATGTGTATTTGAATTTGTATATGAGGAGTAACTTTGGTTTTTCCTGTTCATGCCAGTAGGCATTCCCTTGTGTGTTTGTCAGTACACAATTTTGCAGTTTTCTGGTTTTGTGCAAATCTGAGGGATCCAAAGAGAAAAAATAAGCAGAAGGCTATGCTCCTCCATTGCAGAGGAAATAAGTTATGAGCGCAATGGGAAAAGAAATGAGAGCAACTGTAACTGGAAATTTGGTGATATGATTTGCTGGAGCTGCTTTCTGGCTTTGTGCAAATCTGAGGGATCAGAAGAAAAAAAAACACGTAGAAGGCTACACACCTCGCGCAGGAAGCATTTATGAGCGTGGCTGGAAATGAAAGCATTGAGGAAGTGATGGGTGTGCCAAAGGGGCTTAGCAGAAAGTGATGATCAACCCACCCACTCCAAAACACTGAAACAAATCAAGTTGACATTTTGGAGTCTGATTTCCCACAGCTTATTGCATGGGTAGGCAAACTAAGGCCCAGGGGCCGGATCTGGCCCAATCTCCTTCTAAATCTGGCCCATGGACGGTCCGGGAATCAGTGTGTTTTTACATGAGTAGAATGTATCCTTTTATTTAAAATGCATCTTTGGGTTATTTGTGGGGCATAGGAATTCGTTCTCCCCCCCCTTCAAAATATAGTCTGACCATAGCTGTCAACTTACAGATTTGAAAATAAGGGACCAGCAGCCTTGAAAATAAGGGACCAGCAGCCAAAATAAGGGACCTGCAGCCTCACCTGTTCCAGGCACTCCAGTCTTCCGGTCCTCCTGCAGTCTGGTCAAACTCATGCTGGTAGCTTCGAGAACACTGTCCAACCAACTTTGTAACCAGAGGTTCAACTGAATAGAATCTGAATCACATGCACCACAAGGCCTATGCAGCCTCAACTTAAGATGGCTCCCCGGCCTGGCTTTGCACTGCAAAGTTTGCAGCAGCACGTGCAACAAAATGGCATCCAGCATTCAAAAAACCCCTCAGCTTGCATTAACTAGCCACACACAAGGCATGCAAGCTCCACCCCCCAGTCGTTCTTAGACTTCTTATTAGGTGAGCAACACAGCCAAGCGACACAGCTGGAGCCTCCTTCCTCCCTGACCGGCAGGGAGGGAGGGAGGGAGAGGAGCTGCTTCCTTTGAAATTTAAGGGACATCATTTAAGGGACATTTAAGGGACATCCATCAATAAGGGACAGCAGCGGGACATGGCGCTGGAATAAGGGACTGTCCCTTCAAATAAGGGACACTTGACAGCTATGAGTCTGACCCACCACATGGTCTGAGGGACGGTGTACCGGCCCACGGCTGAAAAAGGTTGCTGACCCCTGGATTATCCCATAGCCCTGATTTTACATGAGTAAAGCAGTGAGCCTGGTGGTGTTTGAGGGCAACGCCATGTGAACTATGCAAAGTAAATGGGAGCACAAAAGTTACAAGCACAAGTGTGGATAAGCCCAAAGTTAGATGGTGTTGCATTAATGCAAGTGTTATCCGACATTGCAATGCATTTCCCCATCACTTTCCTTATCAAAAAAGTCTGATCTTTTGGGGAAGCCGGTTCATCGCAAAAGACCTCCCAGTAAACTATAATTTCACAACCTGAATTTGCCAGTATGTAATTGAATCCCACCTGATAATAGTGACAGTCTGGAAACACCCTTTGTGAAAATGAGTCAGGTTGAATGATCAATAAACACATCTTCTGGGAGTGACCTTGAGCTCTGCTTTCGTTTCTTATCTCATGCTCTCCTTTCCCTCCTATGTTTCTTCACGGTTTGCTTGCTGCTCAGGTTGCTTTTAAACATGATGTCTCTGGTTAAAGGAGAGCTGCCATCTTTTTACCCTGGCTCATCTTCTGGGTCTTTAACCACAGTATGAAAAATTCAAGAGTTATACCCCTTTGCTGTATCCTCACGGCAAGAAAACCTGTTCGATTTTTGCTAATCATATAATCTGTTATAAAGGGACAGAGCCCTATTCAGCAATCATTACGTATGTATTTACATTTGTATACCGCCCTTCCTCTGAAAATCACAGGGCAATTCACAACATAAAAATACAAAATGAGAACACAAATTACATTATAAAAACAATAACAATAACAAAAGCCAATAACCCCCCCTCCCACAAACACATTTAAAAGGATGTAGAATGCTAATCAGCCAAAGGCCTGGTTCAAGAGGAACATTTTTGCCTGGCACCTAAAGATATGTAATGAAAGTGCCAGGAGAGCCTCCCTGGGGAGAGCAATCTACAAATGGGGAGCCAACTCAGAAAAGTCCCTGTTCTTGTGTTGCCACCCTCTGGACCTCTTATGGAGGAGGCACACAAAGAAGGGCCTCCAATCAGGGTCGGATCTAGGTTTGATGAGGCCCTAAGCTACTGAAAGTAACGGAGCCCTTTATATGTCCAGCTGTCCTTTGTCAACAACAAATTGTCACTGTTTTTTGTGTTGAATATATGCTATATGGTAATTTATGGACCTAATAGGTATCTAAAGCTATTTGCACATAACAAAATGTATTTTATCAAAGTAATTGTTGAACTGAAATACAATTAAGAAGTATATTTTTGGAGGGCCCCAAGAGAGTAGGGCCCTAAACTATAGCTTGTTTAGTTTATACGTAAATCTGGCACTGCCTCCGATGATGATTGCAGAGTCTGGGTCTGCAGAAAAATGCAAAGGCTGTTTCTTCCTGTGCCCACCTTTTATTTCTGGATTAGCAACTGTGGGTCAGACACCACCATTCAAAGGGTTTTTGGCCAGAGAATGGAAAGAAGTGCTGTCTGTTGCTGTTTCCTAAGCAAGAAACTTCCACCAGCAAGAACAGGCATTTACCCTATTTTACCTTTGTCCCGAGAAACTGGCTGGGTCTTAAGTTTCATTGAACGCTTCAAAGCACATAGAGCAAATAAAAGTAATCAGAAAATGAAAACAATACAACACCTTCCTTGTTTATTTTTTAATAGCTGTTCTCCTGTCTCTGATTCCATTTGAGTTTCACAGAACCCCTTTGTAAGGCAGAGTAAATACAAGGCAAAACAAACAGAAATTCGTTTTGAGGAGTGCATCCCAGGTCAGGAGTGGCCAAACATCTTATTCTTTAAGTCACATAGGATCAACTGTGTTGACACGCTGGCTTGTGCTGTATTAAGATAGCACACCAAGTTGACCTGAAAATCCAGCGGGGTTTTAAACTCTTTCGGAACTTTCTCCCTCCTTGTAAACAGCAAGCATATTCTGGGCCCTCTTTTTTGGGTGCCTGTCTCCCAGGGTGGTTTCCTGGAGAAGGTAAAGGGCAAGGAGAGAACAAACATCCCTATCTGAAAGGAAGAAGATGGAGGCAGGGGCAGCAGGAGGGCAGCTGCAAGGATTTGGCATTTTCCTAATCTCCCTCTTCACAACAGTGTTGTCAGAAGATCATTTGATATCCAGACCCCCATCCTTGCTCCAGCTTGACTGCAGTAAGACGATAAGCAATTTCCATTCCCTGGTTCTGTACCTTGGCAGAAAGCTGACACTCCCCCCCCCAATGAAACTTTACTTTTTAATGAATTGGGTCTGAACATGGTAGGGGTTGTTCTGAGAAGCCAGATGGCTAATATCATATTCATGTCATCTTGCGTTTGGCCCTGGCACTTGAAGCAAACACTGTCAAGGATCCTCGCTCCGGTTCAAAGCCTGGCCTCACTTCATATTCAGATCATGCACCTGATGCTCCCATAAAGATCCATTGATTCATATCTTAAAAGCAAAAAAAAACCACCCTTCAGAAGCCATTAAGTCTGGCTTTCCGTGTGCTTTTTGGTCTCTCAAGGTCTAGTGCAGGCAGCATTAGCTAGGCGGCTCACATTGTGCGCCTTTGAACTCGGGGTGCCTCTGTGTCAGTCAAGCCTGTTTGGAATTGATATGCTCTCTATCCAGGCTCAAAAGTGTTTCATAAAGTTAAGTTTACGGAATGTCAATGAGACAGAAATATAGAAGCCCATCTCTGTCTCTCTAAAATGTCCAGCTGAGAGCAGGAGAGGTGATGGGCTTTAATTTCATTCTGACCCATCTCCAGCAACCCACCTCTGCCCCTCCAATACCTTGTTCTTTTAGTTCCTGCGATTTTGATTGTTATTATTAAAACCATACGTAAGGAAAACACAGGATTGTCAGGAACCCAGGCACCACACGGCATGTGAAACTGCATAGTCAACCCACAAGCATATATTCCCAAACCCTGCTATGGATTAGAACCAAGAAATAGATCTCTCTCTCTCTCTCTCTCTCTCTCTCTCACACACACACACACACACACATATATATCCATTGAAACTTTAGTTTTTAATGTAAAGTCCACCCAAACTGACCCACAACCCAAATAATACCAATAATTTGTCTCAATGTGGGTGGATGGTGAGAGATTGAATGGGATCAATCCAAGTACTTGATCAACCAGACCCTACTGATACCAGGAATAATCTAGTTGAGGACAGATCTAGAAGAGAACATGTCATCTACAGTGCCTAGCTGAAATCATCAAGGATCTAAAGCCCATTTGATACTTGCCTCTCTCCGACCTAGGGTGGTCCTTATTTCAATATGGCCTCCTAAATGTAAATAGATGCTCACCAGTAAAAACAGATCATGTAACAGACACACAAATACATATAGACCCAGATGCAAATAGTGTCCTCACACGTACTCAGAAATCACAAATACAGCACCTAATAATGTCAGCCACAACATCAACGGTTCATTCACCTGGTCACCTTCCAAAATGATATATACAAACTGTCAGCAATGCCCTTCTGCATTCCACATAAGACAAACAAACCAGTACAGTGGTACCTCGGGTTACATACGCTTCAGGTTACAGACTCCGCTAACCCAGAAATAGTACCTTGGGTTAAGAACTTTGCTTCAGGATGAGAACAGAAATTGTGCTCTGGCAGCACGGCGGCAGAGGGAGGCCCCATTAGCTAAAGTGGTACTTCAGGTAAAGAACAGCTTCAGGTTAAGAACGGTCCTCCGGAACGAATTAAGTACTTAACCCGAGGTACCACTGTACCTACATAAAAGTCTAAAAGAGCACAAATCTGACATCAGAAATGGTAATATTCAGAAGCCAGTAGGGGAACATGTCAACCTACCAGGTCGCTCTGCTTCTCCCCTTAAGGTGGTCATCCTTGAACTAAGGAACTTGAAAGAGCAGCCACAGCAAGAATCTGCTGAATTGCAACTCATCAAGAAGTTCACTTCTATTCATTTGGATCTGAATAAGGATAGTGGATTTCTGTCCCACTCCAAAGGTTGATTTATTCAGCACTGCTAAATTTATTGCATTATCCTCAGTTACTACTACTGTAAAGAGTCAATGTGTTTATTTTGTATGCATTCAGAGTCTAATTGAATGAGAAGGTAGCTGGTTCTTCTGAATTGAGAGAACTGGTGAGGGTCCTGGAAATAAGGAGCAGTGCAAGAGAAACTAGGAGGGCCGAACAGGGTGCTGAGAAAGAAGGTAAGAAAGAAGGGGGCAGAGGGATGCAGATCAAAACCCCCATCTATACAAGACAATGAAAAAACCAAGCTTGCAAGCATTTGGTCCTTTGGAGGCATGGGAAAGCAAGTGAGCAGCATGTTTCTACCTGTGATTTAATTTGAGCGCCCTGTAAGCCACATTGATAGGAGTACAGTGGTACCTCGGGTTAAGTACTTAATTCGTTCCGGAGGTCTGTTCTTAACCTGAAACTGTTGTTTACCTGAAGCACCACTTTAGCTAATGGGGCCTCCTGCTGCAGCCGCACGATTTCTGTTCTCATCCTGAAGCAAAGTTCTTAACCTGAGGTACTATTTCTGGGTTAGCGGAGTCTGTAACCTGAAGCGTATGTAACCTGAAGCGTATGTAACCCGAGGTACCACTGTATTTGTCTTTTCCTGTCATGGGGCTGTAGATTGGCAGTGCCAGAAAATACCAGATTATTGAGTGTTTTGTCCTTTCTCTGAAGACTTGTTGGTTTTTCGTTCAGCTTCTTCTTCCAGGAGTGTTTGTTTTGGGGATACAGGCAGCAATGTGAGGGATACAATGTCGGTGTGGGAAGAGCAAGGGCCTTGTGGGGAATCACAACAGCAGGTGCCAGGCAAAAGGAAGAGGCAAGGAAAGGCAGTGAAACAGCATCTAAAAGATCAGCTGGCTGGCACAGCACCAGAAGGATTTGCAGATTAAAATGTGCATGTGTGTGTGTGTGTAGGGGGGTGGTATTAGAGGAGGGGAGAATAGAATGTGTTGTGTAGTGTGGAGAGTAAAGCTGGTTTGTTTGTTTTTAAGACTTGTGCTCACCCCAAGAGAAGAAACCACATATCCAAGTAGAGAGGGGACAGGACAGGTGCTGTAATAGATTATGGAGGATTTCCTAAAACACAGGCCGAGAAGCAAAACAAACAAAGAAAGAAAACCCAGTCCCAGAGGGTGGGGTTGGGGTGCGTGCAGAATAACTTCCCAGTGGATAACGTTGATAGAAAAGTGATTGCCAGATGACTTTAGGCTTGTTTTAATGGAACCCTCCTCTCACCTGGAAGTCTCACCTGTCCCTTATTCTGGAGCATCACCAGTTTACAGGACATGATGCTCTTATAGTAGCTCTGATTTCCTGAGATGTCGAACTCCCAGCTGCAGCTCTGTGAAGAACTGAGTATATTCCAGGCATGTCAGAAGAGCTGGGAAGGCGTTACCAGAATCTGGAGTCTGCAGACAGAATAAAGAGGGGAAATGCAGAAGGCCATTTCCTTTCTCTGCTCATAATTCAGGAGGTGGACCTGTGGCAGATCCCATTCTGTGCATACAGAAAGGTCTTGGGTTCAATATCTGGCATCTTCAGGGAAAACTCCACAGGTGAAATCCCTAGAAAGCTGCAGCTAATATCAAGCGAGATGAACTAATGTCCTCATTCCTTACAAGGCAGTTTCATAGCCTCGTCTTGCACAAAAACAGCAGGAAAAGTCCCTAGACTCGGGCAGTCCACTGACAGACTGACTAGCCCACTTCTCTCCTAGAGGCTGGAGGTTTGTGTCCTTATTTGTGCCTTGCCTATTAATTACGTCTTATCCCCCTCTAATCTTCTCTGAAAGCAGTCATGAGTGCCTGCAGGTGACCCGGTAGAAAGCAGGCCTCCCACAGTGGCTTTGCATGCCAATCTCCACCCCACAGCACTGGTGAGTCAGAGTCAGGCGGAGGGCAGTGGAGCTATTCTGCCCTTATGCTCCCGCGATAGTGATGCCCCTGGTTTGGTAATGGGGGAAGAATCATGTGCACCACCTTCTTGGTCCTCAGCACCTTGGCATTTCTGCTGCGCCGGCGCTTCTTCAACAAAGTCGAACCGTATGTCCTTCCTCCCTTCTTGTACTGTAGAGAAGCTAGGGTAGTAGATGGTCAGATCTCAGGGAGAGTGTCTGTAGGAAGGATGCCTGGCTCGTAGCGATATGTGCCTCTCTTGTGCTTTTGTTTTGCTCTGATAATTGCTCTGTGACTACAAAGAGGACTGATTCACAAGTTTTTAATTTAAACTTTCCTTTTTACCTCTGTATCCTGTTTGTTGAGGCTGCAGTCTTAGCCCCACTTACCAGGTGGAGTAAGCCCCACTGCAGCTAAAATTATTCTGTTTATTGTGGAGCTTCCCTCAATCATAGAAGGATCACATTGTATGTTGCCCCTATTTGAAGGATCTCACTCACATGAGTAAAAGGTCAGTGAGATGTGGGAATAATTCCGCCAGAAAGGATATCTGTGTGGCTGTTATGTAACACATCTGAAACTGAATCCAGGTTCTACTGCCCTGGGGGGACTCAGTGGCAGGGGTCCTGTGGAAATTTGTCCCCAGCCCACCACACCCCGACTTTAAATTCATAGGATCAAGATCTTGAATTTCCTGGTGGGCATTCTAAACAAACTTTGGTCTGTTGGTTCAGGACTGTATTATCCACCACCTTTGGGTCCTTTTCATGAGAGTGTAGGTTATGCCTTTCGTTTCATTTCAAAAACACGTGGAACAAAGAAGTTAGGAAGAGACATTAAGGTGAACAGTTTGACCGCAAAGCATCTTTACACCCTTGCACCGGTCAATAAAAAATATGATTCGATTTTTCTTTGCTTATAAATAATGTGAATTGGACTGGAGGAGAAATAGCACCGTTTGAGCAAGGCTGGATGTGGTACTCTATGGATGAAGACACTTAATCGCCCCATACCTAAGATGGAATGTTCCGCAAGGCCTTTCCTCCTGTGCCAAAACATCAAGTAAAACCCTCCAGATCCCACTAAAGATAGCAAGGCCTTAGAGTTCTCTGTCAGGCCGGAGGAACACATCCTAAAATGGGCCTCCACTTTTAAGTAGTTACCTTCCAAGATTCTTCAGCGGCTGGCAGACCTTGCCTTTTCAGTAAGAGATGGGGGTTTATTTATTTATTTTGCCTTGTTTCAATTGTATGTATTTACTTTCAAATATATAATCAGCCTTTCCAACGTAATTTGAGCCTCAGGTCTTCATGCCACACAGTAATGAATAGTATATATTGCGTCCTCTTCAGGATCCCAACCACTGTGTTCTATTGCCCACTCCCAATTTTCCATTTCCGCCCCCCTCCACTGGCAGAGGAAGGGGATGAGGGGTGTGTGGACCTCCCCAGGTGTCATCCCTGAGGGGGGTGACATCGCTCCCCCGCCCCCCTGGGATGCTCGTGGCCCCCCCCCCCGGCAGATTGCCCTGCCCCCAGGTTCACAGCATGTGACCCCTCCGGGGGCTGGATCAGCTAGCTCCGCCTCTGCCCCCCTCCCCAGTCAAATCAGTGTCTTGTGCCCACTGACATTGCTCAGTCCTCTGTTTTGGAACATTGCTCCAGTTTTTCTTTCTTTTTTACAAAAGCTTGGAATTCCTACAAGCCTGCTGATATGGCCTTCTTCTGCATAGATGCCATTTTGGCTGCATGAAGATGAGATCTCAGAGAACTGGGTTTGCTATTAGTAAATCATTTTGCAAGTCAAAGGAGGGACAGGATAGGGAAATGTGCCAATTGTTGAATTAATCCTTTTTTTTCTTTTTCAAGCTTATTTACCTCCTAGTAACCTTGTACCTAGCATCACTTAGGAATTTCAGGAATTCTAAGAAGCCGAAAAACCAAAGCAGTTTTATAATCGATGGTTAAAAACACTGTAGTTTTGAAATGTTTGGTCCACCATCTTGATTCAAAATGGCATCCAAACATAGGCAAAACCTGGCTCCTCAAACACAGGAATCATCATGCAAAATTTGGCTAAAAGCAGTGCTGTTTTGAAAGGTCCACTCCACCTTTTTGATTCAAATTGGCATTCAGTTGTCTCCAAACACAGATGAAAATCTGCTCCTTGATATCAGGAAACACCCTGCAGAATTTGTTTACGATATCTTAAGAGGTTTCCAAGTGCAGGGCAAAGAAGCAATGTTTCATTATAATAGATTTTATTTCGGTTCGCTGGGATGTATCATTACAAGATTTCAATATTCCCAGGAAAAAAGAACAGATCCATTAAAAGCACATTTAAATTACATTTCCCCATCCCCAAAGAATCCTGGGAACTGTAATTTGTTAAGTGTGCTGGGAAGTGCAACTCTGTGAGGAAAAAACTATGATTCCCAAGGATCTTTGGCGGGTGGTTAAGTGTGTTTAAAATGTCTGGTGTGTATGCAGCCTAGATTGGAGCTGGGGAGGCTGTGGCCCACTAAATGTTCTTGGACTCCAACTCCCATCAGACATAGACAGCATGGCCAATTGTCAGGGATGATGGGAGTTGTAGTCCATCAAATTCTGGAAGCCGCCTGCTTCCCCCCCCCGTGGGCAGGAAGAAGTAGCACAAAATGCTGTGTAATTTTCTTAAAATTCTCCCTTGTAGTTCTAACTTTGGTATCTTAGGTCAGCAGTCATCCTCTGAAGAACCTGACAACCAAAGTCTCCCTTGCACATTGTACAGACAGGAAGGATGTAGGAAGTGGTGTCCCCAAAGACCTATGCTTTTCAACTTGTTCATATATCACCTGGATGAGCACTGAGAGAATCAAATTTGCTCAAGGCAGAACACCCACCCCCCAAATAAATAAATAAATAAAACCAGAATAATTGCAAAGAGCTCCAAAAGGATCTTTCCAAACTGGAAATAAAGGTAAAGGTAAAGCGACCCCTCACCGTTAAGTCCAGTCGTCGTCAACTCTGGGGTTGCAGTGGTCATCTCCCTTTATTGGCCGAGGGAGCCGGCGTACAGCTTCCGGGTCATGTGGCCAGCATGACTAAGCCACTTCTGGCAAACCAGAGCAGCACACAGAAACGCCATTTACCTTCCCGCTGGAGCGGTACCTATTTATCTACTTGCACTTTGACGTGCTTTCAAACTGCTAGGTTGACAGGAGCAGGGTCCAAACAGAGGGAGCTCACCCCGTCACAGGGATTCGAACCGCTGACCTTCTGATCGGCAAGCCCTAGGCTCTGTGGTTTAGACCACAGCGCCAATACATTGGGGTGAAATGGTAGCCTTTCAATTCCCCCAAAGAAAGTAAGTGGTGGTGGCTTTTCTTATTATAAAATGATATTGGGGAGTTAAGGCTGCCATATCACAGCTGCATGGATGTTTTGGGTTGTTTTTCTTTTAAGTTTTGCATTTGATCAAAAGCTTTGTATCTCAATGGTCTATGTCAATATTTTGGATAATGTGTTATCCACATGCTCTCTGTAAGGTCACATATGCAAGATAATTGACCATTTTGTTTATAGTGAAATAATTTTTTTAAAAAAATCTATTAGGACAAAATATACTTACTTGACATATACCCGAATTGGGTCTGAACCGGCAGTGATTAATCAACACTGAGACCTTGAGGTCATAGTGAATAGCTTGATTCCATATTAGGGATCATTAGGAAAAGAATTGAAACGGAAACTATCCATGTCATAATGACATTATATAAATTTGTGGCGCAAACCACACTTGGAATACTACAGTTCTGATTGCTGAACCTCAGAAAGGATATTGTAGAGCGGGAAAAGGGTTCAGAAAAGTGTGACCAAAATCATCAAGGGGCTGGAGCAATTCCCCTATGAGGAAAGGTTAAAATGTTTTAGGACTTTTATGCATGATGCAGAAAAGGGGGGTAGAGGGTTTTTTTCTCCTTGTCTCATATTACAAGAATTTGGGGGCCATCCAAAGAAGATGGACAATTCAAGACAGACAAAAGAAACACATAGTCGAGCTATGGAATTAGATCCCACCAGATGAGATGGCCAGCAACTTAGGTTTTGAAAGAAGATTAGACAAATTCATGGAAGAGAAGTCTATCAACGGCTACTAGGCAGGTGACTATATTGTACCTCCACTGGCAGAGGCAGTGTGCATCTCTGCAAAGCAGTTGATGGGCATTACAAGTGGGGAGAGTGCTTCTGGACTCGCTTGCAGGCTTCCCACAGGCATCAGATTGGCCACTATGAGGACATGATGCTGGACTCAGTGGGCCTTAAGGATGATCCAGCCATAGGCTCTTGCTATGTTCTTAATCTGGCTTTTAGAATAGAGCAGGGCTTATTAAATTTGTGCCTGTGGGCACAATGGTGCTCATGATATTTTCTCTTAGCGCACATGAAAGCTCTGAGCCCCCACAACACTGCCCCCTTGGTCATGAGGCAGCGAGGGTGGCTATATTTGTCTCCCTTGGAACGTGTGTAGAGATGAAGGAGGAAGTTGGAAGAGTGATGTTCTTTCCCACTTCTTCTTTCAGGTCTGTGTGGGTTTTACTCGGCTGAAAGACACATGTTAAAAGGAAACAATTATCTAAGGGCCTCTAGGTATCGTCTTTATTACACAGTCAGGATTAGTTGTTCTGATGCTGCTGTTTGGGTCATCACATGCAATCCTGCTCTCAGTATGGTTTGTCACATTGCCAGTGTGGTGTAGTGGTTAAGAGCGATAGACTCGTAATCTGGGGAACCGGGTTCGCTTCCCCGCTCCTCCACATGCAGCTGCTGGGTGACCTTGGGCCAGTCACACTTCTTTGAAGTCTCTCAGCCCCACTCACCTCACAGAGTGTTTGTTGTGGGGGAGGAAGGGAAAGGAGAATGTTAGCCGTTTTGAGACTCCTTTGGGTAGTGATAAAGCGGGATATCAAAGCCAAACTCTTCTTCTTCTCCACTTCGAATCAGTGCATAGCTCGTTGCATCCTGCTGAAATCCCACAACATTTTATACACCACAAATATTCTAGTTTGTTTTCTTTTCTTTTCTGCTTTTATTGTGCTATAGCCCTCAGGATAGCAATATGTGGTAACACTGGCATCAAAGAACGAAGCAAAGCAGAATAAAACTACCAGTAATGCACTAGCAATGTATCAATAACATGTTGCAGAATATACCTGCAACAAAACACCAGTCTGGAGGGGCCCTAAATCCAGCACAGCCTACTTAAAAAGCAACAACAACCAAAGCCACATTCTGTTATTTCGGTGCACTGCGACATTGCGGAATACAACCCTGGTTACAAGGCGCCTCTGCAGAGAGTGCAGCTGTTCTCTGCAAACAAGAGTCTCTCAGCTCAGGGACATGCAAATCTATTTTTCAGCCAAGCCTGGAGTCTGGCTGAAAGTGGGTAGGTGAAATTGACATTTAAAGAGCCGTAATACCTCAGCCAATTATCATCCAAAATTGGGTATAGTTGAGCTCAGTTGCATAGATGAGATGATAGCATGTTCCCTTCAAAGGGAAATTAAGGTGCAGCCGCCATTTGTGTTTCACAGATTAACAAGCGAGAGGTTAATTTGGGGTTTTTCAGTTTGCGTGTATCAACAAAATTGGTCAACCAGGAGGTCACAGTGGTACTTCGGGTTACATACGCTTCAGATTACATACGCTTCGGATTACATACTCCGCTAACACAGAAATAGTACCTCGGGTTAAGAACTTTGCTTCAGGATGAGAACAGAAATCATGCTCTGGTGTCGCGGCAGCAGCGGGAGGCCCCATTAGCTAAAGTGGTGCTTCAAGTTAAGAACAGTTTCAGGTTAAGAACGGACCTCCAGAACGAATTACGTAAGTACTTAACCCGAGGTACCACTGTATCAGTATTCCTTGCAGTGCTGCGGCTAGTTAAATAGCAAAGCCCACTGAATAAGTTGTTACTTGGGAGTACTGGGAAAGGGGAGCGTAGAGCTGTACGGTGAAGCCAAGAAAGAGGGAATTCAGTGTAGAGGAAAGGGTGGTGGAACATCTGCTTTGCATGCAGAAAGTCCCAGGATAAGTCCCTGGCATCTTCAGGCAGGGCTTGGGAGAGATGCCCTGGCTGAAACCCTGAAGAGCTGCCGTCAGTCAGCATGCAGACAATACTGAGCTACATGGACTGATGGTTTGACAGTGTAAGGCGCTTCCCTATGTTCCTATATGGGCCTGTAGCTCATGAGGAGGCCTTATGTGCACTTTTCCATCCTTCTCTCTTTGTGTGAGCTTCCACAAATAGTTTGCAGGGTAGCTGTGATGGGTGTTAGCAGCAGCTAGCATTGGAACTTTATCAAGTTGGATGTGTGTTCACATCAGAGATCGCAGATTGTTTCTGGTTGCTTCTTTCCCCCTTTTTATTATCTATTATTATTTCTTGATTTTTTCAAAATTCTCTCTCCCCAAGAACTCAATATACATGGTGGGGTCTGGTCCTAGAGATTTGGGGAGCTGCAGATTAAGCCAAATACAGTTTCTGTACAGAGCCTAGAAATCTCTGTTTTCATTCTCTCTCTTTAAAGGAATTCCTGGTCGAAGCCCAAATATATCTTGTGGGTGGCTAGAATCCAGTCCCCTGCCCCCACCAGACCAAAAAGAGAGTGCATTTTGGGGAAATCCAGCATGTTGGAAATATTTTTATTCAGAAAGCCCTTTTATTTTTATGAACAGTTTCTTTTCTAATTTTAAAAGCTGGCTTATACGTGTATAGGTGTGTATATTAAGAAGTAATTAAACGGAGTTCAGTATGCAGTGAGTCCCCAGCAGATTCCCCCAAGACAAAGCTGCTTCCAGGCAATCTGTTCATTGAGTCTTCCTCCTGATCTGTTTTGCTAGGAGATTAGGCAACAGTAGCTATTTAATGGGCATTTACTTTCGTTTGCAGCAAAAAATGTCACCCACCCTTTGAAGTGCATTTTCTCTTGGTCATTTCCTGTTTTTCTTTTTGTATGCCGCTTTGGGAACCAGGTGGTGGAAATAGGAGTTATACATCTTGAAAATAAATAATGAACTTCCGCCAGCATTTTAGATCTGAGTTGCCAGGCTCAATCATAAAAATGGGCCGGCAGAACATGTGCAGGCAATGTATCCAAGCCTCAGAAGCAGAACTAGGAATAGCATCTCACTGTTGCCGACACACTAATGTGTTTTTCATCTGTATGAAGCGCAGCCCGCTATCAGTCACACAGTCAAGAGGCATATTTCTGAAAGATGAGCAGGCAGCCAAGCACATCTCCTATTAAGCGAAGAGTGATGTAACATAGAGCAGTGATCCCTCTGCAACATAAATGCCTGAGCTTCTTTTGTTGCTGGTACATAACAGAAAAGCGGCAAGTAGCACTTCAGTCAAAGGAAGACTGATGAGCATCATTTCAACAAGCGGAAGGGCAATTAGGGGACATCAAGATTCTCTTGTACATTTGACCCTCTTCAGATCCTGCGGTCTTTTTATATCATGTCGGCCTTGGGTGTTTCTCATGGACTTGGCATCAGGTCTCAAATTTCTTTAATGCACACAGAGAATGTCTGGAGCTTCAGACATTAGAGGAGAGGCTCAAAAACAGCTGTTTGATAGCCAGGTAAAATAACTTCTATATATCTATAAAAGCCTGCTCTCACGGTACTGCTACACTCTTTCAACAGAAATAAAGGCAAAAGAGAGTTATTCAGAAAGGACCAGGCTAAATTCTCTGCGGCTCCTATGGGGTTCTGTGGAATGAAGTTTGCAATCAGGGACGCAGCTGAGAGGGGTAAAAGTTGCCCCTTCATCTCATTACTAGGGTTACTAGGATTACTAGGTTCAAATCCCTGCGACAGGGTGAGCTCCCGTTGCTCTGTCCCAGCTCCTGCCAACCTAGCAGTTTGAAAGCATACCAGTGCAAGTAGATAAATAGGTACCGCTGCGGCGGGAAGGTAAATGGCGTTTCCGTGCACTCTAATTAACGTTACGGTGTTCCGTTGCACCAGAAGCAGTTTAGTCATGCTGGCCGCATGACCCGGAAAGCTGTCTGTGGACAAATGCTGGCTCCCTCGGCCTGAAAGCAAGATGAGCGCCGCAACCCCATAGTCGCCTTTGACTGGACTTAACCATCCAGGGGCCCTTTACCTTTTACCTACCTTTACTAGGGACAGCAATCAGGTTTTTCCTGTTTCCCGTTGGTGCCACCCAGGATTCTACTTTGTTTTCTTATTCTCCTTGGTGGAAGAAATCACTGCCATTCACTCTTAATGAGGAAAATTAAAGCACTGCATTGGCAGACACTGTTGCAATGAGGGCAATAACTGTCCTTAACCCCTGGCATGAGACTCATCTTTTCAGCTGTTAATCGTGTTATAGGAATCCTAAGGTCTTATACATATATAGAATAAATGTTCATAAATGTACAAGGCAAACACACATGCATAAGTATAGTGTCTGAAACAGTGCAGGAGAGCAATCCTGAAGCCATTTTGACTCTCCCAAATTGACTTCAAATATTTCTCTGCAAGGAGAAAGGAAATGGGAAAAGCTTTCCAGTTGTCTTTGGACTGTAGGGGCTTACACCTCCGTTTGCAAATACAGTCTGGCAAGCATCTGTTAAGCTGAGCAAACTATCAACATATTATCATAATATAATAATAATACAATTTTTATATCCCGCCCTCCCCAGCCGAAGCTGGGCTCAGAGCGGCTAGCAACAGTAAAAATAACACAGTTTACATAAAATCACAATCAGTTAATTGAAATACATTCTAAAATCAATTCATTCTAAAATCAATTCAGAGTCAATAAGAAAAAACTGCTCCTTTATCCCTTATGGGGTATCCAAGAGCCCATATAGAGTCCTTATGTAGGTTCCCTATTGGTAGGAGAAAATAACAGAGGCCAACCCGAGAATATTGAGAAGCAAAGCAGCTGATAAGCCTGATCTTTATTGATCTGTTGCAAAAGGGTCCTCACTCACCACACGGAGGAGGGTAGAGGAACCCAGAACAAAGGTGTGCCTGCCCTTATATAGACATTTTAAATTCCCTGCCCTGGAGCTCAAGACCACCCCTCCATACATCATACATACATCACAGAAGGGGTGTAACCTAAGACCACCCCCCAGATACATCATACCTACATCACAGAAAAGGCGGTCTACAGCAGAAATCTAAGTGTGTTGTTTATCTCGTCTGACAGGTTACCTGTTTAATGGTCACTTGATTAGATTGCCTTGGGAGCCTGGCTAGTCTTTTGTAATGATAAATACTTAGTTCCTGAGCCAGGTCACAGGCTCACACCCTATTCATATCTTAAATGTGCCCTTAAGACAGGATTTGAGAAGGAACCGACAATGGGGAGGCTTTTCCATTTTCCTTTGACCTTGCAGAGAAAACATTTGCTCAGTCTGGGAATCAAAATGGTTTCAGGTCGGTCTTCCTGTGCTGATCTATGTATGTGCTTGGTTGGTACACTTATGAACATTTAACGTATATCTAAGACCTCAAAATTCCTATCACAATAGGGAGTCTCAGCAACAAATATTTGTGAGCATCCACCATTATAGAAGATACTAGGAAGGATGCTGCCTTTGAAATGTCAAATCTCTTTTCTATATGAACAGTTAAGAATGTATAAGGAGAACAGAACAGAACTGCTATTATAAATAACTGTTCTTGAAGTAAAGCAAGCTGGCAGACTAAATATCTACATTAATCTCAGCACTATATCCTGTGGTAGGTGGAATGTAATAATAAAATGTCTGCTTTTGCACCATGCAGATTTTAAAAAAGCCTATTTTCAGAATGTAATCTCTTATTTGAAATCAGATAATAACCCCTCTAGTTTGTCTGCATATCTGTTAGCATTCTAGTTTATTGCCTTAAGTTGGTAGGAACACCTTAGATTTATCATTGATTTTAAATAAGAAACCTTAGCCACCCCTTTCATTCATCTTCACAGTATCTCATCTTCTGTGCATTTTGCTCGGCAAAGAAACAAACAGCTGTATATTATGTTCAGGGACAAAATGTCAGTCAGATGTTTTGCCCCACTAGCCAAATACCTCATCACTATCCATAGAAGTGATACCTTTGTGTCCAGGGCACTTTTAGAAGGTAGGCTGGAGTCAGGTTACAGACTTTTCAGCATGTTGAAGGTGATATCACAGAGGTATTGTTGGCTGTGTTCTACACACTGAATGACTCCCACTTATAACTCTGGGAAAGAGGTTTTGAAGGTTTTTGCAGGCTTCCCCCCAAAACCCTGCAAAACCTGTTTGACCACATAGGAAATGTGTTTGTGGGGATGAATCATCTAGCAAGGGCTATGATTCTTCTATCAAACCTTGAAATCTATTTAGAAGTTTTCTTTATAATTAAGCGGCATACAAATGCTGTTAAAAATACTTTCTTGGAAAGTACCCCTCCTTCTCCAGTCTTACAGTGTCTGCAAAGTTATATTTATTTGTATACTCTCTCTCTCTCTCTCTCTCTCTCTCTCTCTCTCTGTGCCACTTTTTGAGGCAAAAGCCTGCCTAAAATGGCTTACATAAGAAGAGAAACATAACATGACAATATCCCATTTCAATAAAATGAAATCAGTTAAAAGAGCAGTTTAAGATAACTCACAATTCACAAACCATACCAGAATGAGGTGAGAAACCTCCAGTGTAAATATTCCACTGATGGTGAAAGGGAGTTAACCATCTCTTTCAAATAAAAAGTATAATAATAATAATAATAATAATAATAATAATAATAATAAATGTGTTAGGGAGTATTGAGAATCAAAGATAAGATTTGGTCAGCTTGACATTCAAACTCCAATTTTAGAAGGCAGCAGGGAAAATCAGCTTCTACTTGTTATCGGTTGTGTATAATCCGGAAAGCTCTCCCTTCTCCCATCCTGTTTACAATACATAGCTAATTGCTGATCATTCTGATTTGTGTATCCCCAAGTGCAGTAAGGGAATTTCCAAGTTCCTGGCCAGACTTAACTCAATAGTGACTCTTCCTGCAATTATTAATCTGAATGAGCATGGGGAATGGAAACCTCAGCCTGTTCTAAACTTTGTGGATTGGCTTTTGTCACAAGCCCTGCCACTTCCCAGTTTCTATGACTTTATATTTTAATCCTCAAAAAGTTTGGATTGGTTCATATCATATCAAGGCGAAAGTGGTTGTCCTTTTTGCAGTCTTAATGCTGTATCAGTTTTTTTAAAGGTACAACAAGACCAGCAGATCCCTCCCACGGTGCTGAATTTTACATGGTGTGTGTATAAGTTTACATATCTGGCCAACAGCAGCCCCAGGTCAGAGATGACTGGGAAACCATGTGGATGTTGTGCCATTTTGGACGTCTGAAATTCCTTGATCAAAGCACTTTAGGAACATGTAAGCCTATGAAGTCCTGCTTGGTTGTTCTACACAAGTGAAGCAGCGAAGAAAGAGACTCACTGCAGCCGTCCTTTGTTTGCTAAATCTGATGATATGGGCACTTTTGCTTGTTTCCTGCAATATAATATTGCATTCCGTAAGAGTTTGTTTAAAGGAGATCATGGAAGAGATTTAGGTTTTATGAAAGAGACTGTCTAGATTGCTACAGTATGCAAAGAAAAGAACTTTATCTCCAGAGTGTCCCCACCACACTGTGGCACGTGATTGTTCCAGGTTTTTAGAGGAAAGTGCCAAAAAAGAGAAATATCTCACAATTGCCAGTAAATAGTTCTGGAGGTATTTATCTAATTTAGCACTTCATTCTTGTATGCTTCCTATTCTAGTTGTTGCTGTTTTTTCAAAAAAATTTTTTAGAGTAGCCTGTTTTAAGGTTTTGAATCCAGGATTGTCTGTCTCCTTAATCCTTGTAAACAAAGGCTGATGAGAAGGAGAAATAGCTTTTGCAAACAGATAGAAGTGGCGGAAGAACAGGGCTGGCAGGAGTAATTTTGCTGCCTGAGGCAGAGGACAAGATGGTACTCTGTCTTCCATGTAACTGAAGCCAACGGAGAGGTAGGGCTTGCCCACATGTGAGTAATATGTTACTGCCAAGATACTCCTTTTACCATTGAATTTGCTTTTAGTGGTCCACACAATGTTCTCCAGTTACAAAGCCAATGTTTTCTGGCCATACCAATGGGAGCTTCAGTGTGTTGGATCAATCCTGCTGAAGGTTCAAGTCCGTGGCTCAAAACGAGTGTGTTGCAGGAAACCTGCCCCCCCAATCATTTAGTTTGTACAAACTCCACACACACACACACACACACACACACACACACACTCACACATGACATACACAATGTTTCTGTTATAAATTCATAGAAAATCAACTGTGCATCGGATCTACACCGTTCCACTTTATTTTGCTCCATAAAGAAAGGACTATCAAAGGCGGAAGGTTTGATACAGGGTGGCCATAATCCCTTGAGCGTACCAACACGTACTCAGGAGCCCTACCCAGTTGGCATGCCAACCATGATGGTCCCAGAGAGAAGACCATCAAGGCCACAAAGAACTTGCATATGGGAGTGGATTCAGCATGGACTGAGACAAAGGACAATGATCAGCTCTTCCCTCTGGGGGCAGGATACTGCAAACTCCCCTTTGTCCTCTGGAAAGTACTCATGGGGAGGGGGAAAGGAGGGACCAGCCAGGTGACAAGATACTCAGGTTACCTCCACAACTCCTCCCGTAACCCCTCCTTTTTGTGATGTATCAATGATGTAGTCATGATGTAGTTATGATGTAGTCTTAGGGGTGTAACATGGGGATTAGTGGCTAATAAAAGTTGGGGTCTTCTTTTGTTCAGGGCTTCCATCTTGTTTCACCTGGTGGCAGGTGGGAGTCCTGTCGCGACAGTCTTCAATAAAGACCAAGCCTACTGGCTGCTATTTTGCTCTGGTATTCCTCGCTGGTGTCCTTGTTTTTTGTCCAAGGGAGCCTTCAGATTTCTCCATTAACAGTGGGATGGGGCTGGTGGAGGGGAGCAGCATGTGGATTAGGGCCAAGTACTTTGGGGCAAGGAGCTGCAAATACACAGTAAATGTTCAGCACATTTAATGGACAAGCACATCATTGACTATTCATTTAATAGTCTGGCTGTAGAATAGCATCCTACCATGCCACTGGGCAACAGGCCAGCTTAAGGAGTGATAGGAAGGCATACTCAGCTCTCTTCCTCCAAACCTCCTTGCTGCTGCCAGCCTCCCAGCACCTGCCACCTGAGGCACTTTGTCTCATTCTGCCTAATGCCTAATGGCAGGGCTAGGCCTGCTGAACAGGCTTGGTAAAGAACTTTCCCTTCTGTGTAGAATCAACTAGGAATTTAAAGTAGAAAAATTCTTCTTCTTTTTTTTCAAAGACAAAGAACCTTACAGTTGATAAAGCAGAGGAAGCAAAAACTCATCAGCAACTGATCATCTGGAAAAGTCCTAGCAAAAGAATGGGTAGTTTTTGATTACTTCTGACATTTGAGCTGTCATAGGATTTTCCAGTTTTATATTAAACCATTCAAGGAAAGGAAACATTTCTTTGCTCCAGGATTCCCCCCACCCATTGATTTCCATATGCATTTGTCATGGACCCATAATGAGTAATTTGTGATTCCTTAATGCATAGCAACAGAGCTCATCTGTGGAGAGGAAAGGATTATTAGGCAATCTGGCACAAAAGAAGGACTGGTTTAAACGAGTTCAATTAATGCTGGTGTGATAGGGGACATCCGGCTCTGCTCTCAGCATAGCGGATGGTCATGGTGCTATCTGTTCCTCTATGAATCCAGCAGACTGTGGAGCTTGTCCCCCCCCCCTTTCATGGACTCCTGTTATTAACATATACAGTGGTACCTCGGGTTACATACGCTTCAGGTTACAGACTCCGCTAACCCGGAAATAGTACCTCGGGTTAAGAACTTTGCTTCAGGATGAGAACAGAAATTGTGCTCCGGCAGCACAGCAGCAGCAGGAGGCCCCATTAGCTAAAGTGGTGCTTCAGGTTAAGAAGAGTTTCAGGTTAAGAACAGACCTCCAGAATGAATTAAGTTCTTAACCCGAGGTACCACTGTACTGCTATTTTTCTTTCTGTGATCTTAACATGTGGGTCACAACTCACCTACCTAGAAATATACTTTGCCCCTTCTGAACCCCCGCCTCAAAAAAAATTCTGGTGCTGCCACTGGCCATGTTCCTGCCATGAAACAAACCAGTCTTGTTGTGTGCAAACAGCATTTGAGGCCTCAGGAGGTCAGTAGCGGCCAGCTAAAGGACCCCTGACCATTAGGTCCAGTTGTGGCCGACTCTGGGGTTGTGGCGCTCATCTCGCTTTATTGGTCGAGGGAGCTGGCTTCTGGTCCCCAACCTGAAGAAAGGATCTTCTGCTTCTAGTTGCTGCCTTGGAAGATGTATCTGAGTGAACTGAGGCTCTTTTGCTTTCTATCTTTCAGGGAAGGAACAGAAGGAAGCAAGCAGGAGGTTGGGTCAGATCCCCCGCCAAGGTAATGAAGGATGCTTTTATGCAAATCTCTCTTTCATTTCGGGGAGATTTGCACAGTTGAAGTTCCTGGTGGATTATAGTTGTAATCAGTTTTAATGCAGCCATTTCTACTTTCTTTAGTTCCATGGTCTTAGTTAAAGATGGATGGGGCAATTCAAAATACACACAACTTTGTGGGAGGCTGAACTGGGTGGGGGTGTAACTTGAAAAAAGAGACATTGCACATACTTTTGTAAACCAAGAAATCTTAAAAAAAATACTTAAAATAAAGAAAAGAACATCACTTCCCTCTCCGTCCACTAAATGTCCAGGTGAGCAAAAGTGCCCCCTGGCAGGATCCATGTTAGCAGCTACAAGAGGAAGGTGTTGGAACAAGTTGTTCCAAGGGCAGGGAGTGGAAGGAGCTAAGATCCACTGGTTTCACTGCTGTCAAATGATGGCATCAGGCCTGATCTCACCATTATTGCTGAACCAGCTCCAGGTTAGTACAGTAATCTTCTTGGCCCTCCATTCTGCCCTGGCCACTGTGTGTCCACCATTTTGGACAGGTGTTCATACAAGGCCGTACATTACTCACACAGAATTAGCTAAAGGATTGCAACTGGAAGGTTTTGTCTTACAAGGTGAGGATGATGTACTGTAATGACTGTAAGCTACACAGTGTTTTGTTTTTTGCTGTGTTCAGGGAAACCAGAAATTAATCTCTGGTTCCTGTGCGAGTCAATCTGATCAGAGATGAGTGGAAGAGAAAGAATAAGTACCAACACCAGCTGATGGAAAATTCACTGCCTTTTTGTAATACAATGGTAAGTGCGTGGGAGATATAGGGGCAGGGGAGAAGAGGGCCTCCAGAATGGGGTCAGAGTCCAATGAGTCTTGAAATTAAATACAGACTGATAAGTAGGGCTGCCATATGTCTGGGTTTCCCCTGAAACGTCTGGAAATTGGGCTTTGTGAATGGCGTCTTGGCGGATTTTTGCCAAATTGGCAAAATGTCTGGGAATTCCCAGATGTATGGCAAGTGGGGTGATGCTTAACAAACAAAAAAGCCGAACAACTTTGTCCGCATTTTCAATTTTTGAGGTTTGATTTTTGCTGCCCAACTCTGCATGGAACTCTGAGTCCCCTAATGATCCTTAAGCAATAAGTAGCAAGGCATTTCTGCTTTAACCCAATAATTCCACTCTGTTCTCAAAGACCATAGGAGCACAGGATGCTGCCTTATCCTGAGTCAGACCAACAGGCTATCTAGTTCAGTGTTGTTGACACTGATTACCAGTAGATCTCCAGCATTTTACACAGGCCACTTTCCCAGTTCTACCTGCAGAAGCCGGGGATTCAAACAGGAATCATATGCATGCAGAACAGATGCTCTACAGCTGAGCAATGGCCCTTATAGAGAGTCTAGAAATCAGTGGACGGATACTAGTCTAATTCAGAAAAAGTCTAGCCATTACATCTTTATAAAGTGAGAGATCACTTCTTTTGTTTTTACTTAGGCTGCAGTCCTGTACATATTTAGGAGTAAGTCCCGTTGAACAGAATTGGATTAACTTGTTTAGCATTGCACTGCTGTGCATTTAGCGTCACATAAGCAGCAAGTATTTTTAAAAAATAGCCATGTTGGACCACTTGACAAAGCATTAGCAGCAGTAGCAGCTGTATTTGGTTGCTAGTATCACAGCAAATTTTTGGAGCCCATTATTCCTCCACTGCCCATTCTAATACAGTGGTACCTTGGTTTACGAACTTAATCCGTTCTGGAAGTCTGTTCTTAAACCAAAGCCATTCTTAAACTGAGGCACACTTTTCCTAATGAGGCCACCCGCTGCTGGTGCCCTTCCACCGTTTGGCTTCCATTCGTAGACCAAGGTAAAGTTCACTAACCGGAACACTACTTCCGGTTTTGCAGAGTTTGTAAACCTAATAGTTCATAAACAGGACTGCTCTTAAACCGAGGTACCACTGTAGCTTAAACCGGATGAAGCTCTGACTAGGCCAGGCTCTGTAGGGAAAGGGTACTGCTCAAAATGATTCTGTGTCACAGTCTGCACAGGCCTTTGTCGTGTCCTCACATTTTGCTTCGCCTTTCAGGTTCACTCAGTCACCTCCCTGCTCAGGTCAAAAAGCGCAGGTGATGCCAAAGCCTCAGCTTGCCTACAGGAATGTTTAATGTCGAGCAAGTTACAGAAGTCCGGAATGGTGGGCTGGAGGAAGAAATGTTGAAGGCAGCCGGCTCTGTTTTAATAACTCCCTGTAACCAAGGTGGGCCACCTTTTCGAGTAAGTCTTGGGAAAGAGGAAATGAGGTCACCTTGGAAAACATGGTGGCTGAGAGGATATGGCACACAGCCTGGTAAAAGAAGTCACCTCCATGGTATCAGAAGCCACATGAAAGTCTCTGAGAGTGATGTTATCTCAAAGTAGTGAGAAGAGGCACCCAGAGGAAGGTTTCTCCATTCCCTGAATTCAGGGAGCTACACGCTGTGTACAAAGATGTTAATACCATTTTCTTCAATGGTATTTTTTCCAATAACTCTTTCGTTATTGGATCAGAACAGTAATAGCTAATTGATCACACAAAAGGTTTGACAAACTGGGTGAAGTGTAGGTTGCATTTTCAATTGCACCCCACAGTATGATCACATGCTTTTGACAAAATGAAGTTATTCCAAATTTAGGCCTAAAGCATAGGTGGTCTTACATGCATGAGCACGGATGGATTCTCAAAATTGCACATTCCCAATGTACCCCCTCTCCCTCTCTCCTTGTACAGTACATGACAATTCTCTTCCTCCTTTCTTGGTTTGGGCACAAAATGCTAAGGTAAACTATGGTTTGGTCTTACACCTAGGTTCTCCATATCTTTCTTGTTTGGCTCTGAAACTCAGCTTCCTTATATATAGGAATGATACTTGATAATTACCTACAGAGATTAGCATTGCTCATCATGTTCAAAGTATTGGTATGAGTCCTGTAAGTATTTAAACAGCAGTCACAGGTGTAAACCTGGCTTTGCAATTTTCAAAACAGACATACAGTTCAGAAAGTCAACTCCTGGATCATCCTATGTTTCCCTCCATATCTTCAGGTAGCCTGTCCAAACAAAATTTAAAGCAGCAATTGTGGGGCCGTTTGTTGCTCACAGCAGTAGCTGGCAGGATGCTTTAAACAGTGGGAGTGCACCCTCTTCATCATCCTTATGCTTTGCTCCCCACAAAGGAGGATTTTGTGCAGCACTACAGAAATAGTGAATGAGATGAGAGTTCGGATTTCTTATTCTGGATTTGGAAATGCAACATGAAGAACAAGAGAAAAAACACCCATTCAGCTCCCATGCTGAGGTTTCCACCGGCAGGCATATTGCAAGACATCTGGGGTTGCTCCAGAACCTGAGATGCTTGATGGGGATGAAATGAGCTGAGTAGCTTGGTATTGTACTCTTGTCTAAACTGTAAGCTTTCTAGGGGAGATTGACCTTGATGCAACAGTACAAATTGTGAACAGCATCGAAGGCAACTTCAAGAAGTGACTGACAGAAGTTTACCTTTGAGTTTCCTTCTGTGAGCTTCCCAACTTCTCCTTCAACTCTGGGCTTAGATTTTTTGTTTGTTTGTAATGACTACAAAGTTCTTTTAATCAGATTTCCTTGTCCCTCCTGGAGCATTTAATTAAGTCTTTACAACCCCCTGCTCCATACTCCTAATGATGTTTTTCGGTCCGGAAATAATGTCTCTCATCAAGGGGGAGAAAAGTCGCTACTCTGTTGGGGCCTTTTCCATTTTTGCAGCTGATTACAAGCAAAAAAAGGAGGACACAGAAGGCACACCTAATTAGAAATAGATTGGGTGAAGGAGCCAGAAAGGCAATTGCAGGCTTTGAGGAAAGGCTATGCAAATGAGGGAGTAGAAGGGTGAGCTGTGAAGGCCGGACAAAGAAGTTTTATTTACATGCTGCAACAGGGTCTTTTCAAGCTTGTAGACTGGTACCCTGTGGCATCTCTTATGTGGCTTTTCTCCACCTCTCCATAGGTTGTAGCTCTCTCACACTTTTATCTGCCTCATTGATATCACACACACACACAAAATGCAGATTAATAACATGGAAAAAACATTATACAAATTAAGTAAAAGTGCACAAGTTTAATCTTGGCTATAGTAAGAAATCTGCTTTATATTGACCACTTCTGGTGAGATAGCTCCAAGGCATTTTCTTAGAATAAGCTTCCTTATATAATCAGTTTGTTGATCAATTCTTTGTTGATCAATATTTCGTTTGGATTTTTGAGCAGAGTTAGTTTTAAAATCAAACTACAACCGGATGTGAACTAATCAATAGTGGTAATAAAAATATAGCTGTCAACTAAAATAGAGATTGCCTATAACAGGCATAAATTTACAACACTATCAATAGAACATGGAGAATTGCCAAAATGGCAAAGAAAACAGAATACCTGTATATAATGATAGGCAGCTTTGATAAATCTTGACTTCATGTACTGACATCATGAAAATGAGTTCAATTTGTTAACATATATAAGCGTTTTCCGTTGTCTACTTCATTATCTTGTATTTGTAATGTTGTATAATCAGTGTCTTTTTCTTCTTTTGTACTCCTGCATTTGAAAGAATGACTAAAAAGAGACGTGAAAAAAGGAGCAAAACATCTGATATTGCTCCAGAATTTTACATCGATTAAAAATTCATATGGATCAAAGGGGTGCTGTTTGAATCATAACTTATTTAATCTGTATCTGTCTTTGTGGATTAATTTATTAATCTGGTTGTGGGACTGACTTGCTTGGTCAACAGAATAGCAGAATAGCAGGAAAAGCCAGTCATGTGTGCTGGGTCTCCTCCACATGCAGCACTCCTTTAGAAGATAAATATCCCAAGACTTGGAAAAAGGCAGTTCTCTGCTCAGAGATTTCCATGGAAGTTGATCCTCTGGGAATTCTGCCCTGCGTTATTTTGTCCAGCTGTAGCCAGAGGCTGAGCTAATATTGGGTGGATTTGTAGATGAGAAGTATGTGATTAAGGGTTTCTGGCCCACCCTGAGCACTTACTGTCTGGGCTAAGATTTGTGGTCATCCCAGAAGGCCTTTCATGGGTGGGAATGGGAAACAGTTCCATAATGTTATATTTCCACCACTCCCGTCAGCCAAAACCACAGGCAGTTTCATGAGAAAAACGAAATTGATTCGGATGGGCCTGTAGGCCTCAGATGAGAAGCTCTCGCCATTACTCCATGTTCTCCTCAAGGGCCCTCTTTTGACACCCATTGGGCCTGTGTGGAATTCAGAAAACTTCAGTGAACTACTCCTAAACAAATAGGCCATAGCTACTAAGCATTCTACCACCACCTCAGAGGTCATTCTGGGATCAAATCAGAAACTGGGATGGCTTCTCTAAATCAGAGACGTGCCTGGAAAATAGGGACACTTGGAAGGTCTGCCAAAACGCACTATATCAAAGGACATTGCTCTACAATAGTGTGTGTGTGTGTGTGTGTGTGTGTGTGTATTAGACAAAATGGAATCCATTAGATGTGCATATTGGAAGAACTTTGCACTAAAAGGCTGCTGAATTTTCAAGAGGACTTGTTTAATTAAAAAAAATGCAAACTGATGTGGAGAATTTTAAACTTAAGATTGGAAAAATGAGAAACTGAAATGGAGATATTTGCTTCTCTCAATCTGCACTGCTTTCCTGGTGCTGGAGCACTCCGGGTGAGTAATGTGTATTAGATTGCCCTTCATCACTAATTAGAATTATTCCATAATATATTTAGATCAGGACATGTACACAGTCTCCAAGATCAGCATCTCTAGTCATCAATGCAGGAAATTCCTTCACAGTTCAACTTCATTCTCGAACCCTAGCATGTTAATAAATCATCATCATCTACATATATCACCCTTCACCTGAGGATCACAGAGACCACCACTACACACAATGTTGTGTATCAAAAGACTATTCCAAATACATTGTCAGTGGAACTGTATGCCTATTTACCAACAAATAAGTCCTAATGAGTTACTCCCTTGTAAGTGTATATAGGATTGCAGCCTGTGGTTTCCTTAGAGACAGTGCTGCTTACTTTAATTAGCATATGCTTCTCCACAGCTTTCAGACTAAAATGTAAATATTCAACCATTATTTAACAACTTGGAAAGTAAATAGGTAGAGAATCAGCATCCTGGGCTGTACATTGCAAAAGCAGAAGCCAGCACAATGATTCCCACTAGTGGAATGGGGCTTTCCTCCTCTCTCCTCCCCCTACATCGCCTCACGCTCTCCCCAATTCTGCTCTGGAGGGTTGGGAGAACCCACAGAATAGTGCACGGGGAAAGGGAGAAGAGGAGATTGTTCCATTGGGAAAGCAGAAATGCTTGCACCAACGGAACAATCTCATTAGTCCTGTGTTGAGTACAGCCCATTCAGAATGGCTGACTTTTTTAAAATCCCCACTGAGAAGAACAGCCTTTCTTTTTCAAAAGGATAATTTTTGAAGGTGGGCTTTTGCCTTGACCAATTGGGCTAGTCATGGCACCAGCAGATTTGGCAGCCTGTTTAAATTATCTTGACTAGCCAGCCTTTCTAATGATTATTTTGTATTCTTTTAATGGTACTCTAGGTTTTATTGTAGTTGCCCGTTGTCATACACCACCTTGATAGTTTATATGAGGATGGGGACTGTCAACAAACAAACAAATTGTGCTGCTCTGAATGTTTTGCTGTTGTGCTCACTTAGCTGTCCCAGCTGACCATATTCAAAAGACAGAGGCTCTATCCTTTGCACTTGACTCTCAATAAAAGTTGCCACAAAGCTTCAAAAGCTTATCTTTGTTTTTTGCAACTCCATGACACCCTGGGCCAACGAAAGGCAGCCACTGACTGGAGGCCTTGTGTGTTGTTGGCTCTGATGTATGAACAATCTCCTGAAGAGAAAATAAAGGCAAAAGGAGAGAAAAAAGGAATGTTTGCAGGCCTAGAATTTAGTGTAAAGTTCTGATATATAAACCCATCTGGCCCCATGAATCCAAAGGTGGGGGGTGGGGTGGGATTTTGAGAGATAATTAATAGTGTGCACAAGATTTCCATTTGGGAAAGAGGCAGAGCTGCGAAAGAGATTAAATTCACCCCTGGTGGAAAGCCCGCTGAAATGACACCAGGACCGTGATTGGCCCCAAACATTTTAACTATCCCATTTAATGCTATTCATGCTCTAGTGGAGATGAAAATGTTTATACTAAATGAGAAACTCTAAATGCTTTGCAAATATAATAGAGTGTGAGGTTTATATGTGTTCTCATTTATGGGGATGGCTGGAGAGACACAGCCCTGGGCCTCGGCAGCCGCTAACTGTTTTCCTCAGTTCCCGTAAAAAGTAAAGTGGCTTTGGAATACAAGTGGTCAGTACTTATACGGAACCCAAAGCCTCTGAGGGAGAGGCTGCTGCTGAAGTCTGGCAAGACTAGAAAAACTGGAAAGGAAATGACTTCTGAGGAGGGTGGAGGGGAGAGCACAGAAACCTGGCAGGGGCTTATCAGGGAATATCTTAGGCCAGGAGCAAAACAAGACAGAATGCCGATGAAGGTTAAGGGCCAGAGAGAGAACTGGGACCCAGAGCCAAAGGGCAGGAATGAAGTGGCAGGCCGGCTGAGATGATCATATTCCACTAAGTAATACAGTGGTACCTCGGGTTAAGAATTCGTTCTGGAGGTCCGTTCTTAACCTGAAACTGTTCTTAACCTGAGGTACCACTTTAGCTAATGGGGCCTCTTGCTGCCGCCGCGCAATTTCTGTTCTCATCCTGAGGTAAAGTTCTTAACCCAAGGTACTATTTCTGGGTTAGCGGAGTCTGTAACCTGAAGCGACTGTAACCTGAAGCGTATGTAACCCGAGGTACCACTGTACAGAGATCTTCCCAGTAGAAGAGGGACTAGATAATGGGGCAAGAAGATTCTGGTAGAATCCAAGGAATGGATCCAGGTTCGGGGCCACCGTCAGCTCTAGGCTTTGGAGGGTCCATGGACAAGACACCATACCCTCCAATATTTCTCTGATGAAAATTGGGATGTCCTATTCAATAATAATAATAATAATAATAATAATAATAATACCTCACCCATCTGACTGGTTTGCCACTCTGGGAAACTTCCAGCATATTTAAAAACATAATAAGACGTTAAACATTTTAAAAAAACCTTCCCTATTTAGGGCTGCCTTCAGATGTCTTAGGAGTCAGATAACTCCATACCCTCCAACAATTCTCCGATGAAAACAGGGACATCCTAAGGGAAAGCGGGACATTCTGGGATCAAATCAGAAACCGGGATGGCTTCTGTAAATCTGGGACGTCCCTGGAAAATAGGGACACTTGGAGGGTCTGAGACACTCCTTGCCACTTGTGTCAGTGTGTTGGCCTCCGAACTGCCATTACCGTTGGCTCCTTCTCCTCCTTGCTACTGCCTGCTTGGTTGCTAAAAAGAGAGCCAGCGAGGTAGCAGGGAGCTCTTCCTCATGGCCACTTTGGTCTGGGCTAGGGTGAGAGGCAGGTAAACGAGCTGAAGGAAACAGAACCTGGTCCAGAGGACTAAGTTCCTGTTGAGGTAGTGGACCTTCAGAAGATACTTGACTCTGCCGATCTTTGACCCTGGCCTTGATTGCTGGATATAAGTTACCCGAAACAAGGACCTTCCTAGGCTGCAAAAGCACTTGCTTTTCTAAAGGTGCTGAGCAGCTTTACTGCAGGTGCCCCTGAGCATAAGAACACAGTTAATACTCTTTTGCAAATCCTGCTCATTTCAAAGAGGTAGGTTTGCATGGGAGAACCTCCTTTGGTGCTGTCGTTGTTATTAAAGTCTCTCTGAAAGTGACATTTCAAAAGTAAGTACCAAAATACTTCCGCAACTCAAAACTTAAGAATTTGAATTTTGAAAACTGCATGTAATTTCATCTCAGCTCTGTGTGGTGCCTCCTCGTTTTCAGTGAAATAAAAGAGGAAGGGTGAGTATATCCATACACTACTATCTCTCTTCAAGCCATGCCTGATTTGTCTTCATTAATTTTGAGACACCAACAGGAACAGCCCACGGTCTTTAAGATTAATAAAAAAATGTGGGATCACTGCCCTGGAGTGCAAGCGCTGTGTGTGACTTGGCTCACAAGTTGTCTAGGCTAAGACACAGCATGGGTGTCCTGTCTGGCTAGTGCTCCTAGCTGTCATCCAGAGGTTATTTCATTCACTAAACAATCTGTCTCCAAGGCCTTCCAACTCACCACCCAAATGCAGTTCCAGGAACATCTTCAAGCTTGGTTGTTATGAAAGGTTATCACACCCATCACAACAAATCTCTCCAAGTTATGTGACGGTTGCCAGTTCTAGGTACAGGGAAGGAGCTTCTCGCTTCCTACAAATGAAATTGGTGATTGCAGCAATAAGAACTCGCTTGAATCCCTTCTCCCTGCCACATGTATGGACTACAGATGGGACTACAACTCCCATCATCTGTGACCACTGTCCTTGGGACTGAGGGGAACTGGAGTCCAACAATGTTTGGAAGGCCATAGGTTCTTCACCTCTTAGTTAGCTCATCCCCCTGCCTTCAAATGCAATTTCCACTTCTGGACAGAGTCATCGTTCCTTTAAAAGCTGAATGGCAAGCATGAGCCTTGATGTCCATCTTTGCTATTGTTAATACAAGGAGAGACTGGAGCTCAGTAGCAGAGCACATGCACTGCATGCAGAATGTCAGTCCTGTGCACCTTCAGTTAAAAGGCTGTCTGAGAACAAATGCTGTGAAATGCCTCTGTCCGAGACCTTTTGGAGAGATGCGGTTCCTCAGAGTAGACTATACTGGACTGGAAAGACAACTAAGCTGCCAGTATACAGCCTAAGTCCCGTTTCTGCCAGCGCTTCAGCACTCCAAATGAAGGGTAAAATATATATTGACAGGGGGAATAAATATAATTTCCAGGTTCCCTAGCTTGGTTGTTGGGCTGTCTCCTTTTTGATTGTTTGGATTACTGGAAACAAGTTGCTGACACATGTTTTACCAGACACATTTGTGATGCATCATGGCCTACTTGCGGCTGTGTCATAAACTTTTCACTTACCCAAAATCATATCCCTTGCATGAATAATTACATAAACCATAGCTGTACACATAGACTAACCCTGACTAGTTGGCAAGAGGAGGTCTCTGAAACAACCTGGAATGTAAGTAGGAGTCCTTATCTCAGGATTAACAACCTCTAAATCTTGATGCTTGATGCTTGATCTTGGAGACAGATAAGAGACGTGGGTGGCGCTGTGGGTTAAACCACAGAGCCTAGGACTTGCTGATCAGAAGGTCGACGGTTCAAATCCTCGCGATGGGGTGAGCTCCCATTGTTCAGTCCCTGCTTCTGCCCACCTAGCAGTTTGAAAGCACGTCAAAGTGCAAGTAGATAAATAAGTACCGCTCCGGCGGAAAGGTAAACAGCGTTCCGTGCGCTGCTCTCGTTTGCCAGAAGCGGCTTAGTTATGCTGGCCACATGACCCAGAAGCTGTATGCCGGCTCCCTCGGCCAATAAAGCGAGATGAGCGCCACAACCCCAGAGTCGGTCACGACTGGATCTAATGGTCAGGGGTCCCCTTACCTTACCTTAAATCTTGATGCTGTCAGCAAACCATAACAGCAAGCTTTCCACTCTCACAAGATTATTGCTCCATTAAAATGACGACACTTGACGGAAGCCTGTTCAGGTTTGCAGCAAATATACTTGTGAAAACATGTTTTCTACGTGCACAATATAGCAAAGGGTGAGACTACCTCTCTTTCAGGCCTCTTCCACATGGACCATTTCTCTTGACATTGCCCTCTTTTGCTTTCCTACCAAGGTTGCTTCCGTGCAACCTGTTTATTGAGACTTTACCCTGATTGATTTGCAGGAAGATTAGACAATGCTGGAGCATTAATCCTAATTTGCTTGTGGGGACATTAGATGACATTGCATCAAAGCAGGTGCCATCCCACTTTCCATTTTTCTGTCTTGCAAAAGTCAGTGGTTTTCCCGTCTTGCAAAAGTCTGATCTAAGGAGGGAGCTAGTTTGTTGTGCAAGATCTCCCAATCAGCTAAAATTGTGCAATGTGAGTTTGCCAATAGGTGATGGAATCTCATCCAAAAATAGTGACAATCTGGAAGTGGCCTTCATTTTTATAGATAAATCCAATCGTTACAGTTAATCCATTGCATTCTGGTATTTTCTGCGCTGCCATTCCATCTGGCTATCTGAAGTAGAGCTGAGTAACTACAGTCATACCTCAGGTTACAGATACTTCAGGTTGCGCATTTTCAGGTTTCGCACTGTGCCGAACCTGGAAATTAGAGCTTAATAATTATTTCACTATTAATATACTTCTTAATTGTATTTCAGTTCAACAATTACTTTGATAAAATACATATTTTGTTATGTACAAATGGCTTTAGATACCTATTAGGTCCATAAATTACCATATAGCATATATTCAACACAAAAAAAACAGCGAAAATTTGTTGTTGACAAAAGACAGCAGGACATACAAAGGGCCCCATTACCTTCAGTAGCTTAGGGCCTCATCAAACCTAAATCCGGCCCTGAATATAAGGGAATTAGTGTTACAGGTAGGGCGGCAAGTTCTGGCAATCCTAGTTACAGGGGACTTTTGCTGAATAAGACATACTTTTGTGAGTAACGTAATAGAATGATCTTTGCCATGGCAAAGGCCATTCATTGCTGGAAACTCTATTACTTTTGTCTACATTATTATTCCCAACTGGAAATTCAGGGAAGTTCCCTTGCAGCTCTCCATCCTCCACAAACTGTAGCAAATACAGTGCTTTCAAATGCAATTCCCCACTGTTTAATGAGACCTTACCTTTTGTTCATTAGAGGATTATTCACATCCATTCTCTCCCCCCCTATCCATTGTGTAAGACTTCCTCTCAATGACTGTGTCAACTGAGCTCTGTGAGCTATCACTGTCATCATCACCACTGTAATCAGTAAAATCATTATCATCATCATCTGAATTGCCCTCAGTGGGAAATGTGTGAACAATTACTCTCTCCTGTTCAGGAGCACTCTCTAGAAATTTTGTGAGAATCACCTGACCAGATTCAGACAAAATTACTCTGTAGAGACCCTTTTCATATCCCACAAAAATGCCTCTGGCATTCTTTACTCCACCTGGAGCTTCTGTTCTCACATGAGACCCAAAAACCTTAAAATAGGCAACAGAAGGTTTTCTATGGAACAGCTTCTCAAAAGGAGAACTTCCCAACTCTTTTGAGACCTTTCTCAAACAGTGCCTGGGTCAGAGGAATGTGCCACAGCGTAGGCACCGGCAGATATTCCTGTCGACCTCCCCGCGTCTCCACTCTGCTGATAAGCAGGCGAGGTCCAGCGATTCTTCTCAGATGTATGAGAGGAACACACCGTTCTTCCTCTCTCCCCTTTGGTGTCCCCAGGGAGGGAAAGAAGCAGACAGAAAACTATTTACATCATTTATTTCTGCCTCTTACATCAGTACAGAGAATCATGTCTGCACTCAACAACAGCAAGACGAAACTCCTCCCAAGTACATCCAGTACGGGTCATATGACACACACACACTGAGCTAACATCCGGTGCTCAGTACAGAATGGACTGCCCCTTTGTTCCCATGGCAACAGTCACAAACATCCTGTCTGGCTTTCCAGCCACAAGCAGCTGGCTGAGCTGCTAGAGCCTTTGCTTGCTGCAGCATTGGTGCTTTATGGTAACATACTCCCCTAAAGTATCAATGTGTGCCGCGAGCAAAGCGTCATCCAGAGAAGAAAACAAACAGTTGTTATATTTATAACATTCCCCTGTTGTTTCAGTTCCACCCTTGGAACTACCCGCCACTGGTTTAACCAATGTACCTCTCTGGTTGTCTGGCTTCCAAGGAATGAGTGCTTCTGCATTACCTTGGCTAACACCTCTCTGTTGTGCCTTTGTCTCTGACTCAGACACAGCTTCAAGCTGTCCTTGGTCGTTTACAATAGCAACATATGCAAGGTTAGCAAACTCCTTTGAATACCTCTTGGGTGGTACACCCTTCGTTGCTCTCTCAGACCTACGTATGAGGTTCTGATCCTCTGTGCTCACTGGTTCAACCTTTGGACTCTGTTGAGTACCAGTAGCAATCAGTGGTTCATCCTCCTCTTCTGAGGGTCTAGTCATTATGTGAGATTTCCTCTCAATGACTGTGACAACTGAGCTGTCTGAGCTATCGCTGTCATCATCAGTACTACTGAACTCAATAAGATCAAACTCATCATCATCATCATCAGAATCGTTTCCTGTGGGAAATGTCTGTACTATCCGCTCTTGCTTTGGAGCACTCTCTAGGAACTTTGTGAGAATCACCTGACCAGATTCAGACAAAATTACTCTGTAGAGACCTTTTTCATAACCCACAAAAATGCCTCTGGCATTCTTTACACCACCTGGAGCTTCTGTTCTCACATGAGACCCGAAAACCTTAAAATAGGCAACAGAAGGTTTTCTATTGAACAGCTTCTCAAAAGGAGAACATCCCAAGTCTTTTGAGATCTTTCTCAGCCACACATGAAGATAGGACGCTAGCGATTCGGCCCAATATTCATGTGGCAAATGTGAACTCAGCAATTGCGCATTCATTCCCTTTTGCAATTCTTTGTTCACTTTTACACAGACCCCCCTGTTCCACGCTTCTTGCGAAACTGCAACTTTGTGGTCTATCCCTTTTCCATCCAGGAACTTCTGAAACTTCTGTAACAGAAAAATTTGCTTCTCATCTGTGAAAAGACAATCAATGTTAGCATCATGCATATTTTTAACCTTGTCACAAAACTCCTGAAACTTTTCTAAAGTTTCTTGCGGTTTCTCCATCATATAAACCCAAGAATAATTAGTGAAAGAATCCACACACAAAAGGTAATATTTTGCACCGCCTCTAGATGGTTCTAGAGGACCAATCACATCAGCATACACCCGCTGAAATGCTCTGTCGACCTTCTTGGTCTTAGTCACCTTCCTGGTGCTCACACTGGTCATACCTGCAAGAGAGATTTCGTTAGAAACAGCAGAATTACATTTCATGTAATCACTTTGATCAAAAGTCAACAAATACAGTCCATCTTTCTCTTTGGCAGTAAGAAACAGTTCTCCATCTTTGTAGATCTTGCAGCTTTTAGCATCATAGGACAGTTTCAGTCCTTTCTTTGCAATCTGCGACACGCTCAGCAGATTAAATCTCAGTTCTGGAACCAGGTAAACATCACTTATAGTCAAGTTCAGACTCTCAAGATACACAGTCCCAATTCCAGTCGCTTCCAACTCCTGACCGTTGGCCTGTTTCACAGTGAAGCTTTGCTTCTTCAACGTCGAAAATAGTCCTCTGTGCGGGCACATGTGAACCGTGGCGCCCGTGTCGATTATGAACGAGTTCCCAACATCTGGCGTGGTTCCTTTCGCCATCATAGCCTTTGCAGGTTTCACCTGGCACTTGGTACGGCTTTGCCTGACGCCTGAGGCTTCGTAGAGCTGCTCTTTGCTCCTCTTGACTGGCGCGGCTTCTTACAGTTTCGCTGTAGATGCCCAGTCTGTCCACAATTGTAGCATCGGACAGCACTCAATGCTACACCATGCTCTCCAGTAGCATCAGCAGTGGGGAATTAGAACTCTGTTCTTCCCTCCCCCTGTCTTTTTCTTCCAGTGCAGCAAGTCTGTCGTGTTCATTCAGGACCACAGCACAAACTCTCTCCGCGGTCAGCTGCGCGGCCGGTAGGGAACCAAGCTGACTGGCAACAACCTTGTAGGTGCGGCTAAGGCTGTTTATCATCATGAAGCAAAACACTTCCTCCTGAAGACGGAAATTGCGTTCCACCATCTGTTGACGCAGAAACTTCATTTCTGTCAGGTGCGCTTGAACATCTCCATCAGGCGCAAGTCTCAGATTGGTCAATTTCTCAAAATACAGCAACGCTGAAGAACCAGCATCTCTCTGATGCGTTGTACGCAGCGTGTCCCATACCTCTTTCGCATTTTCTAAATGCTGAACATGCACCAACTGATCATCTGAGACACACAGAATTATAGCAGTCCTGGCCCTTACATTCTGTGACTCCCAACCTCTGGTTGGTGCTGCAGGGATGGGGTCTTCAATTACATCAAAAGCCTCTGATTCTGCAGCAGGGCCTTCATCTTTACAGACCAAGATGAATAATTGTCATTGGTCAAGGGAGGTGGGCAAGGCAAACCTCCCCCTTTCTTGGCATCCATCTTGAAGCCAAGCCTCTCTCACCTCCAAACAAGCTGCAAAATCCAACAGCAGTTTTTTTCCTTTCTCACGCAGCAAACTGCAAATTGTTTACGCTCTTTGCACCTGGCAGCTAAACACAGGCTGCTATTGAAAAGTCCCTTCCAAGAGCTCGTAAACCTTGTAGCCGAAACATTCTTTGATTTTGTTTCGCTTTCCCAGGCTCACACTCAGAGTCCAGCCCCTTTGCCAGTAACTTTCCAGGACCGTTACCTAGCAACAATGCATTTCAATAGGACTTCTTATCTACCACAAAAATTTGTGGAATGCAGGCTTCAGCCTTCAAGCTGCAGGCCTCTTCCTCCGGAGCTCTTGTTTTCTTTGAAACGCAGCTCCGTGAACCAGGAATTAATCTTCCTGCGTTCACACTTTTAGCCCGAAATGCAGCATACCTTGAACTTTGTTGCTCTGGAAAACACCTCTTCTTTCCATCAGCTGTCTGTGGAGCCTCTGGCTTCTTTCAGACGCTTCTATTCCTCCTTGGAGCAGTGGAGGACAATCCACCAGCCTCTCATGCAGATGTTCGATGAATCGAAACCATCCTCTGCTACCACTGTTGGAATTCTGCCTGGGTCAGAGGAATGTGCCACAGCGTAGGCACCGGCAGATATTCCTGTCGACCTCCCTGCGTCTCCACTCTGCTGATAAGCAGGCGAGGTCCGGCGATTCTTCTCAGATGTATGAGAGGAACACACCGTTCTTCCTCTCTCCCCTTTGGTGTCCCCAGGGAGGGAAAGAAGCAGACAGAAAACTATTTACATCATTTATTTCTGCCTCTTACATCAGTACAGAGAATCATGTCTGCACTCAACAACAGCAAGACGAAACTCCTCCCAAGTACATCCAGTACGGGTCATATGACACACACACACTGAGCTAACATCCGGTGCTCAGTACAGAATGGACTGCCCCTTTGTTCCCATGGCAACAGTCACAAACATCCTGTCTGGCTTTCCAGCCACAAGCAGCTGGCTGAGCTGCTAGAGCCTTTGCTTGCTGCAGCATTGGTGCTTTATGGTAACACCCCCACCCCCTTTTTTAACGTTCCCAGACATTTCAAAGCAAACAGCTCTTAACTGAAACTGTCTTTAACTTGCTTCAAACTTTCAACCACTGATTCCTTCTGATGTTTGTGTAACTCCATAATTAACTCAAGTCACTCCTAATTTGCTAAACCGGGCCAAAGAGAGCTGTATAAATGCAGATAGAGAAGTGGGCAGAAATGAGGATTCCTTAGATTCCAGTCTTCCCTGGTGACGAGGAGAAATGGGCCTGCCTTGGGTGAAATTTGAGAAATGGGCCTGCCTTGGGTGAAATTTGATTGACGTGAGTTGCATTAGTGAACCTGAAAGAGGAGAAGAACCCAAATCATCCCAAACTAAGTATACAGTGGTACCTCGGGTTAAGAACTTAATTCGTTCTGGAGCTCTGTTCTTAACCTGAAACTGTTCTTAACCTGAAACACCACTTTAGCTAATGGGGCCTCCCGCTGCCGCCACGCCACCACCGCACGATCTCTGTTCTCATCCTGAAGCAAAGTTCTTAACCTGAGGTACTATTTCTGGGTTAGCGGACTCTGTAACCTGAATTGTCTGTAATCTGAATCGTCTGTAACCCGAGGTACCACTGTACTTTGTGTGAGGTATGTGTGCATGTGTGGCGATTTAGAAAAATATGGGGAGAAGTGACGTTTTCTCTCTTTTTAAAAATGTCTTCCAAAAACTTACCTGCTTTCTCCTCATACTACATATGGAAAGCACTGCTTTGCGATGAAAAGAAGAGATTTGAAAAACCACTCAACATGCCTCCAGAGACGTCTGTTAGCAGAGCAACAGGCCATGGCCTTGCTGGCAGGCCACTCTCTGGGATCCATTTATCGCCCCGTCCAATATCCCCCCATCCATCAAGCTTCTCCTCCACCCTCCTTTCCCAGCTCCAGCATTTCCTCCTGCTGCCTCTTCCCCTCCACCTGCTGTGCTGGGCTTTGGAACTCTCCTGCTTTCCATTAATAGTCTTGCTTTTCAGATAAACAATGATTGAGAACCATCTCAGAGTGGTAGCCTATAAATCAAACAACTGCCACTTTTGATTTGGGAAGAGGGGAAGTTGTTGCATGGTGGGGGGAGAGAGAATACTGGAAGGAATGATGCAAAAGGTTACTATGGAGAAGAGACTGATTTAGAGGTGAAGGGGGAATGTGAAAGGGGGGTGATTTATATCAGAAAATAAAGAGTGGATCCCCCCCAAAAAATGAATAAAAAAACATGGAAGAGCAAATTGAGCCATGTGGGTAGATCAACCATTCATTCCTAAAGTTATTAGCAATTCGTCTAGTGGCATCACAAGACTGCTGGGGGGATATCAGATGGCTCCCACTTCCCTCCTCTTTGCATGGATGCGGGTGGCGTTGTGGTCTAAACCACTGAGCCTCTTGGGCTTGCCGATCAGAAGGTTGCTGCTTCGAATCCCCATGATGGGGTGAGCTCCTGTTGCTCTGTCCCAGCTCCTGCCAACCTAGCAGTTCGAAAGCACACCAGTGCAAGTAGATAAATAGGTACTGTTGCAGCAGGAAGGTAAACAACGTTTCTGTGCGCTCTGGCTTCCATCACGGTCCACCGTGTACCAGTAGTGGTTTAGACATGCTGCCCACATGACCCGGAAAGCTGTCTGTGGACCAACACCAGCTCCCTCGGCCTGAAAGCAAGATGAGCACCGCAACCCCATAGGTGCCTTTGACTGGACCGAACCGTCCAGGGGTCTTTTACCCCTCTTTGCATTGTTACTGGCTCCTCCACTCCAACAACTTGTAGTGGAGATAATGGCGATTTGCAAGAGATGTGCTGTCTAGAATTAAAACAATCAATGTCTTTCAACAAATAAACAGGCAAAGACAATGCGGTAGCCATAGTATTCATTTGCTTAGCTGTAAGCTATAATAAAGAAAAAAGACATTCAGAGTTGAGCCAGAAATTTGGCTCTTAATTTCCCAACAGCCAATGCAAAGACACACACACGTTAACAGCACACACCTGATGTAACAAAACTTTCCCAGCAGCTAAAGTCAAGACAGATATTTCCCACAAGGATCTTTATAGGAAGGACTCTGGGTAACATCAATTTTAGCCACCTATAATTCTATTTTTTTAATAGGTTTTATTGGATTTCCTGGTTTTGTAACTGATTTGTAATGACTTTTTGTCAAATACAAAAAATAAATGATTGATTGATATAAGAGCATCTTGCTTTAAAGAGAATAGCATCTTGATGAACTTTCCAAGAGGAATTAGCTGTTGAAGTGGACCTTTAGAGGAGAAAACAATTTAGCTTGTTGAATAGAAATTTCTCAGTTAAATGTGGCAACTCTAACTCAGTTGGTAGAGCACGAGACTCTTAATCTCAGGGTTGTGAGTTTGAGCCCCACGTTCGGCACAAATATTCTTGCATTGCAGAGGGTTGGACTAGATGACCCTTGTGATCCCTTCCAACTCTACAATTCTGTTCTTGTGAACTACTTCAAAGTTTGGTAAAATTAATGCCAAGCTGTTCCTTCTCACAGACGTTATCAGCAGGTCTATCTCCTTTTTCAACCCACCCCTGGTCAGAGGTAATGTAACTGTATCAGCTGAACTTTCTGTTTCATAAAATTATTCAGTCCAGAGTCTAAAGTTACTCTGAGGGCTACCTACCAAAACTGTACTGCAACAGAGCTTTTGCCTTCCCCTGAAGAAGCAGCGTGTGCAAGAGCTAGCTGGGAGCTGTTCCTCAGCAAACACTTCTTTCCGGACACTTGTTGCTCTGTGCTTGTAGCAACCGGTGTCCAGAACTGTATACTGCAGTCTGATTCAGGGTGATGGAGAGGTGGTCCTGCTTCCATTCATGAAAGTCCAGAGCCATTTCCTTTCCTAGCAGATGCAGGTCTTTCCAGAAGTGCTTGGAATACCAAAGTCAGGATGACTTATCAGCCTTTCTCAACCTGTGGGTCCCCAGATGTTGTTGAACTACAACTCCCATCACCCGTAGCTAGCAAGGCCAGAGCTCAGGGATGATGGGAGTTGTAGTCCAACAACATCTGGGGACCCACAGGTTGAGAACATCCAGCCAGATGGATTCTTGAAGGTCGTGATGACTGGTCACCATAAACAAAGCCACTGTTTCTGGGTGAGAGGGAACAAGGCTGCAGCCACAGGATCCAGCTATAGCTTCAGAGGTGCGTCTGTTTCGTTAACTGGCTGTTTTAATTATGGGCAGCACTACTAGCTGTATATAGTTCTGCACCTTCGTAATAGCACCATGGTTCATTTTATACATCATTACTTCTGGAGCTCCAAAAGACAGCAATGATAAGTCTATGATAAGTCTATGCCAGATAGTTCTACAAATGATGGGTAGTTACTCTTTTTTAAAATTTGAAAGCTGGAATCTGGGGGTTGTGGTTCATTCTGCGGGACCAATTGCGCCCTTGGTGCCCGGAGGCCCTGAGTCTCAATGTAGGAGCAGCCAAGAGCCATTAGTTCTCATCTGAAAGCAGGTGGCTAGAAAAGTCGGGACTGAAAATCCTTCCTTCATCCCACTCACCAATGTACAGGTTCTATATCTGAACAAATAAGCAAATAATAATTCGTCTACTCATCCTCCAACTTATCTCTCTTTTTCCTTCAGAAGCGCTAAAAAGAAAACACAAGGAGCCCAAAGCCCAGAGCTGCCACGTTGTGAACCTGCCTTTCATGTTTCTTGACAATGTCAAGACATTCCCTTCATTTTTGTTTTCCCCGAACTGTCACGGGTTGTCGCATTCCTCCGCTCATGCCCTTGATCGAAAAACTTTACTGAGCCTGAAGAAAGAATATGCTGGTTGTTATTGTGTTTATTTATTGCTTTTGCTTCTTCTCCTGCTGGTTGTTATCGTGTTTATTTGTTGCTTTCCCTTTCCCTCTTGAGAGCATCAAGAATTACAATGTATGCTCATATAAACATAGCAATGTATGCCTCTGGCCCAATCCACTCCCGGCCTGCAGCCCATGAGGGAAGGCAGTTTGTGGGTTGACCACAGAGCAATCCCACGTGCAAAAGGAGTTTTATAAACCATTCTGAGGTGTTTAAAAAACCACAAAAAACCACAATCAAGCGGTGTATAGATTTTATGAAATAGATAAGATAATAAATAACTGCAAGCAGACCACACTTCTTTCCAAGTTGCCTTGTTTCGGGGAAGGGGGTTCGGCAACCTGTAGAAAATTTTATGCAGCTCTTGGACTGGTTGACAAGAGACAATGAACTTATGTCATTTGTAAGACTTGCTGAGTGTCTATGCATAGTTTTTATTTTTATTTTGAATACACATATAAAACCCCCCCTGTATTTTCTTTTGCACGGTGTACATGCACCCAAACAGTTCCCAGAATTCCAGTGGGTTAGAGAGAGAGATGTGTTTTAAATATATGGTGTGGTTGTGACCTATGGCAGGGTAACAATGCCACAGGGTGAATGCTTTCATTTTAAAGATTTTAAGAATCTTTGGAGGGTTACTAAAGTCCCGTTGTTCACAGATTTTACACAGCCCTATAGTTATGCCCCACTGTAGGGAGAGGAAGGATGGGAAGTGCACTCTTACGAGTGGGTTGCTGGCAGCCGTCAGCTTGTGTTTACAGGCGCCTCAGCCAAGTGCTTTCTCCTGGTGACCCTTTTATCCTGACTAAGCCTGGTTTCCTGTATACATGCTGCACATTTATCCTCTCCCTCTCTCTTTCTTAGCCCCCCTCCTTTTCTCACTCATCTTCTTGCAGGGCATACTGCTTCCTTCTCATTTTTTCAACTCTACCTGTCAATCAGGCTCAGCAGCACTTTTGATTATTGAACTGTAAGGTGTCGGACTGAAAGCTCACCCTGGCTTCCCTCGCTTATACCACACAGAGGGCCAAGCAAGGCATTCTGGGTAAACATGTCATGGTGGCCTGACATTCCTGTTTTAAAAGGAAAAAGCTCCTTCAGGAGAACATAGGAAGGCAGCAATCGATTTGTAGTTAAGCGTAGCAGTAGGGCCCCCACGGAGTTGATGGTTTCCCCCTTTCCCCAAGTTCTTAGGATGCACCATTAAATTAGAGAATACCTTTGAAACATGGCTATAAGCAATGCCACTGCCACTGTTGAATTCTGGTATTTAATTTGTTGCATTGTTCCCGTTCTTCATTTCTCCTGCTCCCATATTAAACAGTAGCGGCCATGACAATGCATTTAATCAGGGCAGGTTTCCACAGCACAGCCAGTGGCACACAAAGGTTTTCATCAGAAAGGAACAGGTCAGTATCACACGGAACTTCATTCCTGCCAACAAGGTCAGATAGGATGCAAGTCTTTTATATGGCTCGCCACGAGATGCTGGTGACGCTACTGGGAGGAGTAGGATTTTGCAAGTGTGCAGAGAATTGCTTTGCTGAAGAGCATTGCTTTGCTTACTTAAAGGTAAAGGGACCCCTGACCATTAGGTCCAGTCGTGACCGACTCTGGGGTTGCGGCACTCATCTCGTGTTATTGGCCGAGGGAGCCGGCGTACAGCTTCTGAGTCATGTGGCCAGCATGACTAAGCTGCTTCTGGCGAACCAGAGCAGTGCACGGAAACACCGTTTACCTTCCCGCCAGATCTACTTGCACTTTGACGTGCTTTTGAACTGCTAGGTTGGCAGGAGCAGGGACCGAGCAACGGGAGCTCACCCCATCACAGGGATTTGAACTGCCGACCTTCTGATCGGCAAATCCTAGGCTCTGTGGTTTAACCCACAGTGCCACCCGCGTCCCTCTGCTTTGCTACTTAATTCCCCCTAAAATATCCCCAACAGGATCTGGGAAGTCTCCATTGTGACTGACCACTCTTCTTATGTGTAGGGAGCTATTAAAGTGATCTCATGCAGCAATACAAAATCTCCAGTGCCACCAGTGTCCTGAGGGCACCCTGTCTTCATCTCCCCCCCCTTTCATTTATTTATTTTAGAAAATTTCCTAATAGCTTAATATTCAAAATAATCTCAAAGTGATATATAAAGTAGAGATCAAATGCAATGCAAAAGAACTCAAAATTATATACAAAATAGAACTCAAATACAAATGAAAAAATCCTGTTGGAGTAACAGCCATATGCCTCAAGAAAAAATCCCAGCCCATCAGTTTCATATGATCCAGGTCCTGTAATTTCAGTGCTTTCCCTGGACACTACCGTATTAATTTTCTTACATTTATATCCCTCCTTTTCTTCCCCATCATGAGACTCAAGGTAGCATACGAGGTCTTCAAACCAAGTCAGTCTAGAACTGCTTAGCTTCTCCAAGGTGGTGGCCTCTTGCAGGCCGGCCTACTTAAACTGAATCTGGAGAAGACTGAAGCAATGATTACCTTTACACCATGGAACTTGTTAGGACTCCATCATTGATGTGGTTTGGTCACCTCTAGACACTCAGCCATCTGAGTCTGAGTGTACTCATGAATCCACAGCCAAATCTCAACACCCAGCTTGTGTCTATGTGCATAAAAAATAGACTGCATCCTTTTCTTTCCACGTCATACACAAGCAAATATCATTGGTCCCTCTGTAACTTTAGGGCTAGTCTACTGCAGGGCTCTCCGTGGGGATGTCCTTGATGAGGTTGCGGCCTACCTTCTGAAAGGCATGCTGGGAATGCATGACACCAGCCTCTGGCACCATCTTCTTATGGTTCATGGTCTCTCCAGGCTTCAATGTCATTCACTAGGACAGCATGTTTCTATAGAAGATTGCTAGCAATAAAATGTTTGCTTTTCCTCAGAACCCAGCTATGGATCCCTTGGCATTGTGGCTGTACATGATGGCCCCAATATATCCACTGCTGGAAGATCAGCTGTCCATCTGTAAAGAACTGTCCGCATGACCGAGAGCTGAGCCTTGTCCACCATTGGACAGGCGGGCTTGGAATCAATGCGCTTGCAAAGGGTTCAGTAGGACTCTTCCCATTTTCTTGTTTCTAATGATAGGGAAACAGAGGACAAAGATGTGGGTTCTCCAAAGCTGAGCACCCAGCCAGAAGCCGGTTTTCTTATTCAAATCCTCGAGAGCATTTCTTGGAACAAACAGCATGAATGAGCAGTGCTGTTATTCCCCCAAAATGGCTATGCTGAGTGATAATTGTCAGGGCATTATTGAATGGGGAGGGGAGAGAGAAAGAGAGGGAGAGGAGAGGAAGGAGGATGCCACTTGTGAGTTATTCCCCTCTCTCCTTCACAAATAAACACAGATGCCAGAAAAGATCAGCCATCTCTGCACAATGCACGTCTTTCCCTCCCTCCCACTCGTCTTATGCAGGGAGACTTGTTTTAGATGACAGCTGTGGGAAAATAAAGGAGAAATGCTTGAATATATGGAAGGCCAGGAGCAGCTGAAGATATTTAGACCCTCTAAAGCTACACACAGCACTTTCTATTGCCGGATTTGTTTTTGTTTAAAAAGGAGAGACATGGGGAAGTCTGACATTGCTTGCCTAGGGTGCTTGAAGTTAGGTTGTTTTTTTGCAAAGCAAGCTAGAGGTCTTTTGCTAAACTCACACCTCCTGGATTCCATGAATGTCACTGGGAAGCCTGTCCATAGCCCTTTAGGTTAGTCAAAGTGGTTGTCTGAAAACCAGTGCTGGTCCGTGAGCCATTGGCTGCTGGTTCACGGTGATGCCACCAAACCCCAAGTTGAGTGGGATGCTTGAGGGACTAAATATGCAACTCGTCCCTGGCATGTTTGGAAAATTACCTGTCTACCACACCACATCAGATAGTTTGAGAAGCACTGCCTTAGGTTTCTTGTGATGGAGCTACTAAGTACTCCAGTTTATCAAGCAGCTTAATCCTCTCTCCCCAGGGAACCCTGGGAACTGTACAGTGGTACCTCGGGTTACATACGCTTCAGGTTACAGACTCCGCTAACCCAGAAATAGTGCTTCAGGTTAAGAACTTTGCTTCAGGATGAGAACAGAAATTGTGCTCCGGCAGCGCGGCAGCAGCAGGAGGCCCCATTAGCTAAAGTGGTGCTTCAGGTTAAGAACAGTTTCAGGTTAAGTACGGATCTCCAGAACAAATTAAGTACTTAACCTGAGGTACCACTGTAGTTCTTTAAGGGGGCTAGAAATCCTTAGTAGACGATTCCCAACCTCCTCAACAAATTCCACTTTGAATGATTCTTTGGAGCAAACCATGACAGTTTTGCTGGTATCCATTTAAGGGTGTATTGTAGATCTGTCTGTATGAGATTACTCCGTGGCATTTAGTCATTTTTCCTTAGAAAAAAAAATGCTTCAAATAAAGTGCCTTCAAAAGTAGTGTCCTGGAAAGACCTCTTCCATGACCCTTTGTATAACCTTACAAAACAAATAATGTTAAATAGAGACCCACCTCCAAAAAAAATAAAATAAATCCACATCATATTTTGTACAGATTGTATGACAAGACTGGACAGGACTTTGGAATTGTTATCTAGATATTCAGTCCAAATGGCTGTTTCCGTGAAGTTGCTAATTCCTTAGCGATGAGTTATGGTGCATTCATCCACCCATCCATTCATCCATCCATTACAGAATGCCTCGGGGATCTCAGTTATCCACAACCAATCCCATGAGGAATTATTCAGGAAATTGCTTATTAGGCTTTATGTCCACACCGGAATATGCTCTTGCAGAAAGTGAGGTCCAAGGTCCTCTGCAAGAACATATTGCCCTCCTTAGATGGTGAAATGTGTGACTTCACTTATTCCCAAATGTGGTAAGTCAGCTCTGCTACATGAGGGTGTGTGTGTCCTCCTGCTCATTCTGTTGAGTAGAAAGTCCTGCCCTCGTGGTGCCATTGCATATGGAGCATCATACATGAAGCAGGAGCAGGAGTCTCTTTGTGATGACATCATTTGCACCACTTCCCCTCGTTCTCAAAGCCTAGTTAGCATCTGAATCTAAGACCACCACCCTTTCTAAGACCATCACCCTTTTGGGACTACAACTCCCTTCATCCCTGACCACTGGTACTGTTAGCTAGGGATGATGGGAGTTGTAGTCCCAAAACATCTGGAGGACCGAGTTTGGGGATGCCTGACATAGAGCAATGGAGAACAGAGGAAAGTGTGTGGAAGGGGAAGGAAAACACAAGCACCTTCCTCAAAAAAAGCTGCCTCTTTTCTCATTTGTTTTCCCCTCCTCCTTCAAGGAGAGGAAGGAGAAACGCACCATTATTTCAGAGCAACAACTTATCTAACTGCTTGCACGCCTATCAGCTACTGGTTTGTTTGCTCGTTTGTTTATTTTGTGCGTTTGAAATCTTTCCCAGCCTCACACATAAAAGGATTTCTGTGCAGCTGAGATAAAGGAGCTCGAGATGGAGGTGGTTGGGTTCCAGCCGGAATAATCCAGCCGGCAAGCCCAAATGGCTCGTCTCCTGCAGCTATTGATTCTGTCCCGGACTGAGCACTCCTCGCATGGCCATTGGCAGATGTTGTTGGGCTCCAACTCCCACCAGCCTCAGTGAACATGGCCAATAGCTTGGGCTGATGGGAGTTGGAGTCCGACAAACATCACCTTGGTGCTATTCAAGTATATGTGTGTGTGTGTGTGTGTGTGTGTGAGAGAGAGAGAGAGAGAGAGAGAGAGAGAGAGAGAGAGAGGAATAGTAATGGTGGAGAGGGACACAGGCTCCATTACAGTGCTACCCTGGCCTAAACTGGTTTAGTTTTCAAGGTTTCCACAAAGGGACCAATGGGAACTTTATTTTTGGAGTATACTGTACTCAGGAATCTCAAAAAGTCTCTACCCAGTTATCTGATGGAGCTGTAATTCCCAGGATTCCCTGAGGAAATAACCTAAGGGTGCTTCCAGACTGTCATTATTTTCTGGTGGGATTCAATCATATATTGGGAAATTCAGGTTGACAGCTAAAGTGCATTGGGAGCTCTTGTGCAACAAACTTGCTTACTTTCCCCTGCCCAAATCAGACTCTTTTTCTGCTGATGGGGAAATGTCTTGGAGAGTATGGGATAACAATTTCTTGAAGTAAAGTTGTCTATCCCCATGGCAAACAAATTGAGATGAATGCTCAACAAACAGGTTGTCTGGAAGTGACCTAAATGGTTAAGCTTCTCCTTACAGACTTGATGTGGCCTCTCTCTCCATAATCCCAAATCCTGAAGTCCATAAGAGTATATGTAAATATCTGTTTGTAAAAAAAAATATATTAATGCACAGAAAGAAGGAAAAACAGAGACTGCATGAAGAATGGATGCATGGTTTTCAGAGAAAAAGGCTTTGAAATGGGGAATGAGGGTGGCTGCATTGCTTAGCATGCCTCTTCCTTTATCTTCTTTCTCCAGGCCAAGCACTCTGCTCCAGCTAGACACCTCAGATCAAGAAGAGATGCCCCTGCTGTTTGAGAGCAGATGTATCCATTTAGAAACCTCCAGGCTACCCAGCCACTATGCTCCAGTAGTTTGGTTTCTCCTGACCTTGGAATCCATTCTCCCTCTGGACTGCTGCCTGAAGGAGCTGTCATCGTGGAGGTACTGAGCGCTTCACAACCCATTTACCCACTTTGGCCATATGTTGAAAGAGATGATCGCTGCAGGAAGGCTGTCCTGAAATGCTGCAATGCAATCCCAAGGCTCCAAGCAAGCCTTCTCTTTTTAAAAAAATAAATAAACTGCAAGAGGCAGCACTCTGTGAAGGAGCAGACGTGATACGATTCTGTCGGCTTCTCCTTTAGAAGGTCCCAAATTCAGTCCCCAGCATCTCCAGATAGGGCTATGAAAGATTCCCTGTCCAAAACCCTAGAGAGCCACTGCTACTGTAGGTGATATTGAGCCTATTTTCTTCTTCAGTTGGGCAACTGATGGGCAAAGGCAAAAACTAGGGGAAAGGAAATGGAATGGCGTTTCCAGATAAAAGGGTGTGGCTGGCAGGCATCCAGAATACTCCACATTGCAATATTTTGCTTCTGATACCCCTGGTACAGGTTACTGAACACGAAAGAGGAATCAAATATGCCATTGTAGGTGGAACATTCACATTGCAGACCTATTTGAGAAAAAGCCGATTCAAGTCCTAACCGTGAGTATTATCTTGGGCTCTGTGGCACTAAAATTGTTTCTGTGTTTTCTCAGGCTTAAGGAACATCCTCAAGGCTGATATGAGGCGACTTTGGTTGCTTGTTAAAAGTAATGGCTGCCTGTCAAGTGATGATGAGCAGAATAAATATTTGTATGTCAAAACATTGTTATCTTCCACCCTTGCTTCAGTTTTAAACATAAGCACCCCTCCAGATGACCTGTTTATTGAGCAATCGTTCTGATTTGCTTGCCCAAAGCTTATGCAGAGCTTAGATTACATCAAGCCTTTATCAAGCATTCATGCTGGTTTGTTTGTGGGGAGGTTATATGACATTGAGCAGCCATCCTGCAATCATCCTGATTTGTTTGTGAGGTGTTTACACATCCTCCTTTTGGTCCAAATCCAAAGCTGCATCTGTGTTAGATGCAGCTGTAGTTGTTTTGTTATTATTTAATGGATTTCTAGTCTGCCAGGGAAACATACAAATACACGTGCACAATCACACACCCAGTCCCACGAAGACACATTTTACACACACACACACAGGCATTGCAAGGTTAAAGGATGCGTCAGGGTGGGGGCAGGGGGGCAGGGAACAAACAAGGCTGTGGGCTGGAAGAGGGAGGAAGATTGAGGTTAAGGAGAGGGTTAAAATTGTTATGCCAGGTGCTGGGAACAGGGAGAATTGGTGAGATTTAGGGATGAGAAGGGGAGAAAGAACATGCCTCAAGTATAACACAACATCTTTAACAGTCTTGCAAAAACTTGTCATCTGTCTCCAGCCACAGCTTGGATGAAAGGGCAGGGTTAGCCCACCCAACCTAATGGTTTCTCTGCAGACTTGCTTGACCCATCAATCTCTTAAGCATTGGATAAAATGGTGTACTCAGACAAGTTGCAAAATGACACCCCCCACTTTCAAAATATTAATTGAGAATCAATTTTTACAATAATAAAGAGAACCAAGGAAATGTCTGGACTGTAGCATCTCCACCCCCATCGTCCAGCCCAGACACTGAGGTCCACCTTCGAGGGCCTTCTGGTGGTTCTCACTGCAAGAAGTGAAATTACTGGGAACCAGGCAAAGGGCTTTCTCGGTAGTCACACCCACTCTATGGAATGCCCTCCCAGCAGAGGTCAAAGAGTTAAACAACCATATAACTTTTCATAGACATCTGAAGGCAGCTCTGTTTCAGGAAGCTTTTAATGCTTAATGCCCCCCTTCCTTTCCCTATGTATTTTTGTAGGAAACTGCCCAGAGTGGCTGGGGCAACCTGGGACTACTAGGCTGGGGCTACTACTACTGCTACTGCTACTATTACTATTACTATTACTACTACTAAATATAGCATCAAGGTCCAAGTATGGGATGGGGGGCATATTTTATCAGTGTCCAGAATGAATGTGGTGGGTCTGGGCTGCAAGCATATGACCTTGTAGGAAAAAATCCCTCAACCACCAAGTTGAAGGTTTGTAGATCAGCGGCAGACCACATGCCTGAGATGCAGAAGGTCGCAGGTTCAATCCCTGGCATCTCCAGGTGGGGCTGAGAAAGATTCCTTTTCACAAGGCATAATGCATAAGAGTACCAATAAAATGTAACTGTGTACCAATTTTCCTTCAGCATTGCTACATTTTGAGGGTATGCTATGCAAAATCCATTTCCATATATATATAGTAATGTAGAATAGCCAAGTTTATACCTTCTTGTTTGGTCAGATATGGATGAGTTGCTAAAGAGTCCTGCTTACAGGTGACTTTTTAAATTATTAATAAAAAAAAGCTCAATCTATATTTTATTTGCTTGTGATGTCCTTCAGCAGGGATGTAGTAAGACTGTTCATTTCATTTCCCCTTGAAATGTTAGCCAAAGGCTGCTGCTAAAAGTTTGTGTGTGGCTGGAGCACCCCCTAGTGGAAAAGTGTACTCAAGCTTCAAGCAGCAGAATTTGGACAAAATATTCCAGAATCAGGAAAAAGTACATTTCCAAATGGATGCACTGTATATCCTGTGGGGCCTGATTTGCTTGCTGGTTCATCATTTAATGCTGCCAGTGGTCTTCTTAACTGGATGCCTCAAATAGCTTCACCTTCCACTACCATCTCTGCCACTCTGCCACTTACCATATCCCTACCTACGGTACCTTTAGATACCAAGGCACACCTCACTATCCCCATGGGGATGCTGCTGGGAGAGTGGGGAACAGCCTACCTATGGCAAGAGATTCCTGTCCTGGGTGGAATATATTATTTCACTTGGAGCTCCAATCATTATGAAGCTCTACATCCTAATTCCACCCTGCAGGAAAGTTAGAGGTATGGAGATGTACAGCAATAATAATACAGTGGTACCTCAGGTTACATATGCTTCAGGTTACATACGCTTCAGGTTACATACGCTTCAGGTTACAGACTCCGCTAACCCAGAAATAGTGCTTCAGTGGTGGTTTTGTAGGCATCCAGTAGTCTTGTTGGAATAATCCAACAGGCCTAGATTATTTCCGGACTTGGAACTCCACACTAGATTCTTCTTACCCCAGACATTGTAACTGGTGATGTGGAGGGAAGAAAGCTGTACTCTTCCTCTGCTATGTGGAAGTGAAGTCCATTAATAACATGCATGGGCTCATTTATTGATGCATATACAGTGGTACCTCAGGTTACATATGCTTCAGGTTACAGACTCCGCTAACCCAGATATAGTGCTTCAGGTTAAGAACTTTGCTTCAGGATGAGAACAGAAATCGTGCTCCGGCGGCGAGGCAGCAGCAGGAGGCCTCATTAGCTAAAGTGGTGCTTCAGGTTAAGAACAGTTTCAGGTTAAGAACGGACCTCCGGAACAAATTAAGTACTTAACCCGAGGTACCACTGTAATATCAAGCCATAGGATAAGTAATACATGCTATTGCTGGGATGAGGAACACCCAGTCCTGCCCAAGTGTCTGCTTTAACCAATACCCTCATGGCAAATGCAGTGTGCTCCAGCCATTAAATTCTGTGTTATGTATTGAGTTCACAGTGCAGGAGCTAAAGCAAGCAAGGCGAGTGGAATACCTGTGACTACCCATATGCTATTGGGCTCCAGGTCTCATCATCCCTGGTCACTGGCCCCATGGGCTAGGGCTGCTGGGAGCTGGCAGGCCACACATATTCCATCCCTGAGCTTAAGAAATGCAAAATGATACAACTAGGCAGTGTGAATTAATGGTTAGGGTGCTGGTCTCTGAATACCAGTTTCTGGAAACGACAGGAGCGGAGAATGCCCTTGTGCTTGTGAGTTTCCCACCGGCATCTGACTAGCCTCTTTGAGAACTAGAAGGATGCTGGACTTGAAGGGTCTTTAGTCTGATCAAGTGGGACTCTTTTTATTCGTGAACGTTCCTTTCCATCAACTTGAAAATGAAACAAAGGCTACCCTGCCCAAACTGCAGAACCTAGTGCCCATTCACTGGAGAATGTGCCCCCTCCATATTCAGAAGCGTTTACTTTTGAGTAAATATTCAAAGATTGCATTTAAGTCCACCTTGCAGTCACTGGGACTCACTCTGAATAAGCATGATTCGTTTATTTGTGTAGTAAGGACGTCTGTGCCTATACAAAGTAACAATTATACAAAATAATAATTGTACAAAACAGTAATTGTACAATTATGAATATTTAGTTTTTGCTAAAGGGAAAAGCAAACTCGACTCTGATGAATCACACATGCTGTTCCTGTCAGTTGCACCGCGGTATTTGCTTAGGCAGGATCATAAACGCTCTTACTCAGAAGTAAGCCTCAATGATCTTCTTATAACAGGTCTTGCTCTTTCGTTTTTACTGCATTTAGGGTCTGCCCAAAGGAGGAGGCAAGTTCTGAAACGACGGTGAGGCTGTTTTTCTGCAGGCTGCATTAATTAAACTACAGCTCAGTGAAAAGCATTCGAGAGTACTGTATTTGCATCTGTACTGAAGCGGAGGATTTAAGTTCTAAAAAACTACATTTCCCGAAAGAGCTTTCGGTCTCGCGAGAGGAGCTCTTCCCCCGCCCGCGGGAAACATCGGTCAAAGTTTGCGCAGGCGCTTCTGCTTTCTCTTTCCTTGCTACCGGCTTCAGAGGTGCAGTGATGGTGAGTAGCGCGGACTCTTTCCGTAGGATCCCTTGTAATCCTCTACGGCTGCCGCTTCTAAGCAGAAGTGAGCTTGTGATATGTGTCCCGGGGGCGCTTGTGCACAGCCAGAAACATTTATTTATTAGTTGGCTCCTTTCTGTCTTAGCTTTTTTGTGATTTTAACTTCCTTCCCCCCACCCCGACTCTACACGGGTTGTTGGTGCGTAGCAGGCCAGTAAAGCGAGCCTCCCCCCTGTAGGTTGAGAAAGACGAGTGTATTGATGAGTTGCACAGCCTTAAACGTTTTGAATCGCATCCTTTATTTTTTTGCAGGAGAAGAACCCGAGAGGAGGGCGAGTATGGAGCCACTCCGGCCTGTGCTTTACGAGCCTCTGGTCCCAATTGGAGCAAGTTGGTTGATTTAAAGGGGTGTGTATATTGTACTGGTTGCAGTATATTGTACTGTTAAGGGGAAAGAGCAGGGAATTGCAAAAACTAACCATGGATTTGTTTGCATTCCTGCGTGAAATATACATAAGGTCTTTTTGTATAGGTAAGGTTTGTCGAGCATTATTTTAAATACGGTACCAATAAGTTACAGATCCTATAAGTTCCTCTTCACTCCCTGCCCTCATGTATTTTGTGTGAAGGGTGTGGAGCCCCTTGTCTACATTCCTGCCCATCCTGGCCCCAATTTCATGTGGTTGGCAAGGAAAGTAGAAAAGAGGATGCAGAGAGAGAAGGGGATGGCCAACTCTTGGTTCCAGCTTGCTTGTTTTTGATAACCAGTATGTGGTCCCCAACAAATTATTGTAAGATTTATTTGCAAGATGAATATCCTGCCCTCCTTCTAAAGGAGCTCAGGGGAGAAAGCAGCAAGTGATGAAACTTGTTCAAAACACATGCAGCCAGTAGGTGCTGAAAAAACCACAGAAAGGGCACCTGTCTAATATTCAAGTGAAGGGAATTTCAAATAGAAGGTGCCACCACACTAAATGCCCATGCCAGCAGATCTCCTGATACAATGGGATCTGCAGGAGTCCCTCGCCTGCATAGAGCAGTGATCCATTGAGTATAGAAGGGGAGACAATCTGGTCTGATACAGAGTAGGCACACTGAAATTAACGGAGCCAACTTAGTCATGTGTTTTATTTTCTGTGGGTCTGCTGTACTCTGTATCTGGCTAGCACTGGATACCTACCACCCCTCGAAGTTAAGGGGGGAAATGCCCACACCAAGTAGGTTTTGTGCGCTGTCCACTAGATGTCGCCACTAGGAAGAGAAATGAAGTTGCTTTTACCATGTGCATTTTGCCAGAGTTGTCTAGAAGCTGAGCTTGTGATGATAAAAAGTTATCCCTGTCTGAAAAGGAAATCTTTCTCATTGTGGAATTGTGGATTCTGAAGCTCAACTCTAGGGAAATCTGAAAGCCTCAGAATAGCTGAATTGTACAGCTGTCCCTAACCTTGCATTTCTCCTGTTCTCAGGCTGCATGTGACTTTTCAATCAAACCGGTCAAGAAGACGCAAAGTTTCTTTGTGTTGAGATGTAAACACCTGAGACCGCTTCCCTTGAAAAGAAATGAAGCCTGTGTTAGCCATGGTGTGGTTATCTGATTCATATGCACAATGGTAAGCATGTGCCTGCAGTCTTGTTGGTTGCTTGATTCATTTCTTTATGGTTGCAGGTATAAAATCCCATGAGCCTGACTGATCCAATATGAGACTTTGTCTGAGTTCTGTCTACTCCTGCGTGTGACTTGCTCAGAAGAGTGTGTACACAGTTGCTATTGTGGAATACAAATTAGTACTTTTGCACACAGAAGGTCCCAAGTTCAAGCCACTTAAAAGGACCTTGTTTAATAAATAATGAAATAATAATAAAGTTTTTCAATGTGCTAAATTGAGGAAGGCTACTAGAATGCACAGATTCCTATAGGGTTATAGTGAATTTCCGAATGACAATTGGAATGAATTAATCAAATGTGATTAGTTGTTTACACACTGACTACTACTATTATTTTGGGGTGGGTGGGGAAGCATCTTTAAATGTCAAAAAATTGAGCATCCAAATGGTCACTGGCATAGGATGTATCTTGTTAAATCTCTCCTCCTACCCTTGGTTGCATAAAATACCAAGTACATTGTCAAGTGTTTGTAGGGGTGAGTGGGAGACTTTGACACACCTATCACCATTTTGCAACTCTCTTGATTGCAGGTGAGGGTAGAAATGACTGGAGGTGATTGGGCAGCATACAACCTTTGTCCAACGCCTTGCTGTGGCCATTTGGAAGAGCAGTAGTTTTCTGCTTGGTCATTTTGGCCCCTGAAAATCACTACATAGGCAACACATCCCTCTTGACTTGATGCATTCCGGTAGTCATTCAGAAATTCAGTATGTTCCTGTGGCCAATAGTGTTCATTCAGAAATTCACCACGTCCCTAAAATCTGCCCGACACCAGTCGGGAGTAAACAATGCTGGGCTAGATGTACTGATGATCTGATTCAATATAAGATAGCTTCATGTTGAAATAGTTGTCCTTCATCTCCATGACATTGGTTGTGCAAAGTTGGGATTCCAACAAGCACCCCTAGGACATGTAAAATACTTTGGTGGGCTGCATGTTTCTTGCAGAGTGTTAAGTATGCACACACACAAAAATGTAAGGGATTTTTTCCCCCTGTAAAAGAAGGTGTGCTTTGTCTGCTGGACCACATTGTTTGAATGCTCTGAAGCAAGTAAAGATGAATTCACTAATCTAGTGGAAATTTGATGCTGCTCTTCACGTGCAGTTGAACACAATGGCAACAGTTTGGCATGCTGCAGCTAGCAGATTATCACCTAGGGTCATTCATGGGGAAGAGTGAGGGTCAAACTAAACGTGATTTAGAGCACTTTTTAAAAAAAATCAGGGGTTTTTTTGCAACAGCCTACTAATTTTTGTTGACAAAGCAGCCAGGGGCTGCAGAGGAATCCAGATGAGGATTGGGAAAGAGATTTAACTTTTTCCACCTTGCACTGCTTTCCCAACTTTAAATATTTTTAAAATTGTGACATAATAGCTTTATGTATAGGGTGGTTTTTTTGGGGGGGGGGAGTTGGTGGGGGAGTTTTCACTTGGAAAATGACATTGGAGGAAAGCATTAACCATCCATGGCCCTGCAGTTGTTTTTGTAAACAAAGATGTTGACAGTTGCAAGCGCATGATTCAAAAATGTGCTTAAAGTCACGTCTACTTTCATCCGGAGCTGGACAGACGTGTCAGTGATGAATCCAGTTGGGGAAAGCAGATGGTGGATTAACTGTCAAAGTACTACTGTTTTTTAAATGCTCAAATATGTTTTGGAAGACAAGCTTTAGGCCTGATTCAGACACAGCAGGAATCTACGACTTGCTGCTATCCCATGTGAAGATGAGCTGTGGGTTTGCACACTTCCCCTCGCATCCCCATTCTTTTGTGGCTGTGTGGTTATCTGCGCCATCTCTTTTAAAGGAAGCACACCTTCCCAACTTTGAACATAATGGGAACTGTGGTTAGTTTAAAAGTAGATGCATCTGATCTCCTTTCAGCAGCAAAAGGAAGAGGGAGGGAGAAGTGTGCAAGCCCAAGACTTGCCATGGCTTGTTTGCGTCACTGTATTCCCTTGTAATATGTTTGCTGTAGAACTGGAAGTGGGCTTGCTGGGTGAGTAGATTGCAATAAGAAATATATGATAATTTGGTGGTATTTGAAGTTCTTAAAATGTCCATTAGAATCCTGTTATGTGAACCTTAGTAAGCCAGAAATCCCAGTTATCTGAAATCGTGTGTACAACACCACCCCAACCATATGTTGAGCAGAATACCTTTGTGCCATGAACTGTAATGTCTGGTTTTCTAAATGTCTTGTTCATCCCAGGACTGAAATGAGGCTGCTGAATTCACTAGAATTAAATTTGGGTCTTGATTTAATTCCGCATTGTCCTCATTTTGCACAAAACAGATGAACTCTCAAAGACAAGATCGTATTTTTTATCTAGTAACAAGATGAAGCCCTTTCCTTCCAAACTGGACTCTTGTTTCTTTTGAATAATAAATTGTCATGGGGATTGTGATTCAGTTGTTATTCAAGAAAATTGTCTGAAAGCAGTGTGCAAGTTTTAAAAGCAAAATGAAGAAATAAAATTGATATGTTTGGCTCCACAGGATGCAGACCATTTGCCTCTGGACTCAGAAGTACAGTTTGGAAACAGCTGCTCAGGGTAAGGAGCTCAGGGTAATGCTTATTCATTTGTTTGGCTTCTGACAAATTTGCTAATCCCTTCATGTCAGTGGAATGTGAGTTGCCAAGAACCAGACTCCCTTATTTCAGTGAAGCCTGAGAAGTTATGACTGGATGGGGTTTAGGTTTTGGCCTCTAAATTAAGTGTAAATGCTTATTTGTGATATTTTAAGCAATGCAAGTGGTTGGAAATAATACTTGGGTCTTGCTAGTCGAAGTCCACCATTCTTTCCACAACATCACATGACTGAAAATCCTGGGCAGAACTTGCTTGTTTGATAGAAATGGCAAGGGCTTAAAGGTTACCCTGATTTAATGCCTCAACATTAAGCCAGCAGTCTCCATATTTTAAACACTGTTCCATATTCAGATAATAATGTGACCCAAGCAAAGAATGGGGGAGGTGGACTTGAGGGTGTTGGCCTGGTGTATAATTGGTTGTGTCAGGCAGCCACATAAATTGGGGATCCTCCATTCTACCAGGCAAGGAGAAAACTCCCAGAGCATCTGGAAAGTATCTCTTTGAAACACAACAATCAAATCCTCTTCAAGGGGGCAAAATCCATCCATCAGCCAACACCAAAGAAACGTTTGCACTTTAAGATCCTTTTTAATTCTTTGGAGAATATGGAAAAATCCTGAACTCTTAAATGGAGGCAGAAGATGCAATTTCATGATCTCAACAGGCGGTTGCTGAGAAACCAAGTGAAAAGTCATCGCACCCTAAACTTTGCATATTTCAGAGCTGGTGCAGTGTAATAAGCAAGGTGCCAAGCTAGATCTGGGGAGACCAAGGTTCAGGTCCTCAACTTGGCCACGAAACTGCCTGGGTTACCTTGGGCTGGTCTCTTTCCCACCTCACAGGGTTGCTATGAGAAAAAGGCCATGTATGTAGCCTTGGAGGAAAGATTGAATATATTTTAGCCACCGCAGGGAAACAGTTGAAGAACTTACAGCTTTTTTGGATCAGTCCTGATGTTGGCTTTTTTGTCTGTCACACTCCTCCTAAAAGCCTGTGATGTGAAGTTATCCCTGTCTGAAAACTCAGCTATGAGGGAAAATAAAGATGCACTGAGGCTTGCCCCCTTTGCCATCTCACAGTTGTCTTCAGTAGGAGTGATTTCTTTTGAGATAGGTGTGACCGCTGTATCCTTCCCACAGCATCGTGATTCAAAATTCAGCCGTTGGGCTACATTTTCCAGTAGTTTCTTTCTCTGGCATTGATTTGAGATGGAAGGGTTTCTGAAAGTGGGCCTTTCGCAACGCCAATTCCCTTCTGGAGGCTATTACAGTATCCACAGGGAACTCCAAAGATGCCAGTCGAAGGGAGAACAATCTTTCGTCTAGTTTTAAAGTTTCTTGAATCTGTTAGAGATTCATATATCTGAAGCTGGTATCGGAGGCAAAGAGCTAATGTATTCTTGACTGGGAACAGGATAGACAAAACTGAATGTTCCTTGTGCCAGTATTTTGACATAGATGGAGGAACTGCCTGGCCTCCTTGCAGCACTAAAATCATTGGAGCAAAAGAAAATGCAATTTTTCTACTGCCGCTTTTATTGTGTTGTTGACTAGAAGGAGAGGCCTTGGCTCAGCGGCACGAGAAATGCCTTGTGTTTGAGAACTAAGTTGATCGGCTTTACAGCGTCGTATCTTCAGGGTCACAGAGGCCTTTTCTGCATCTGCTTGTCTGCCATAAAACTCTTGAGCATGGTGGGGGGTTCTGGAGAATAAACTCTTCACATGGGGTGCTGCTCTAACTGTTGGGCCTCTGTGCCACCCTGAACAAACCACATGCACAAACACCCTCGAACACCCAACATTCCCCTATGGCTGCACAGGCCGGTAATGATGATGAGCAGATTGTTTTCCTGCGTAGGCGTTCCACCATCACTGAACCTCTCCCTGTGAACCTTCTGATAAGCTGTCAGGGTGTCCTGAACACAGTTTGTGTCTTCTATGGCTGGGGGAGGGTAGTAGGGGTGGTATTGGTGGATGGGCACGACACTTAAGTACAGAGCGCTCTTTCCACAGTTATGCATATAGCAAGCGGTTGTTGCTTTCTCATTGGAGAAGAGGCCTTGTTGATCACCTAATTCCCTCTGGTCTTTTACAGGTACAGCTAAGAGGGGGAAAAATGGTGGGGAGAACATAGACCAGTTTTTCCATCATGCAGTGATGTCTTTTCCTGCAAGAGGGCGAAGCTCCCTTGGAATCATACAAGCCCTTCAAGCATAATATTATAGAATAGAAGTAGAGGGATCTCTTGTTTTGCCTTGGAACTTTGCCTGCAAGTTGCCTCTCCATTAACTGCAAATGCCCTGGTAAGCAGTGTGTTCCTGCTTTTTTTGCTTCTCAAAAAAATTCCTCTTGGGATATGATTGTGGTTGTTTCTTTTCTCTCTCTGCCCCTCCCTCACCCGCTTATGTGAAAAAGGAACAGTGACCATTTGCCTGGGGAATAACAAAAGCCCATCAGCCCAGGATACAAGGCAGAACAGCCAAGCTTTCTGTTAGGACTCTCACCCAGCAGTAGGCGGGCGAGTAGAAGACTGTATGCACATCTTTGCAGAGGGAAGAGCGACAGTTTTGTTAAAGCAAATGCCATGCCTGATGCAAACGCCTTGCAGTGCTGCCCTGAACATAATCGTTCTTGTGCCATGTGTAGGTGTCTTAAATGTCACATTATTGGCATAGTCTCAGGGCTGTTTATACTAGAGGGTGTAATCGGTTGAGGGATATAAAGCCTAAAACTGTTAACTCTTTATAGACCGCATGAACCACACAAGTGGAGGCAGACTTTTGTAAGGTGCAAGAAGTCCTGGTGTCAAGTTAGTAAGGGAGTTTTGGATCGCTCTTTACAGCATCAAAGGACTAGCATGCCACACACATGTTGGCACAGAGAGGGTGACAAAACATCTGTCAAAGAGTGACAGATGAATGCCTGTGGGCAACATGAATGCTGAAGCATTTCTATATGATGGGTATGTCCAAAGTCCGTCTCGGGGGCCTAATCCAGCTTGCCAGTCGGTTTAATCCGGCCCCCTGTGGCAGTTTATTTCCTAGGGTAAAATCCTAAAAAAACAACAACTCAGCAACTTAAATCCTAAAAGAAGCTCAATAACTTTGGGGTAAAAAAAAAAAAACTCAACAACTTCAAAAGGTCAGCCCCCACGGCCCTTCATTTCATCAAATCTGGCCCTCTTTGAAAAAGTTTGGACACCACTGCTATATGACATAAACTTAGTTCGAGGGAAATAACAAGCAAATAGTTTGAGGATGAAACAGGTTTTTTTATTATTGGGGGGAAAAAAGCAACACATTCCTTGAGGCTATTTAGCTCTGCTTTTGCTGTTAATATTTAGTGATCTTTTTATGGTTTTACTGCCTACGTTGAGAAACTTCTGGGTTTTGGTGTTCTTTCACATTGAGCACAAAAAACCTGAAGGGCAAGGTAAAAATGGAGAACCTTTATTTTGCTGCAGGTGCCGCTGGAAGAGAAGAATGCATTTCAAGAACGGAGGAGTTCTTTTTTTATTATGGGTAAGCAAGCTGGACTCTATGTCTGTTTTCATGACCAAAAATAACTGGTTGAAGGACTCCATTTCATAGCTAATGTTTGTTGCAGCTCTTGGCCTTGGCTGTGTTGCCCATTCAGATTTCACTGCTAGACTTTTATGTTGGTCTCTGAAAATACCATTAGCTTTCTTTGCAGCAGTCCTTGATCTCTGGCAGGTCCCCTGTCCCCCTACCTGGGGGGCCTTTCCGGTTTCCTTTTCGGCTTGAAATCATGTAGTGTTTGACCAAGTGCTGCTAGTAACACACTGTACTCAAGTAGCTTGTAGAAATTAAACGGCCTGTTGCGTTAAGCAGTTTTCAGCAGGGATACTTTGCTTTGGCCCACCACTCCGATTTTACTAGGAGCAAAGCACTTGGTTGCATCTCCAGCCCTTGCATGAGCAGCCCATAAGGATGGTGCTGGCTGCTCCACCTGTTTTCTCGTTCCCCCAAATGAAGAGGCAAAACAGTGCAGCTGCAGCAACATAAACACCTGCAGTAGCAGCAAAGGTTGGACTGGGGTACAAACATAAGAAGCAACCTTGCTGGGTCAGAACTGAGGGCCCATCTAGTCTACCAGCAGCCAGTGAGATGCTCCAGGAGGCTCATGCCAGATGTGGGTAGCCTTCATCTGTCCTCTACAAGATACTGCTTTGCTGCCTGTTCACATATGAATTAGTTTTCCTGGCAAACAACTGCTGCTAGTCCTAGCCTCCTTGAACGTGTCTAAATCAAACTATTGTAACTCAGTCGGCATTGAGAGAGAGTGTAGCACAGTGGTACCTCGGGTTAAGAACTTAATTCGTTCTGAAGGTCCGTTCTTAACCTGAAACTGTTCTTAACCTGAGGTACCACTTTAGCTAATGGGGCCTCCCACTGCCGCCACGCGATTTCTGTTCTCATCCTGAAGCACAGTTCTTAACCCGAGGTACTATTTCTGGGTTAGCGGAGTCTGTAACCTGAAGCGCCTGTAACCCGAGGTACCACTGTACACCATGTGTTGAAGAAGGCTGCCTTTTGGTTAGCCCTGAACATAATACCAAAGGGCTTCGTTGGCTGCCCATGAAGGAAGGAACCCAGCCACAGAGATATGGGGTGAATCCTTTCTGCCCTGCTGCCCATGGGCCTCTATGCAAGCTGCTGGAGCTCATGTGATCAAGTGGTTCCAACACAGCTATTCTGGCCTCGTTCTCTTTTGCCACCCTTATTCTTTCAGAGCCATCATGTTTTGATTCGTCTCCTCTGCCATCGTTCTATACCTTTTACAGGTGCTGGCTTTTAAGCAGAAGGGCCTGGAAGTGCCGAGCCACCCAGAAGGGTTTTTCCTGCGTTGAGCAAGAAAGCAAACTTGATCAGCAGCGGTGGAAAAGTGCAGTCTGCCTTGGTAGTGAACCTTAAAGGAGGAAGCCATGGATTCTAAAGTAGTGTATCCAGTGTAGCTGAGCAGTTAGAAGCTTGGACTAGTCCATGAAGCTCACCAGGTGACCTTGGGCCAGTCACTGCCTCTCAAGTTAACCTACCTCACAGGGATGTTGTGAGGATAAAACGGGGGAGGGATAACCGTGTACTTTTCCCACATCCTTGGAAAAAGAGAAGTAAAATAAGAACAATAATAAAAACTTTTCTCCAACAAAAAAACAGTTATCCTCATGTTGTGTGATGCTAGTGGGAAAGGTAGTGTTTGTTTTTCAGCCCTAAAGTTCTTTCACCTCTAAAGCAAGCTTTGCATGTTTACTCAAAAGTAAGTCCTACTATTCTCAATACTGCTCGCTTCCAGGTATGCATGCATAGGAATTCAACCCTAATAACTTAACACTGATAGCAAGGTAGGCATCAGAACTGTTACGTGGCAAGTGGTCTTCAGGCTTCCACGCCAGAGGGAATCCACATCAAAACCTGTGCATTGCAGAGGGCTCTGTGGCACTTCTCCACCATGCCCACTGTTTGGGTCAGGCCCTTAGCCAAAGTGTTCCCAAGAAAATACCCCACACTCCCCTGTGGCTGCACAATGCTGGGGAAGATGGATAACGGCAGACAAGTGAGCTTAAGGGAACTTTATCCACTTAATTACAGTAATGAATAAAAGAACATTGATAGACTCTCCTAGGAACACAGAAGACCACTGTTTTGAACCCTAAATCACTTGCAGATTTGGCCACAAAGAGCGGTCAGAAAAGTGATACTCCCTGTTACATGTGAACAAAATTTGTTTGCCAGACTCCAGCCACCCATTTGCCCCCTGCTTGTGATAGCAGGAGATTATGCGGAACAGTTAACACTTCCTAGAGTTTATACTTTCATTTTACAATCTTCATCTGCTGCTGGTGGTTTAACATTCATACAATGCCAACAGTTTGTCAAGAATGCTATATCTGGTTGCTTTATCAAAGAAGGAAGTTCAGGCTGTCAACTCTTTCTGGATCAGTTCCTTCCAGTTTGAAGCAGGCAAGAACCACTGATGAGAGATGGAACAAATGTTTGGTCTTGCACCTTGCCAGAAGGCAAGGCTTGTTTCCCACTACTGTAGGGAGGGGAGGCCATACTAGACCCCCTTCCTCCTAGGACAGCAGGGCAGCCTAAAGTAGAGCCATTTTTCTGGAAGGGACCACAAGGGTCTTCTAGTCAAACCCACTGCAGTGCAGGAATCTTGCCCAATGTGGGGCTCAAACCCATGATTCTGGGATTAAGAGTCTCAAACTCTTAAGGCATGAGCTATAGGGATTTCTAATTGCAGGGGAGCAGGAAGTAGGATATTAGATAGCAAAGTTGTTTTGTGAGGGGAAAGGGTGTCTCGTAACAATTCTGAGCACCCTTCACAAACCAGAGGCCCCAGGATTCACTGGGAGAAGCCATGACTGTTGGAAGTTACACGGTGCTTGCATTAAACCTATAGTGTGGATTGGGAAAGTAGGCATTCTTTGCAAAACTGCATCCTACAAAACAGGATTTTTTTAAAAAAAGGTTTCCCAGGATGTGGTACAAAGCATATCTGAACATTTACTGCTCAAAGTTGTCAGTATTGTCCCATACATTTTTTTGATGGTTTACTGTCTTTTATAAAACTCCATAAAGGCGGTGCCAGTCTGCTTCCTAGATTCAAATGGAGCTGCTCCACCAAAGCCCTCTAGGGCTAGGACAAGCTTTGGATCATTTGAAACTGCTTGTGTGGTCCAGTGTCCTAGTGGTCAGATGTTTGACAGGAGGTTGCAGCCTTCTTTCCTCCTAAGTAACTTTAATAAAACTGTTTAATGCACAAGAGTCAACATAGCCAGTATTGCAGAGTTTACCACATTTGTAGCCTAAAGAAGTGTAACCCGTGTCATCTATGTGATAAATCAGAGGTGCATTTGAAGAGGTCATTGCTCAGGGTGCGAGCCTGAATGCATCCCCATTTATTTCTCAAACATGCATGGATTCTGTTAATGGGCGACAGGAGGACCCTATACAACTGACATGGTCTACCTCCAGATAGGTATTTAATATTGCAACAAGGTCATTCAGATATTGCAAATAATTCTGCAATACATTGTTGGCAAGAGTTTGCCATTTTGATGCTGGCAGTGCTAGGTGGATGCTGTAGAAGTGCTTGTGTTAGCAGTACCTGTCCCTCAATAAGCATCCAGCTGGAAGCACCCTGTGTAACCTCCCAACTGGGAGGTATCTTGCAGACAGGGTGCAGTGTGTCCCTGAAATACACATGGGAGCATAGGAAGCTGCCCTTTGCTGAGTCAGACCATTGGTATTGTGGCTCTCGGATGAAGGCATCTCAAGTCCTTCCTGCCTGCAAGGCTCTGCCACTGAGCCCCAGCCCAGCCTGTCATAAGCATTGTGTATCTTGCTGGTTTGGTGCTGTCAGAGCCTGCTTTTTTATTTGACTGAACGCAACGGTCAAACGCACCTGTCAAGAAATTATTTGGATTTCAACGTGGAACAAGAGAAACCTCTAAATCGGGATGGTGTGTTTTGCCATGAAGCATAGCCAGCATCATGCTTTGCTGCTGTTCCTTGATTGTAAAGAGGGAGGGTAGTTGGCAAAAGAACTTGGGCTTCAGCCGTGTGCTAGTCATAGAGTTTCCCGTATTCGCATGAAAGATAAATGTTAGTCACGTAACCATAAAGGCTACTTGTTTCCTCCGATCTAGAGCTGCTTTCTTATGATGGGCCAATTTCTACATTTAAAAAGATCTCGATTTTGGAAATGGAAATGGAAGATTAAGTAAACATGCCTATGATGAGTCAACTGCTTCCAAGCGCTGTGATCCTGTGTTTACACTTTCTTGGGAGTAAGCGCTGTTGAACACAGAGGGACTTGCTTTGGAATCAGGGTGTACAGGGCTGCACTGATCGTTGGGATGCAGTCAGGTTTCCTACAGTATGAAGGAAACATTCAGAGATTCCTCTTAGCACTGCCAAAGGTTCAGTTTGGGACTTGCTGGCCCATTACAAAATCTCCACAAAACATGTCCCCCAAAAATCAGTTCTCTGATGGAAAAAGTTCTGACTTCCTATTGTGGTGGAATTGGACCACACTCTTCAGCATCCATTTGAAGAGTTGCTTTGATGTGACAGCAATATGATGGGGTGGGGTCCCACCTGCATTTTGTAAGGTAACACTTAAATTTGGTACAGGTATATTTGTTGACTTCAGCTGCCCAAAGCTGTCCTGTGGTATTCGCTTGCATTTCCAGCTTTGGCTGAAAGCCTGGATTTGTGTCTTGCCTGAGTCACCTCTCCTGGTCACCTGTGTACAAAGTCTGCACAGGTAGGGGTTTTTCCTCTTCCTTAATGGTTACTTTTGACATTTCCCCTCAGGTATTTCTTCCTTCTCGATCTTCCATTTCATCTGTGTTTATACATGCCCACTCTCAACTTTCACCTTAAGAGTTGCATTGCATGTTATATTGTGTTTGGTGTACACAAAAACATGCTGCAAAAGCATACTTAAAAGCAGCACGGGAATGCCTCTGGAAAGGGTGCTGCAAAGCTGGCTGTGGCTCCATGTATACCTTTTCAATGGCAAGTGTGGGCTTGCCATCGCATCCTGTTCAAGAGGCCCTTCAACTCTTAGCAAGACTTTTTGGGTCTTGCTAACTGGGCTAGTTCCAATGTAAACTCTTGAAGTATTACTTCATATTAGGAGTACAGCCCTATTAAAGAAATCTTAGGTGGTTGAAGGTAGGAAACTGAATGTACAAGTTACATTGCAAGGCTAACCAACTACTTAGAAGTACTATTGACTTTAACAGGGCTTACTCCCAGATATGGCGCTGTGGTCTAAACCACAGAGCCTAGGGCTTGCCGATCAGAAGGTCGGCGGTTCGAATCCCCGCGACAGGGTGAGCTCCCGTTGCTCGGTCCCTGCTCCTGCCAACCTAGCAATTCGAAAGCACGTTAAAGTGCAAGAAGATAAATAGGTACCGCTCCGGCGGGAAGGTAAACGGCGTTTCCGTGCACTGCTCTGGTTTGCCAGAAGCGGCTTAGTCATGCTGGCCACATGACCTGAAAGCTGTCTGCGGACAAATGCCAGCTCCCTCGGCCAATAAAGTGAGATGAGCCCCAGAGTCGGTCACGACTGGACCTAATGGTCAGGGGTCCCTTTTCCTTTTTACTCCCAGATAAGTGGGGTTAATCAGATTTTCAGACTACTAAAGCAATAGTTCTGAAGATTTGTTTTGTTTTTGGAACATTGGTAACTTACTACCTTTTTTTTAAAAAAAAAAACCCACACACCATTGCCTTAGTTAACCAGAGGCACCAATTTCATTTATTAATTCAATGAATCGGCTCAATGTTGGAAATCCTGCTTCACATACCAGCTGATCTATAGGGACACAGAGTGCAGCATTAGCTGGGGTTTTAGTTTGCGGTGCTGCACCTAATATGATTCCATAAAGCAGAGGAAGTGGAAATGGGAGCAAGCCTCTTGGAGACAAACCATGCTGCCTATGCTGCCGATCCTGTTGATAACTGCTGCTACTTCTACTCAGCACTTCACATCCCATCATATATGTAAAGTATTGGGGCATTTTACATACATCTATCTCTAGAATCCTTACCACAAGCGTATAAGTGAGCTCAGTTGCATCGCAGGGGAGTGACTTCCTTTTGGCAAATGCTTTGTCCATAACAGAAGCAAGATTTGAACCTGGAACTTTCTGGTCACTTATCAGCTGCTGTTATGCTCTCACGAGTGCATGAGGGCCTCTATAAGACCTTTGAGGAGAGTATTTGCTGCACAGTTGAGATACTCTGTCAAAAGCACTGGGGTGTTTATCTGTGTTTTCATGGAATTTCATGGAACAGGTGGCATGTCATCATGACGCCTCTTCTGCAGAGGCTGCCACTCATTCCTCAAACAACACACGGTTTAAAACAGTTTGTTCTCTCCTCCCATCCCC